TGTCAAACAGCCCACTTCTGAAAGTGGTGGAGATAATAACGGAGTTTGTTTGAGACTCTGGCAGATAAAAGGTTAAGTCTTTGTTATTTCAGCCTCTTCCTCACAAACTAACAGCTTTAAATTGATTTATGTTGTTTAATCTCTCACCTGTGTTTAAAAAGCAACAAGTACACAGCCTGACGTGGATTTGGGAGTTTACTCTTTGAGAAAGCGGAAGCAGTGCGGATGTGTGTTTCGTCATGGTGCCCTGGCGTTGCCACCTGGCACCGACCATTAGGCGTGCTGCCATGTTGGCAGTGTGTGGGCAGGACCAGCAGATGCTTCTGCCTAACTATGCTCTGTTAAAATACCCGCACATAATTTAGTTTAACGCAGCACAGGGAGATGTGTTTTGTTGTGTCTAATCCAATCGGAGGAACAGTGCATCAGTGGATAGTAATGGTTTGAAAGGCTGTATTTAAATAATTGTAAATCACTGAACAACAGAGGGCAGCCAAGTTCCTGTTGATAGGCTGATTCAGGCTCTAAATCTTTCTGAATCGACCTAGTGATCTACTTCAAATGAGACCAATAATCTCTGCCCTCAGATGGAGTGAATTATGAAGAGCCTGAAGCTGCCGATAAGCCTGTTTGATCTTGGCATGCCAAAGCCACAATAAAGGAAACAAAGGCCTTTGGAGCTGAGGCTTTGCACTAACCACAGCCATGATGTGTGTGTGTGTGTGTGTGTGTATGTGTGTATATTAAAACATGTGTTAATGACTGAGAGAGAGAGATATCTGCACACATAAAGCTCATGTTTCGAACTCTTTATTTCTGTGTGCTTCTCTTTTTTTCCATTTTACTGTTTTATATCTCTCTCAATCAAAACAATTTTCATACCGCTGTGTGCCGGAGAACACTAAGTACATATTTAAACTTTCATACCAACTGTGTATCTTAGCGCTCCTTATATCTGCTACTGCTGTACAGATACTCACACTAACCACCCTGTGCTCAATGTATTTATATCTTTAGAAACATATGTATATTAATAGGTACAAATACTATTTTTGTATGTGTGTCACGACCAACACTTCTTCCCATCCAACCCTCTAGTTTTTCTCTAACTTTTCCATTTCTCTTACATGACTCCTCATACTGTATATTAGAGATGCACAGTATTATTTGTATCATACTTACATCAACGTTTCTGCAGGTTTGTGCAGTGGAAAAAAGGTGAAGCTTTTATCATGCACCTGTCAGGACAGCTTATGCACCGACAGCCTTCAACATGTCGGCTGAATGGACGTTCTTTGGAGTCTTGGAAACAGACAGCAGGGTATAAATGTTATTTATTTATTTTTTAGTTCAATATCAGTTTCTAGAACATATGGACTGACACAACAAGAGTGACATAAAATAAAACAGAGGCGGGGCTTGGTGTTTTCTTTACAGTGGAAAAACAAAGGTGTAATTTCAGTCTCAGCAAGAATGAGTTTTAAAATATCGGTGTATCCAGTATCTTCAAAAGTCGACTATCACGCATCCTTACCGCCTTTACCTGTTACTCCATATATTATATTACACTTGTTTGCACTTGACTCAGTACCTTAAAGCTTATTAGCACTTTCCGTTAGACGTTAAACTGCATTTCCTTGTTCAGTACGTGTACTTGTGCAATGACAATGAAATAGAATCTAATCTAGTTTAATCTAATCTAATCTAATCTGATTGATCTTGTCTAATTTAATCTCATCTAATCTAAATACTTCTCGTCATCTCTCCACTTAGTTTTAATGACCTTCACTTTCTAATTAGTAAAGTTTATTATGAATGAATTATTGTTTTATTCACAATGAGTAAAACAATCGTCCAATAACTGACAAAGAATCATTTTCATTTCAGGACTACTTTAAGAACTTTGAGGTCAAACTACCAAAAATAATTAAAGGATATAATAACGATTTTATTTAATGTTTTAATATAAAATCTAAATGTTCAAACACTTTAATCTATTTGTAATTATACAATATCTCTGTAAATAATGGTTGACAAAATTTGGGTAAATAATTTGAATGTCCTTCAAATATCAGCTACCAAAAATCACACAACCATAAATTTGTCTTCATCTTTTGAGAAGTGTAACCGTGAAATGTAAAGGGTCTCTAAATCTATTTAAAACAGGGAGTCAAAGTCCTTCAGAAGAAGTTGGTGGTTCAAAAATATTTATAAGGATATGTGTGAATATAATCAGGAAAAGTTCAAAACCAATCACAAATTCACATTTTCACATCCCTTATATGTGTGAGAGGAGAAAAAACTACGAAAAAAGAAATGTAAATTTAAAATCCTGAGATCTTTCTTCTTCGTGATGGATACTGAATTATGTAAACGCTACATTTCTTTAGGGTTGGCTTATTTGTAAACTTTGACTTAATGTATGTTTCCGCCCTGGTCCCCATTCCCCTTTTCCAAAATAAAAGTCTCACTGTATTTTTTTTTGAGCTGGGTATAATATTAATGCAGGACACAATATTTGTACATGAGACACATGTAAACAGGCACACAATGTGGAGTGGATTTGCTGCCCAAGTACAGATGTCATAGAATCCTGTTTGAATGAAGATGAAATGTTCAGATAATAACATGTTTGAAAGTAAGGGACAAAGAAAATCTTCAATAAACATGTTTTCTGCAGATGGTACATTCAAACTAAACACTCTGTGCTTGTTTTATGTTTCATGAAATCTTGTGATTTCCAAATCTGAAGTGGTTTCAAGTTAGATTCTTCCTCCTGGAAACGAAACAGCTGTAAACCAGACAACTGTTTAATGATACTGTATCTTCCTGTACTCTGAAAAATGGCGAAGGGTGTGTAATCCTGGGTGACATACCCATAAAATCTGAATTTCCGTTGCTAAGCGTCTTTCTCTGTCGCGTTCGTTCTGCTGCTCCCTCCTCTCTGGTCCGATACGACCCCCTGACAGCGCCCCACAAAAACAAAGGAGCTTAATGTGATTTTAAATAAAAAAGAGAGGGAAAAAATCCAAATGGTCAGCATAATTTAATGAGACAGAGTGTGAAAGGAACTAAGTGGATAACCAAATGCAGAGTGGGCTCGTGGGTGGGCGGTGGATGAAGTCAGTGATATTTCAGCATCCCTCTGTGGTTAGCCTGCTGACAGGAAGGAGGAAAACACTGAGGAGTGAGAGACAGTAAGGGAGGTGGTGTTAGAGGGGTGAGGGGTAAATTGTGCCAGAAATTAAAGCAGCGATTTCTCTGTGGAAGCAGCACATGTTCAGCATGAGGAGGGATGAGAAAGAGAGAGCGAGGGGAAGGACAAAAGCAAAGTGTCGTTATTTGAATCGTCGGTCCCCCAGCCTGTTTGGACAGGCAGGATTTGCATGTTGGGTTTTCAGTCAGAGCCCCGGGGTAGGGTGGGGTGGGGCGAGGTGGGTGGAAACAGTCGTCTTCGTGGTGCTCAGGGTGTGGCTGCTTGGGGAACAGGACTTTCCTCAACGGGGGGGTCTCAGCACAGGTCACACACCTGACCTCAAGACAAGATCAAACAATGATGGAAAAACACCACAGTCAGGTTCAGGTTTTAATTGACCCCTTTATGAGCCAGTAAAAACTCCTCCGAGAGAATATCTATGTTTTCAAATTCAGTCATTTCTTACCAATGAATTAAACTCATAACATCACATCTACAGATTTCACACACTCTATTATCTATCTATCATTTTAGTTAAAGGAGCAGAAATGTTGCCCTGTGTTGCACCAGCTGGCTCACAGCTTATTTACAGTTCTTGTACAGATTTGCAGGGTTAGAAAGGGTACAAAAATATTCCACTCAAGTTATATTAATGACATTTTACTTCAGCAGACGTACAGGTTTCAGTGTGTTTATTTACTCAAGTGAAAGTAAAAGTACCTTAATACTCTGCCCTCAGGAAAAAAGCTCAGAACCCGTCATTAAGACTTGTCTATCAGCAACTCCTATTTTAAATAACCTTTAGTTTAAAGCCTGGTTTTACACTTGAGTCAGCAACTACACACAAAACTTTTGTTTATCATAGTTTTGATATGACTGTGCAGCGATAACTGTCCACTTGTTGTTTTACTGTCTGAAGAGCACACTGAGAAAAGTTCAAATGGACAAACCAAAGTGTATGTTAGAGACAGGTACAACGTGTCCCCTAAAGTATGTAAAAGCCTGTTTGCCCATACAAATATTTGTAATTTGACCAAAAACATTCATTTGGGACATTATTTTAATTCTGCACTGAGCCAGGGTGAAGTTATTGAACATTTTTGCTGCAGTATTGAGACATATTCACATGGTAAGATTTGAGTTTTTTTAGTGCAGATATCCAATCAGCTGGCTGACATACAGTTAATGGTGAGCTTTTATGTTTTTAGTGATTTTTTACTGATGCTGTGTAAAAACGTAGTTAAGTACAAAACACAGCAAACGCTGAGGGAAAAGTACTGAAAATAAACTGCAAAAAAACATAAAAGTACCCAGGAAAGCTATTATATGATAGAAACAAAAGTAAAAGCAATTAAATACTCTCCACCACCAAATTTTTATTACTAGCTTTAAAATTAACACGAACTGTGTCTGAATTTTTATATTTTTAATTTTGTTATAAAATGAAAGCTACTGTCAAAGCTAACTTATATAGTATACTGTTCTCTAGTAAAATATGAAGTTTAAACCTGATTGAATTAACACCAGGATAATATAAATGTGGCGTTAGTTCAAACCCTCACAGCCAAAGGTTAGCCTGGTATCTGAAATGGAGATGATGTCAGTGTGAGGAGACTAAATCAGTAACGTGATAACCGTTTGGATGTGAAACACAAGACGAGTAAATCAGAGTTGTGATGGACTTCTCCTCCATGTCGCTCTTTCTGGGCTGTCATGTGAGATTCTTCAGCGGCCTGAGGGTCAGCGCCGGCCCAGAGTGGTCAAGACTTATCAAATGAAGAAAAAAAAAAAGGAAGGAGACTGATCCTCTTTTAAACAGACTTTATTTAAATTAGATGACTCAAAAACAGGGCATACATCTTTATCCGTGTACAGGCAACAATAAATACAGGCTTATACATCAAAATATAAACAGAATATATCTAGACAAACATGCACACACACACTCAGACAAGCATGCCAAAAGGGGGCTCCCTTATGGAACAGGACATCCTGAAACTGCCAAGAAAAACACTCTGTCAGCCAGCGAGCCATTCCTGTGTTATCCAATGATTTTAGCTTTTATGACGAGGAAAAAGCTCTTGAAAAATAAGAAGAAGCTAAAATATATTTAAGGCTGTGTGGTGAAAAAAAAAAGTATCCAACGGTCAAGCAATGATTTTCAGCTTTATATAATCACCAATTTGTGGCCCCTTAGAGAAAAAAATCCCCAATAAAATGCAGCCTCTGAAAAAAAAAAAGTGGATGTTGAGAAACAAAAGAAAGTACGCGGAATCACAGAAGAGGGAAGTGTAAAAGGGAAGAGGAGAAGCACTGAGTGTACCATACCTAGGACTGGGTGTCACAATGAGATGTGTTGCAATAAGGTGTGTGCTGTCTGGATTCTCTGGAAATTCGAGGGGACAGAGCCAACTCACACTCTCATACACGCACACACATATATACAGAGGTACAGCATTGACATCACTACATCTGCATTTGCAAACATGAGAAGACACAGTTCCCCCCACATAAAACCACATAAAAACCCTCACGGACGTCAGCATAGAGGAAATAAACAATAGAGCCATGTCTCTGACGCTGCAGGAGCGGTTGGGATAAAGGGAAGTGACATCGCAGCAGCAGCACACGCACACACACACCTCTAAAAATGGGAACTGATGCTAACTGAAACAATGACAGTAACAGAAAAGAGGACAAAACAGGATGCTGGTCAGATGAGAGAGCCCGAAATGTCAGACAGCCTACAGACTGTTGTCGCCTTGCAATCTTAACAGCCAACACCAGTCTGATAAGCTATTTGACAGGCCGAGAGAGTGACGAACGCATGTACAGACAACAATGAATTTGAAAAAAAAAAGGATCCTAATCCGACTTACCATGACAGGAGAGAAAAGAGGAGGTGTAAAATGTTCTGACTAGAGCTGGTGCAGAGCGCAGGGCTCAGCCCGCTCAACAGTACCCCTCTGTTTTGAATCTACTTGAGTGATTCTTCTCCTGGCTCCGTGACTGGGGCAGTGCAACGAGTTCATTCGAAGGTTCAGCTGAGGTAACGGCACAGACGCTTTTCACTGTGCTGCGCTTGAGGCTTTTTTTTCTCTCTCCCTCTCCCTCCCTCCTGCTTGTGCCTGCTCTAGCGCCCACTGTGCTCAGTCCAGCGTAGCACAGCGAGGGAGAAAATAGCACATTTCTCTGGTAATTTACAAGAAGAAGGAGAAGATATATCGAGAGGAAGCTGACGCTAACCAGAGAAAGGAAGCGTGGTTATAGAAAATGAGGAGTTTTGCTTTAAGAGAGGATCATGTGATTTCAAACATTAGCTCGCTACCCTCGCTGGGTGAAAAAGGATAAAAAAAACCCTCGATTGAAACTGAAGACAAAGACAAACATCTCACAGACTGTCTAAGTTAAGAAGAAGAGCCTCTGTGCTCTCCTACCTCTTCAGGCAGACTCCTACTGTAGTCTATCACCGCAGCACAATCTGCTATTATCCATAAAAGATAAAAGGGAGGGAAACAAATGTGGCAGCCACGCAGACTACTATCTCCGTCTCACTCACAAACACACACGCACACACAGACTCACACTCACACACACACACACAAAGTCGTAGATCTGATTCAATATATGGCTGCATCTGGTAAAGTAGCCCCCAGGCTGACTCATGTGCTCTCTTCCTGGAAGCTGAACAATAACGGAGGACAAAGGGACCAGCAGGGTGATTCATGGCCGATTTATCATTTCACATCCATAAAGTGGTAGGATGAGATTTTTCTTACACTCAAAACAGAAGTGGTCCACGAGCAGCACAGGACAAACATTAACACCACCCCTACCACTGACTTAAGACGAGCTCTATAGTTAGAAGTAGAAATGAAAAGATCTGATTTAGTCACAGCTGATGCTGAAATACTAAAGTGCCATAAATTCATTAAATTAAACAAACTTACTGAGGCAGCAACATGTTTTGGAATAAATAACATCACATAAACAAAGAAATAATGCCGTCTTATTCAAATGTAAAGTCTCTACCATTATATAAGACTTTGAGGTTCCTGTATGGGTCAAACAGTGCAGCTTAAGGCCTCACTGTGGAGAATTACAGCCAGCAGCTTCTCCTCACGTGCTCACAAGCTGCTAAAAGCACCGACACAGACAACAGCTTACTCACACGCACCCTGACAAGCACCTACCTTACGGAGAACAACCACAGAAAATCACTACCAAATGCAAAAGCCTTCAAAAAAGCGAGTCCCAGTTCAACAGAGACATGTTGCTAAAGTACCAAGAAGAGAAACCAGATGGAGGCAGATATGGAGCTTCACAATATAAACGTTGAGGAGGAGAAAAGTGATGGGAGGTTCTGAAGTTTGCCGCGATCGCGTGCCGGCCTTCACTCCGTCTTCCCCTCCGAGTATTTCTCCTGCTGCTTGCGCTTGGCGTAGCTCTGCGCCATGGAGTTGACAATGGAGCAGACAAAGAAGCATACCATGATGACCACAACCTTCTCGAAGAGCCACGACAGCCAGCTCTCCTCCTGCCAGAGAGAACCACAGAGAGAACACAGAGAGGAGCTGGGTCAGTACGCTGAGGGCCACCCCCTCCTCTTTTCACCCCCACACCCTGCTCGCTCTCTCCCCTCTCTGCTCCTGATGCTGTAGGCTAGGTGGGGATCCAGCTCCATGTGCAGGACAGATAGAGATCAGGGGTAATAAAACACGCGGCAGCCCCCACCGTCCTCCCCTCTGAACGCCCCCGCTGACCCCAGCCTGCAGCCTGCCTCCACCAAGTTAAATTGCCTCGCTTCTCTCCTGTAACTGCAGGAGGCTCAAGTTACAAGAAAAAAGGAACATTGTTCTAGAAATGCCTTAATCTGTCCTTGTGCAACTCCTTTTTTTCTCTTCTCCATCCTATTAAGCGCATAAAAATGCAAAATCATTTCAATGAATCAGTCAGAGGAAGAGGGAGTAAGGAGCTTTGAAAGAGAGCTACAACTGGCTCTTTTTGTTCTAGTCTGGGGGGTTTTGATGGATTGTCACTGGCGGAGGTGGAGGTGGAGGGGGGGAGAGAAGAGGCCCCCGCCCCGGTCTACAGTCAGTGAGGGTTCAGGCGGGGCACTGAGTGCAAGTGTGTGTGTGTGTGACACATAGGGGAGTGACCACACTCACACACACACTCCCAATTGGTAAGATGGAGCATGAGTCAGCACGCCCCGCGCTACAGTAGTACAGTTCAATACAGCCGAGCCAGACCCCACACTGGCCCCTCTTCTCCTCCTCCTCCTCTTCTCCCTCCTCCCCTCTTTCTCCTCCCCCTCCAGCCCGCCCAGTACAGCCTGGAGCTACTCTGTCATTCTGGCCCTAAACAAGCCCCTGTAATCTACTGTAACACCACAGGTTAGAGTCAAAGAAGAGCCTCAAACATGGAAATAAGGTGAAAAACCCAGTGAAGTTCTGATGGGAACACAGGTAAAGAGGGTTAGAGGACAGATAAGGTGTTCTTTAAAGAGAGAAATAAAAGACAGCTTCATAATGAGAAGAAAGGGACGAAAAGAAAAAAAAAGAGAAGGAGGGAAAGAGGCAAAAGTAAGGGGCCGCATTCTTTCCTTGGCGCGCACACGTGAATGAATAGAGGTTGTGAGGCCCTCGTACTTACTGTCGGGATCCCCTCGCCGGCGTGATGGTGCAGCTTGGCCTTCTGGGCCTCCAAGTACTCCCTGAAGGGCTTCTGCAGTGCCGCACCCAGCAGAGGAACAGATCTGCCTCCACCAACAGAAAGAGAGAGAGAGAGGGAGAGGAGGGAGGAAAAGGAGGGAATAAGGGAGGGAAGGAAGAGGAGAGAAAGAAAGAGAGGGAGAGGACAGGAGGAGGATGGGGGTGGGGGTGGGGGGGGGCACAAATCACGTCACATCATTGTTACTCACCAGCCCAAGGGCAGCAACAAAGGGAGGCATGCTGTCCTGTGTCCTGTACAGTGTCGCCGGTCTCCCCTGCTTCCCCTCTCCCCTCCACGGAGAGAGGGAGAGACGGAGAGAGCAACGAGTGCAATCCCTTCACTGCTCATCCCCTCAAACACACACATACACACACACACGCAAACACTCAAACACGTAGAGGGAAAAAAAAAAAAACAAGAACAGGCTGTGCTGTAGAAAATCAAGCAGCTTCAAAACAAAAAATCAAAAGGGAGATAAATAAAAAAGAAAAAAAAGGAGAAATAAAGTTGACTGATCCTCATACAGCAGCCGCCGCAGCAGAGGTAGTCACCCACATTCTCCCGCTCTCCTCTCCTCTCCTCTCCCCCTCTCTCCTCTCTCTCTCGCTCTCTCTACACTCACACACACACATCGGTGAACCCGTTCAACTCCCCTGCAGTGCCTCCTCTGCCGCTGCAGCGAGGAGAAATGAATGACTTCTCAGAACTCTCACATTTATCACAAGCGGTTCCTGTAAGAACTGGTTTCAGCCAATTAATGAGGAAGTGAGTCGTACCCGAGCTGTGTCATCACTGGCTGAGACCTGGAGGGGGAAGGCCCACAGGGGGAGGGCGCTCCTGTAAGACAGCCCATATTAGGAAAACCCTTTACGAGATTTAGCCGCCACCCCCCCCCCCACCCCCACTCCCCCCTTACACACACACGCAAAGAAAAGAGGAAAAAAAAAAGACGCGAGAGACTGCAGAGAATGCCCTAGAATAGCGATTCAGCGGCCCATCCCTTGGCTGGAGTTAGTGATTAATCACTAAACAAATACATACTAAAGACCCTCACTTCTTCTCCTATATAGTATACACTCTATTACATCCCCTCTACCAGTGTTTTAAACTCATCCACCTTTGTTCATGTTCTGCAGGCGTCTCACACACACATCAAAGATTTTAGGGTAGGTTTGCGTGGGCGTCATGTCACATACGGTTGAGTTTATGGCTGATAACTTTCTCTGAGGGAGGCAAAGTCATTTCCGTCTCTTCCCCACCTCCACACACACACACACGTACACACACACTCACTCACAAAGGCACAAACACACACACCTTTACAATGGTGAGAAAAAACAGGTTGTGTTAAATGATTGAGTTTACAACAAGGAAGCCTTTTAGAAATGATTAACCAGGTAATGGATATCTTAGTTGTGAATGGAGACAGGATGTCAGCAGAGGAATCATGCATTAAATTACACTAAAGGAAATGGTCAGGAGTATCAAAAATCAAGCTAGCATTTCTTTTTCTTTCTTGTTGTTTGGAGGGAAACAAAGCCTCTCCTTTTCCCATCCCCCACTTCCAAATAAAAGAAAAAATCCCTAACATCTACAAACATGAAAACCGATATGAAAACATCAAAACATGTTTGAAACGGCGAGTTTCAGTAGAAAGAAGAGAGATTAGAGACACAGGAGAAACAGAGTTCAAGAACAAAGAGTGAGAGAAAGAGTTTTGAGAAATGGCGGGCGAATCATCTCCTACACGATGAGCAATACTGAGTCATGAGCCCGGGCAAATCCACCAACAAAGACGCTCAAAGCTAGCAGTCTAAAACACGTTTTAATGCCTCACAGTCAGCTCCGTCTCTCTGTCTTTCCATTAAAAATCTCCAGCTTTGGTGCTTTTTGGGGATATCTTTTTACTCACTGAAGAAGATGTTGTGAAATCGTTGGATTTCTGCTCTAGGTGTGTTCATAATTTACCCGTGAGTACCTGTGTACATCTTTGTGTCTCTCAGAGGAGTTCAGATCATCTTTTCTGTAAATATGAGAAAAATGGACTTCAAAATGAAACCTTTCTAAATTGAGCATGCATCAAAAAATGTGAGGACATTTATTTTATTTAACAGGATCAGTTCAGAAAGTTGCTTTTGATCTCCGGTAAGACATAAGAAATCCTTTACAATCATCCTTGAATTTTTCATTACTTGAGAAAAGGTGAGGGATGAAAAACAGAAGCTGATTTTTCTAGCAGCTGTAAAGTGTTATTAGTGAAACATATAGTCTGACTTATTTGCTGTAATTTGCTTCTAAAAAACTTAAAAACGGCTTTGTTAAAATCCTGAGCTTTAAGTTAAAGAAAACTCTTCAGTTTTTTCTTTTTAGCAAAGTCAGGGTGAATCTCTGTGGCCTTGAAAACGGGGAAATAAATCAGTTTGGACCAAACTATTTACAGCCTGTTTAACAGTTCAATTAGGTTTTTACTCTCTTAAAAGCCACTAATTAATTTCTGGGTCAACCTAAAAAGTTTATGTAAAGCAAAAAGTGATCAAATCTCAATTTAGGAGGAGTATGATTAAGTATAGAAACACTGGATTAGTCCTACAGAGAAGCAGCTGGTTCATTCTTTTAAATTGATCGTTAATTCAATCAGTAAAATACAAAAGTACTGATGATGATAATAAAGATCACAGATTCATGTTTTCAGTTTGGTTTGATCTGCTGAAAAAGCTTAAGCTCTAGTGTGCTCTAAATTACAAGAAATTTTACGTTTTTGCCTTCAAGCACTTTTTTTCTCCTCAATAAATGCAACATTAAAAGGGACAGTATCTCACTCTGGACATATTCAAACTTTACAATGAAATTCAAATGAGACACTTTCTCATGTATTTCATATGAACACCCTCCCTTTCAAAAGTATGTGTGTGTTCAAACAGGACACAAGAGTTTAAAGATATGTTGAAGAAATACAGTTAATCTGATCAGATCTATAAAACATGCCTCTTCTTAGTTTTTTCCTCTGACAGAAAAAAAGAGAGTTAAAAGGATAAAAACAATGAAAAGTCTTGAACTGTAGGAGGTTTTGCAACTTTAAAAGCCTGCCTGTGTAGATCCTATCAAACTTTATAACACTTGTTCTCTAATTAAATTACTTCCAGAAGTGCAGAAAGCTGTAGGTGCTGCACTGACGTGGGCTATAAAAAACAGGTTATAGTTTATATACATATACACTCTTATTATCTGCTTTAGGTGCATGTTTTATGCTTGCATACAAAGGAGGTGTTTGTGATAAATCATATCTGTATTAACGCTGAACACGTAAGACTTGCAAGCTGATAGATACTCAGAGCATACCACCATAGTCTCAATTAGTCTGTATTTGTCTTATAATAACTTCGACATCTTAAAATTTTAAATGATTAAAACACGCAAAAGTCAAAAGATATCACCTAACAGATTTATTGGTGCTACATCAACACCTGTTGTGTCCAAATGAGACTCTGATGCTGTTTAATTCATCCCCGCTTTTTCAAAAAGCATTCACAGTGTAGTCATTCAGAAAAAAAAAAAAACACGTCACCATGTGAAGAAGATGAAAAAGGTATTTCTATCAGTTTGTTTTAGGATGTTTAGAGAAACACAGAAGCTGAGGGTCAATCATAAAATGAGACAATGGAGCGGAGCTATTGCTGAAAGCAGAAAAAAGTGATAGCATGCCTAAATATACTGTGTGTAACATGAGTGTGGCGGGGCTGAATGATCATACTGTCTCCATTTTTTATTTGATAAAGAAATTGAGATTAGATTAAAAATATTAAAAATAGCAAGAATACTGACACTTAGCAACCACACACACCTAAACCATTTCAAAGTGTTTAAAATATTTGTGTCTTAAAAAGAAGATCAGACCTAAATCCTCAAATGCATCACAAACTTTTTTTCAGTATTCCCTGAACATGTAAAGTTCTCATCTGAAGACACAGTGAAATCCTTAGCAGCACTACCATCCTCTGATGCCATTTGTCCCTTTTTCACAACTCATTCTCAGTGCGGTCATACAGTAAAAACACACACCACCACCATGTGAACCAGACCCAAGTGTTTGACAGTCTGCACCAGTGTGTTTTAGAAAAGCTCAACAGAGCTGCTGTTAGTGGACGCAACAATCAGAGTCAATTTTACATCAAACCAACAAGGCACAAATTTCATCAAGACATCAGCTATTCCCCCTCTCTCTTACACACACACACACACACACACACACACACACACACACAGAAAAATTCTAAAGTTTTTTTTTATCTCTTTATAAAAATTCAATAATAAGACACAATAAAGAATAACTGTAAATATCTTACACCAGGTGCTGTCTGCTGAAAAAACAACACTTGAAAATAAAATCTCACTGTGCGCTACAACAAAAGAAATCCCCACATATTTATGTGATGAACACAACCTTTCCCAAAAACATGGGAGGATGCTCACACAGTATATCTTTGCTGTCTGTAAAAAAAAACCTTTCATAATCTTTGAAGGTGTTGTACAAATGCATGTGTTATCATTGTTGTTATCATAGTGTGATACAGTGCAGGTTGTAAGCGGCATGTTTTATATACAAACAACATCCTCAGCTCCAACTTTGGGGTACTAATAAAAATATTAACTGTGTAACTGCAAAGGAGAGCTGCACATCTGCTTTTTTGAAGAAAAGTTTTGTGTTATTCTGATTGTCAATTGTACAACACAGAAAAGACTGTAGTTTTATCAATAATGACTAAAGACACAAGAAGGAGATGACCAAACATGAAGATATGGAGGGAAACCCCCTCGTCTCCCGGCTTCCTGTAGCCTCATTATTGCTGTAAAGGGTTAATCTATGAGCGCCATCTCAGCCTCTCATTTTTTAATGATCTATCATTTCCTGCTGCTGTTCCAGTGCACAGGGAGTTTAGGTGTTCTACATTAGTTCTGTGAAAGCCAAACCCTACAGGTCATGAGTCTGAGGTGAACTTTGACCCGAGTGCTCCTTCCTGTGACCACTGCCTCCTCAAACAACACTCCAAAGTCACAACTTTTTTTTTTTTTGTTATATATGTTAATAAAGTTCCCAATTCAGATCACACACACACTAACACACACACAGTGGTGCCCTGACGCCACAGGCAGCTGAGTGATAGAGAACAAGGGCTCACATGACGGCCAAACCCAGGCCAGGTCTGACTGGTTACGACATCATCACAACAACTGCTTAGGCAATCACCCGTGTTACCCAATGCTCCGCAGGGCCACAGTTCACACCTAACACAACAGCAACGCAAGGCGCACACTGTGGTTAGGCAGCGCTCTGACCCGAGGTACTGAGACTCTGACCTCTGCACCAGGTCTCTACAAAACACTCCATGATCTCTGTTTATCAGCTTGATGAATTAATGCTGATAGGATCGGACTTTATTAAGTGTTAAAATTATGAGATAATGGAATTATGGGAGGAGGAGTGTGTCCCCATTTTTGTAAGGAAAATTTTGACTCACGTGCAAATGTTGTAAGGTAATATCTGTGTGTGTGTGTATGTGTGTGTGTGTGTGTGTGTGTGTGTGTGTTCCTCCTCCAGTTCATCTAGGCTTTTTCCCTATGACTTCACCACTAAAGCATGGAGCCCACTCCTGGACGGAGATCCCCTTTGCCCAGCGTGTTTATCACATCCCTGCTCTACAGCCATCCATGTGTCAGCTAGCACACACACGCTCACACACACACACACACATATATATACACAAGTTCGGACACATGCTATCCTCTTGGGAGCCTGCAGTGCTGCCAGGAAATCAGGGGGCACCAATTATAGCAGTCTATTATTCCTCTCACTTCCCAGACAGCCACATAAAACAGCCCTCCAACTCCATGCAACCACCCCCCCCCACCCCCCCACCCTACTCAAGGTTCAGGTCGACATGCCCACACGGACCCTCTTGATCGGTCTGAGTGTAGAGGTGTGTGTGTGGAGTTGCTGGGTTAGTGGGTAACCAGGCCTGGACTTGTCCAGTGGTGAGAAAGAGTTGTTCAATGAGTCAGATGTGAGTGGAGACACATCCAGACGAGTCATTGAGCTGTTTGCAGAGTGGCTGGAAATAGATGGAGAAGAAGAGGTGAGGGACCTTCACCAAACTCAAACAGCGCTCTTATCCTCTGATGTCACCGTGAGAATGCAAAGCTCAAATGTTGTTATACTGCAATGCCATTCTGTTTTATTCACAAACAGCCAAGAAATCATTAATTTTGGCAGATCAATATCAAATGATCAACTTATAACACAAACTAGACCTGATTTTAGCTTAAAAAGACATGCACCTCACAGACCCCCCTTTTTACCACTTCAGCTTTAGAAATGCTGCTGTTTAAAATGTCTTGTGTTTTTGATCTCTTATGTTTATTATAGTACAGTTTTGAATGTAAGGGCTACAGGTATAACATATGAGTGAACTGGTGCAGAGATATGGATGCAGAGATTTGATTATTTGAACTGTTTGTAAGAGTATATACCGCATCTTGTTTCATTATTGGTCTACTGCAGTATCTTGATTTTCTTTTTTCATATAATGTTGGGTAAAAGAAAGAAACATATTAAGGTTATCAATGTGGTGCTTGATAATCTTGTGATATCTTTTCTCAATACAGAGTTTTTTTTTCTGGTTGAAAAAGAGACCGAAACTGAGACCAGTGCTTCTTTAAGACCTTAATAGGCAAACGAGACCATCAGCAACAAGCCTGATAATTCTCTGTTGTTATTTTTGTGTCCGAAACCACTTTGAGGGTGTAAGTGTCAGATCACATGATTGACAGCAGCTCTTCTATTTACTTCTTTTCAATGAGCGATAAATTTCACAGCTAAAGACAACAGAATGAGGTTTGGCCTGAAAAAACTACTTACTTGTGTACAAGATAAAAGATAAAAGGTATCACTTTGTCCACAGGGGTGTTAAAATGGATTCGAACTAGAAGTTCCTTAGAGCAGCTTTAAAAAAAGAGGACTATGGACAAGGCTTGTTTAACTTCATATATGCTGTATGCTGTCGTATAGCATATTTGACAATAATGCTGACTTTGACTTTGGCTTTAACGAGTCGTGATCAGAAATCAAGTTTACGTTTTTTACATGATATCAACTAAAGAGGTCCAATGAAATTCTCTCATTTGCTCAAATAAAAATATTTAAGATGTTTAATTTTACACAGACATTAAACTTTTCCTAGTATAACATGTAACTCTGTAAAACATACATCTATAAAACAGTGACTGACTGTTACATGTAAAGGATAATTTTCAGTGAGATTGGAATCCTGACAGGCCAAGTGGGACCTCAATATTACAATGTGTTTTTCTTTGGTTGAAAATAATCCATTACTCTCACAGCTGGAGCTGCAAACACAGTAAAAGTTCTCTAAAGTCCTCTTAAAAATGAGATAACTTAGCTGTTATTAGATTAAGCTGAACATTTTTACTGATAGTGAACCGAAAGAAGTGGAACAGGACCATATTAATCAGCATTTGGTGCATTGTTTCCGTCAGGGGACTTCTTTTAGTTCTTCTAACTCTTAACTGTTAATTTCATGTGTCTCCTTTAGCTTTCCTGCTTTCTTTGTCATATCCATATCCAGTTTCTGAGTCTTAAACTTCTGCCTTTCCTCTACCATTTTTTCAATGTTTTTTTTTTTTTTTTTCACTTCAAACAAATAAATGTCAGATTTACCAGAGTTCTTTTTGTGCATTGATGTAATTACTTTTGGTTCACCAGAGTTTATGATCCGTATGATCAGGGTTGTATCCATAACAACAGTCTGCTATTTAGAAATAGCAGGTCGTTGTTATGACCTGTTGCTAAGGAAAGACTAATAACAATCAAGTATTTAAAAAAACTGAGCAGCCAGGCATTTCACTTTCAGTCATTTTTTCAGCCCCTGATTACACAGGAAGAGCTTAGACTCTATTAACAGGTCAGATTCTTATTGATTATATGGGCTTGTTGTTAATGCTGTTTTTATGAGTTTAACAACATCAGAGGAATAGCTGCTTGTGAACATAGCAAGTATCTTTGTCTATTTAGTGATATCATGCTCAGGCGGATGGCCCCAAGCATGTCCTACATGAACTTACGACATGAGAAACAAGTCAAAAAATCCCACAAAACACAAGAGCCAAATAAACATATTACGACATGTGGAATAAATGTAAAGGGCAGAAACACAGCAAAGGAACAAGACCACAATGTTAAAAATGACTAGAAGTGGAAACACTGAAATATTGAGACCATTGACTTAATGCACCCAGCTCAACAGGTTAGCCAGTGAGAACAAAGGAGCATGTGAGGGACTGTTCAGTGTGTATGCAGTGTATGTGGGTCTGTATGGAAAGTAGGTGGTCTATCTATACTGTGACAAACTGCTCAGACAACCTCAATGTGAAGCACAACTTCCGCTTGCGAGGCTATATGTTCTACTTTCGCTGCTGTATGGGGGTGGGGAGTCAGATGGAAAACAGTACTGCACAGAAGTTGTACAAATACAAGTCAAGCTCTTATAACTGTTTTCAAATTTCAAATTCTCCAGGTGTTTAATATTTTTTATTATCTGCACTTCTGAAAAAAATCTGAATTTGTACACAAAGTCCAATTATAGGGTAATAATAAGACAATACAAATGTATGTGCTTACAAAGAAAACTACGCCTAGAAAATATTTTTAAGGATAATAAAAATACACCCAAACAATTTAAATATCAGAGTTAAGACATAATACAACAAAATAAATTGATCAAGAGTTGGAAAGAAAACTTCAAAACTAAGATAAACACAAGACCTTACTGGAAAAATGAATGACTGACAGTTTCTTATGAATAGGATGGCTTTTCTAGAGTACATTTTTACAACAGCGTTTCTGAATGTTTTTGTGCATTGACATAGAGAGATCGATGAAATGACACAGTGACACTTCAATCGCCTATATGTCTCTGAAAACGAATGATGACAGATTTTAAGCCAATCTAATAATTTTAAAATTGAGAATCACAGACCAAGTGATTTTTGAAACAAAGAGGTCAGTGTCAAATAGGTTGAGTAGAAATTTGATAAAAAGAGGTGCACTAAGTAGACCTCAAAGAGTAGTATATCTAATTAACAGCTCCAGAAGCTGCAGTATCTATTAATAAGTTTGAAAGGTACTTGCTAAGGTACTAAAAATAGTACAGTTTGATAAATACATGCAAACTTAAACATAATGTCATATGATATGAAACAAGTGTTATGCACAAAAGCCCTAGAGATGTAAACTTCCTGCTGACAAATCCAACCTGTTATCTCCAGGTAAGGTTAGATCAATCTGACAACTCAAAAAGTTGATGAAATGTTGACAATTTTAACGTCAACATGCAGTTTTACTCCTCACTTTCTTACTTCCTACAAATGTAAATGTAGACTTTTTCAACTGGAGACTGTTTGTTTGTTTAAGTCCAAATACAGTAATTGTAAATGTCATGGTTTCATTAAATATTATTGTGTCTCTATCAGAGGAAGAAAGGTTAGTGTCATCTGCAAAAAGCAATAGGATTAAAGTTTTAGATACTGAAGCAAAAGCACTTCAGTGTATCAGAAACAAGAATGGTCCTTAAATGGACCCTTGAGGTACACCATATTGGATAATATTTGTTTAAGACTCATGACCATTCACAGACACTTATTGTTTTCTATTGTGAACATAATTACAGAGCTACTTGTGAAAATGACTATGGCAACCACATTTCTGCATTTTTACAAGCAAATGTGTAATCTATCAACAGTTTAAAATGCCATTGACAGGTTAAAAACATATGAACATTTTCTTATAAGAAATCGAATGATTTTTACAAAATCAATTCTGATTATTATAAATAATACCATACATGTCCAGGTGTTTTGATTTGTGAAATTTCACGATTTTTTTTATGTCTTAATAATCTTAATTTTGTTCAAATCAGATGAGAACAATAAAATTCTGTTTGATAAAATGGATACTAATTAAGAGTTTTGATGGTTATATATTTAATGAAATTATCCTGCACATTTTAAAGTGCTCCATGAAAAGAAAGTTTTTTTTGTTTTCATCTTGGCTTTAAGAATATTTTACCCTTATTTTTCTAACACACACTTTTCGACTAAGGCAATGACAGATCTAATTTAGAGAATAGCAACTGTAAAACACTACTCCATCAATGTTAATTTGAGCAATTAGTTATTTCCATAAAATAATTGTTCACTGAGGAACTTTAAAGAATTTTAAGTTAAAATAACTAAGATTAAAATACAGGGATGAACGATTTTAGATTTGTTTTGATCTTAAATATGCCAATAATCTCAAACTCATTTTTGTTGGTACTGATATGGACATTAACACCTTTTTTTTTTCATTTTTACTATGAACAACATCAAGCCTTGCCTGTGCTAGAATTGACCTGATACTTTTATTATTAGTCTATTTGTTTAAGAAACAGAAACATAACAAAACAAAACAAAACACCTGTTTCTACCATAAATGATACTTGTACTCTTTGTTAGATATAAATACTCTGTAATATGTGTGCTATCTATTTTTTTATGCTGGAGAATACCTCCATACAGCTGAAATGTGGGGAAAATGTTGGATGTCTGGTGTGTGTATATCTTCAGTCTGGGTTAAAAGCAAACATACGGGGATGGTTGAAGGTCTCTGATGTTTGTGAAGAAATATCTGTTAATGTTGGAAAAACCATAAAGACAAAAAAATCTGGGAGGAAAAAAAAGAAATTATTTCCCAATTAAACAGTTGTTTTTTGTGTGAATATAATTTAAGATCCCTGAGCAATCTAGTCCGGAGATTTGCACAGTAATAAAATGTGTTCACAGTGGTGAATCTTTGAGGTTGACAAAATAAAGTAATAAGCGCATGATTTATGTGTCTGGGATAAAACAAATAAAGACTTCTCGTAATTAGGATTTATGGTTACCCTCATTTCCAGGCCTTACAAGGATTATCCACAACTGGACAAAACAAAGCATATTTATCGGAAGAATTATCTCAAAGGACCCTCTGTACGAGTCCTGCTCCCTCTCCGTAACATGTTGTGATTTAGGTTGATTACAGGAGGCTATATGTGGGTTTTGACAGAGGTGTGGTGGAGGCAGGGTGGGAAGGGTGAGGGTCTGGACGGCTGCCTGTCTGGCCTCTGAGTCAGGGCCTGTCTGGGATGACTCCTCTCAGAGAACACAGACAGACACACACACTCATGACAACTGGTGAAGTTACAGAACACATTACAATGTTCATGGGATTTACAAAACAATACCCTTCAGTGGATGATGCTGATTCAGAGCTTGGGGTCGGGTTGTGTTCCCCCTGATGAATGAGCTGTTCTAAAAATGACTCAATAGGGTACTGTTTCCTAAAACAACATACAAGCCGGTTGCCATCCTGGTGAATAAGAAACTTCATAGCCTGGACTTGTGCTTGTTGTAGGATTTGATGAGCGGGCAGGAGTGCATGTGGGACTCAGGACCAAAACAAATGAATCAGGGATGAATAAAGCCGGAGGTCCTGGAACATACAATGCACCCAAGAGGCACATAATATGACACCAAACCTGGATCACACTTCTGACCTCTCCCTGTCTTTGTGTCTTTCTTTCTCTCTCACTTACTCATCAAAGCTACAGTTACATTCACATCCTTGTGTACCCCGTCTGAATCCCTCAGTGTGCCAATAAGCTCAGAAAAGGCCTATAGTATACGATTTTAACAATATGTCTTCTTAAACGAATGAATATTATTCTTAAACAGCTGCAGTGAGACCTTCTGGCTCCAAGTCAAACCTCTCTCATAGCCTCAGTATTTCTGTCACAGCTTGAGAGCCAAGGTAATCAGAATGAAAGTGGGGGTGGATGAGAAAATGGACGCCCCGCCGAGTCTCGCATTAAACTTAACGACTCTGTATAAAAAGGGAGTCGGCCACGACCTGCAGCCCCATCCCTCACACTCACTGTCTTACCCTGTTTCCCTGAAATGCCGTCACCCTGAGTGAGGCGTTGGAGTGTGTTTGGGTTTGGAGGAGAGAAGGGCAGGCAGTGGAAGGATTGATCAATGCCATCTTTGTCAAGGTGCTTCTCAGGTGACCAGAGCACTTGGTGACTAACAGGATCGAAAACACTCCCTTATTAGAGATTTGGTTAGCAGGAAGACTAAACTCACACAGGGCTTTTTATAGGATCAGCGATGTCACAGAGGTCTATTTATAGAATTACAGTCACGTTTAGGATTTTCCTCAATGAATTGAGCACCAGCAGAAAATACACTCAGTTTTTAAACCGTTTAAAAAGGAATAAATTATGGAGTGCCCCAAGGATGTGGTGTTGGACCACTTTAATTCCCCTTTTTGTCTTGAACTGCTTGGGTATAATTTTGGTTTTGGTACCTTGCAATATTGGAAAACAATTTTACATGCTTACACTCATTTTATAGAGTGTCAAATAAATATTCTATAAGTGTTTATGAAGATAGATAAGTTGAGGCACTGTTTTTTTTTTCTTCTAAATCATTAAAGAGTTAAAATAGGTAATAGGTAGCTCTCTACTGCCCATATGGATCTGAACTGTGGAGGATTTGTTATCAATGCAAAAAGCATTTATTTCTTTACTTTCTTTTTTGGAAGAAAGTTAACACCTCAGAAACACTGAATTGTAACTGGCCTACTAATTATGGCAACCTTGATTGGTCACAATTATTACAATGATTTTCTCTGTTATTGAGATCCTGATCACTAAACATAATTACTCCTTGATTTCATGTCTGCATCAGATGCATTAATTAAACTCTAATTAAACTGCACACTCAAACTATACTGCATATCAAGCTGGGCTCCTGTTCACAACGTATGATAGCCTATGAGCTATGCAGTTAAGGAAGAGAGGGTGTGCCAAAAATGACAAAACAGGCAGAAGATAGGAAATGGCAGGGTAATCCTTTAATCTCAATAATCTTGTTTTATGATCAAGGGATCAAAAGTTGTAACTGAAATTGAAATTAGATAGATGGCCCCACCCTAAAAAACTGCCTATCATTTTTTTAACCTAACAGTCATTAGAGATTCACTGGATTACACCGGATTAAAACAACTATCAACTTATGTCAGCATAAAATATTATTGATATTATTTTGCTGTCACCGAAAGCTATTATTTCCAAGAAATTCCTATCTAACTATCTTTTGTGTTTATGTTTTTTAAGAAGTGACATAGATGGATGAAGCCATATACATTCCAGTCTTCATTGTCTCTTCACCAAAATAAAGTTTGCTGTCTTATGCCTTTAAACTTTAACATAGCACAGTGAAACAGACTAATATTGATGTGCCAAAGTATGATTTCACATTGCATCATGGTGTTGTTGGAGCAAGAGCAGGAACTCCACAGAGACACACATGCACTCAGACATGCACATACACACAGTAGTGTTCTGCCCTCCAGGCTCTGATGCTGCACGTCTCTACTATCTTACCCAAATTACTCCTCTGCTACTACCTCTGACGGAGGATCTAAAGTCTGAGGTTAACACATTGCAGATGAGGAGAAACAGGTGAAAGTGCCCCAGAATAAACAGGCAGCAAATGAGAGTCATGTGATTTGTTTTTTTCCCCTCAGTTGTATGGGACAAAATTGTTTGATAGTACTGCTATACATTTGAGTCAGGTTCTGACTCGGTGTCAGTCTCCTCACTTCTGTAGTTGTGCTCTTTATCAAGTCTCATTGTACAAATGAATATTATATAACTTTGATGATTTTTTTTCTACTTCCTAAAAATTGTTCACCAGTTATTACAAGAATTCTATAATTAACACTAAATAACAGTAACAGGCAGCCGTCTCATGTTGACGGCTTTGAGGAGTGAATTAAGCATTTTCTCCTTCTTCTACAAAGACAATATCAGTCATTTGTTTAACTGCATGTTGACTTTCTACTCTTTTCACTGAGACCACTTTTACCTTCAGCAAACATGTTCATTCTGAAATCCCACAAATCTAGTTTCAGTATGAGCTAGAAGAGGTGTGGTTATGAAGTGTTAAATTCAGTGGAAACCTAAAGTAACAGACTTCTTTTCCTCAGTAACACCAGTACTTTTAACTGCACTACTGTGGAAACCAAGAATACTTTGATTTGCATGTTTCTCAGCAATTTCACTTCTCCAGTAACCCAGCTTTCCTTGAGCTGGTTGGTTGTTAAAGGTCAGAAGAATGTGGGCTGACGTAGAGGCCAGTGCTAAACAGGAACGTGAAAATGAAAGGTTAACATTTTTAAAGTCTCTTGAAAACTATCAGGTGAGTATTTCAACATTAAAGCCCATGTGCTTGCTGTGGTTATTCCTGCTTTTCATCATGACAATGTAAAATCCTCTTCTCAAATGCAAATTTCAATGGAAACGATAAACAGTAACTGCAGGACTCTTTCTGAGCACAAGAAATTTATCCAGAGGTTTGACTAAAAAAGTTTTGCCGGGCTGAGAAAAGTCATTGGGATACCTTCCTCTTAAAGTAAGTATGTGAACATCTACAAGAACCACTTCAGACCTTGACAACATGAAGACTCGTCCAGTTTTATTGAACGATCTCTGTTTGCTCTAATACAGTATTTCTCAGTATTCCTGTAGTATTTCTGTCACATATATTAAAGATATATGAATTAACTGACCAACTGTTGCAGCTCTAGGTGTATTAAACAGGGACTTATAAACTGTCATCTATTTTCTTCTCATTATGACTGATCTAAATGTTGATTGAGGTGTGATGAGCTCTTGTATGACCCAGTGAGCAGCTCCTTCATTTGTGGCTGCCCTGCCCTGACCTGTGACTCTCCCTTGGCCTCCCTCTGAGTGGGGCCGCCTGTGGTGATAGCCTTGTGTGGCAGAAACAGCCATCTGCAGGCCCATTGTGCTGTTAATGGACTCCCACCTTGGAGATGGCCTCTCATGGAAATGCGTGTATTCTCATGTAGAGGTACAGGGTTCCCATCACGACCCCGGCACACCAGTTCCTACTGGAAAACCTTTTCAGGTCCAGAGTCTTCCTCTCTGCACCTCAATGGCTTTCTCCCTGAGAGCCTGACAGTGATAGTCTCTCTGATACATGAGTCTGAAGGATTTGTCGAGCTCAATGGCAGACACAGAGAGTAGCTAACTCTGTAGTGATGATGGATTATTGTGACAGTCCTTTAGAGGAATGCTGCAAAGCCAGGGCCCATTTCATCTTGTTCAGTGTCATCTAGATTTAACAACACCATTTCTTGCAATCCAGGATAAGCTTATCCATTAATGATTTTCATCTCAACATTAGATGTGATCACCCTGATGGGGATCAAATGGGACTTAATATTGTCTTTTGAAAAGATAAGATTGACCTCTGATGATCAAAAAAAAGAACTTTTACAATGTTAATAAAGAGTGTACTTAGTAAAACGGCCAATACAAAGTGATCAGATGGTTAAAAATACAACATTAGGTTATAAAAAAGTTACATTTCTACAAATACACTGTTGCATAAAGTGTATAGATTGCAACATTTTGTATTGTACAATTGTTTTGTATGAGTTTTATACACGGTTTATTGCAAATGTCTGATAGGAGTGAGCAGACACTTTTCATGCACTTAATATAAAATAAATAAAGGACAAATAAATTTGTAGCCTAATCTAAAAAGCATAATCTGTAAATAAAGATTTCTACTACTCAACAGGTGCTAAATTCACTTCTTTAACACAGTCTGTGGCTCTACACTCTAAACTACAGCCTTTGGGAGTCACATTTGTTTTTCTGATAGAGGCCAACTTTATGTTACAAATCCTGTTACATACAAATTGTTCTCATGTAAAGTTAAAATTCAACATATTTTAATCAGTTTCTATTCAGCAAAAATTTAAATATAAATAAAAAACAATTTACTGATCTAGTTCTATGGGGGTCAAAGCTGGGCATGCAGCATATGCAGATTGAGGGGTCACTTGGTTGTCAAACTCATGGGCACAAAACATGAAAAATAGGGTAAATTAGTGAGTGTTTTAGAAGGAGCTGCTGACAAAAGGCTGACAGACAGACAGTGTAGATATCAGACACAAAAACGCAAAAAGCTAAATTTGTTGAGAGCTGTCTAAAAATCAGTTTCATCACTCAGCAGCAGACTGGAGGTAAGAAACATGCAGCACATAACCCCATGATACAGTCCCTTTGATTACAGAAAGCAGACTCAAGGCTCACACTAATAGTGAGCTATGATGGTCTACTGTGGACTACTCCATATATTTTAACATTGTAAGAGCAGAAAATTGCCTTGGTGTCTGCAATAATCCCCCTTAAACCACCAGTCTATCAGAAATATGACAGCTGCCATTCGTTTAGGGGTGGGGAACCCATGTCAAGAGACCCCAACAATAAGTTAAATCTAAATATAATAAATATTTATCTTTGAAATCTATCCTTCAGTTCTTCCTTCAACTCAAATCACTATAATCCTTTTCTCCTTTTTCAATTTTCAGGATCAAGTATTTTCCAAATCTGTTCAAAATACTGCGGTCTTTATTCATACTGAAACTAAAATGAACTGCACGCTCTGATCCAGCATCAGATCCTCTTTCTTTTCAACAAACCATTTCCAGGATTTGATCAATGTAACAGCCAAAATTTTACACCACTGATAAGAAAATATCAAATGAAACTGTCAAATTTTTTCTTCTGTTTTTCTTTTAATTTTTTCTTTCTTTTTCACATTCTCACAACCACAAGACGACTCACACTAAATCCTGTCCCAGACCTCAACAAAAAAGACCACCACAGTCACCACAGACAAGGTGTAAACAGACCGGACTCCTGCAGACGATGATTCACTGGAGCGACCCGGCGGGCCTCATCACAGCAGCTGTTTTCATAATTAGCGGAAGAAATCTATTTTTTCCTGTTCACATGTCAACACATGTGGCTGCTGAAAAAGTGGCACGAATCAGAGTTTGGAATCTCGTCTAAATTAAGCGACTCACAACAGATCAAACGAGGAGACTGGAGGCCCAGACAGCATGTCAAACACAGGAAAGCTCCCTGTTCCAGTACTGCATGCAACGTTTGATTTTAAAGCTTTTCCTGCTGTAGATCACCTCCTCACAGACCGACGAAGCTCCAGCTGAGATAAGAGAGAAAGGAGGACAGGGAGGACTGAGCACAGAACAAGATAGATCTACAGTTCTGAGGGTAAATGGAGCACAAGAGCAGAAGCTTGTTTTATGGATGAAGCTCTTTAAGACGACTGACCTGAAATTCAAGGGTATGAAATGAGCATCATATAAAGTTAACACAACTACTTACCTTATTTGATGAAATAAAAGTACAAAAATATTTGTTCAAAAAAACAACTCTGGTAAAAGCAGAATGATTGATAAACCTCTCCATTCAAATAAAAGCTGAAAAGTAGAGGTAATGAAAGAAATTCACAAAGTTAGAATACCTCTGTCTTTTCAAAGGCAACTGATTACTTGGCAGTTTTTTAAGATTCAAAGCCACTTCAGATAAATAAAAAACACTTTAATGTGAAAAGTTTGAGTGACTTTTGCTCTGGCGGACAGGTCAGTTGTTAAGAAAATAAATTGGAGCCCTGGATCTGATCCCACGCCTTCAGGAACGTATGCTGATTCACTTTCACCAGTGACACAAGTTTCCCCCGATAGTCATGGAAATCATCAGCTGTGAAGTATCCTCTCTTGCCTGTTACATGCTGATACACACTGTTATTGTTGTCATGCTGTGTCTGTTGCCTGTGGTATGCATGGATTGATGAATAAAGCTATCATTTCCTCTATGTGAGAAAATGAGGCAAAAGGATTAATAATTCTCCACAAATGCGTCACAGCTAAACGAAAGGCTGCTTGAAAAATGTAAGACGTCTGTGTGTGTGTTTAAATGAAGGAGGTAAAAGTAGAAATTAAAGGTTTGGTGTGCATGTAAAAGTGAAAAAGAGGGAGCTGCCTACAACAGATTTTTGTGATGCGTCAGGCCCACGTCAGCATTCATAGATCTTCTCATGAGGGCCACCATTTTCCAAGAGCCACACTTAGTGACTTATCCCCTTTTTTGTTTCAATCACTGGATTTTGCTGATGTGGTTGCATAAAAAAAAACTTAAAAAGGAAGAAAAGTAAAAGGTTTTCCAAAAACTACATCCATTATTCTGCACATGTAAGGCCTGATTAATAAATGTGATTTTTCCAATTACTCAATAATTATAATTCCCTACATGTGATGCTACAAGTGTTCCTACGAGTGTTTGATTCAAAAGGTATGTTGGTAAAGTGGACTATGACTGTGTGTGTGTGTGTGTGTGTGTGTGTGTGTGTGTGTGTGTGTGTGTGTGTGTGTGTGTGTGTGTGTGTGTGTGTGTGTGTGTCTGTGCTGGGGTGGGATCTCTGCGGGGGGCAGGGGGATGGAGATGGGGGTAAAGCGCTTTGTGCTGCATTTCCTCTTGTATGAAAAGTGCTTGATAAATAAAGTTTGATTTGATTTGATTTGTCAATAGATGTAAAGTCCAGCAAAGCACAGGTACCTGAAACACTACTTCAGTTGAGCTCAGAAGCCAAGTGTTTTTTTTTCACAGCACACCCGACACTAAGACAACACAATGGATGTCATGAATAATCGTCTAAAAGGGTTTAATTTACAGGGAATTTCCCTTTAAAAGAGCAGAGAGTCACAGTATTAATAACATACAACTGAAAAGATAAACTTTTACCATAAAAGGACAAAAGTGCATTAATTTCCAAAAAGCTGTGGAAGGTCTTATTTCCCTTTTGATCAAATCATGAAACTATCCAGACTCTGAAGCCAGTGCTGGGGTTTTTATGACTTAAGGTGAAAACTGCACAACGGACACTTTTTCTGCAAATTACAGCATGAAACCTCTTGACATACGACTGCTTCAGATCTTGATCAAAGCCTCACTCTGACTGAGTCTGCAGATTTTTCTGCAAACTTAAACAATGACTGTACACGCACGGCTGGCCCTTAAGAGCAGACATCTGTACATTAGTCACAGGACATAGGAAAGCTAACAAGTCTGATCAGACACACAGCTTATCACATCTTCTTATCAGGCTGAAAGGCATCCGAGGAAGGGTTTATTGTGACTTCCTGGCAGTTCAAAGCAAAATTATCTTTATTATCCTACTACTGCCAACAGGTTATGGATTAAACCTTAAATGCTTTGCATGGCAGGAAAACAAGAGTTAAACTCTTCTGCCAGAGATATGGGAATCAGTCTGAACACATGAGGAAGTCAAGTTTAAAAAAGCCAACATATTTCTTTTAACCCTGATCTGACAGCAATGAAAAATGAAGATCACTTCATGTCAGTTACTGAGTGTTAAAAGACACAACTTGTTTTTCCTCAAACTTTTTACATCACCCTCTAAAAGGGACGTCAGACGGTCATAAATGTATAATGGAAATCTTTAGTCACTGATGTCCAACATGGTCTAAAAAAGGGCCTTTGAAAACTCTCTAAGTCTTATTTCCAGCTAGTAAAAGAAGAACTCTGAAGTTGGTCATTTTTGTTAACAGAGGTGATGAAAATGGCTGCTGACAGGTTTAGAGCCTTGTGACGTTAAAGCCACAAATGCAAACTTCTCAATTTCAACACTCTGTTTTCCATTTGTCATTCAGAGACGAACTTCTGTCCGAATGAAATTGCTGATGAATGAGTGAAAACTTATAAAACTACTCTCAAAAAAGGTCCATTTATCAAACTCAGTGAGTAATACACAACATGACTGTGTCATGATATCCATCTCTGATTGCCACACAACTATTTCTCAAGCATCACAGTGTTGCAATACAAAATATTTTCTGAATGAAACTCGAGAAGAGTTTGAGAACACTCCCTGCTGAGTGACCAACAGAAAATTCTCTCGTGATCACATGAAGCGTCAGTCAAAATTCCCGAAAATCTTCATCTTTTACTCAACAGAGCTTAGCTAGTACTTAAACTAAAGCATGACAAGTCAAAGACAGTAAACACATTAAATTTTCTATTCACGATAGACTGCAAAAGATCTGAAATGACTAGCTGTCCAAGTTAGACAGATTCTGTAGGAAGAATACAGTCAGATATTTTCTGACTCCAAAAATTTAATTCAACCAATATTTTTTGTCACTGTCCTTTAATCCATCCATATTGGCAAGAGCATTTTTGAATTACATTTGATTTCTTTGTTGTCACATTGATCTTGGATAATTACTTTGACAAAGTTAAAGCTGAAAAATGATCCTGGTTGTCATACATTTCCATGACACACACTGTACAGAGAAGACGTCATTTTCACTGTAATTGAAAAAACTCTACTAAATACAGAGAGAAACAGACTTCAAGTAATTCAGGTTAAAACCCTCTTCATGTGAAAATCATCTTCACTTCTGCATTTCCTATGAAGCCCATACCAACCTGTACCTGTTCCTTTGCTTTACTTAAAAAGTAAAATTATATTTATCTGTTAAAAAAACAACAATCTATTATCTTTTCATGCTTTCATCTGAGATGGAAAGTATATGTGATACTTCAGTATGCAAAGATGGGATAAAATGAAAAAGCACACCCACCCACAGCAGTCACTTATCACCAAGGGTACATGTTTTCACTACAACTGAAACTTAAGATTGAGGCCTTTTTCAAAAAATAAAGGTCACACTCCAACTTATGATCCAGGCTTTCATCAGCTGAAATGACCCCCGGTAAATCTTTTTTAAACAAAGAGGTCTCATAATTATCAGAAAACTTAAAAAAAAAAAGTTGACTTAAATAATCTTTAAAGTAGATTAAATAAATAAAAAATCAATAACTTGAAAACAACTCCATTAGCAAAAACTGGGGAAAACAAAACTACGTGCTAAAGACAAAAGTTTGAAGTTGTGTAAATTCTCAGAGAATAAAGTCATTGTCCTCAGTAGTGACACACATTTCTCAGGATGTGGGTGTGTGTGTGTAAGTATTTGTGTGCCAACTAGTTCACCTGACAGGCAAAGAGCAGGAAGTACACGTGCTAGTGTCGTATTATGTCACGTCATGCAGTAATGAAATCATTACGGCCAAAGTCCAACGGTCACTCCAGTCCCCCACAGAGACAAAAACTGCTCCTTGCTTTTACAGAAACTGAACTCTGAGCCAAAAATCTCAAACAATCTACGCGGAAATAATCCGATTTAACTATAGTCAAGATCTATGGCAAGAAAAAACAAAAGAAAAAGAAACCACCAAAGAAAATAAAAGAGGAAAAAAAAGCTCCTGATGCTCAAACCTTTCACTCAAGACGATCAGACATACCGATCAGACCACATGACCTCAGGAATAAACGATGTGAAAATGTCAAAAACGTCACCAAACATTCCTCCTAAGCACAGAACTAAATCAGGATTTTAGAAATCTGTTAAGCCAATGCTGAGAAATTTAAATTTCACAAGCAAAAATTTCCAAACACACAATAAACCCGATTTAAGAAAGGTCAAAATCTGATTACAATCATAGTTGGACTTTAAATTCTTCACTGAAAATTTTGTAAAATCTCTGCGGTTTAAGTGAGAACAAATGTGTAGTTAAGGGCATTTACGGCACAATTATATTAGTATGTGAATAAAACTTTCTGTGTGTGTGTGTGTGTGTGTGTGCGCGCCGATCGTGCACGTGCGTAGGTGGGGGGTGCTGCTGCAGGTGTGTGCGTTTAAAGAGTGTGAAGGTGCGAATTTATTTTCAAGCACCTGCGTAGTTAACACTGACATTGCGGTGTGCAGGCCCTGAAGGCCCCGAACTGAAAAGCTGTCACCCATTCATAAGGTGAGTGTGACTGAGTGTGAGAGTGAGAGAGGCTCAGAGGGACAGAGGTGAATGTGGAGAGGCCTCACGGAGGAAGGAAGCTTGACGGTTAAGAAGTTGTAATGAGGGGAAACTTCCTTTAGAGAAAAGGCGGGTAGTGTGTCAGAGTGAAACCTGTCACGACGTTTCAGTTTGAGTCTGCAGCTCAATGAACAGTGACTGACAGCCAGGCAGGCCTCTCACAGCCACACACAAAGCATGTATACAAAATCTCAATCTGAAATATTTGCTGTTTTTTATTGAATTATTTATCTTCTCTCCTAATAAAACACAAATCAAGAGATGATGTTCTGATGTATTGGCTAAGCATCAATATATAGGCAATTTTCAGTTCTGTTTGGCTGACATTGGCTCAGCGGTAAATAATGTGTGTCATGCATTAATGTCAGAAGACGATTCTTCTGTATCCTGTAACATCCTATCTTTATCTTCATCACATCATCTTGACTCCAGGAAGCAAATACACTTTACAGCCAATTCAGGGATGGTTTTTTAGTGGGCAGAGGAAGTCCACTGCTGGACGAACGGATTTATTTTAACGGTCACAAACAAACTCAAATGCATACAGCAGCTCTGATTCCAGAGAAATTTGAAGGAGGGGATTGCAGCTATTTAAATGTATCAAAGCTCATTTTAAAATCAGTCACAAAATAGGACAGAAGAGGTATTAAAGAAAAAAAAAAACACACTGGGATGTGATATTTAATGGCTGAGTTCATGTTTTAAACATGGATATTAGTGTTGGCTTTGATTTTTCACTACCCATGTATTTCTAAAATCAAGTAGTATTTATAAGAAATAAGCTCAATAAACACAAACAACAGCTTCTTTAAAATGAAGTTTGTCCGAATTCAATTTGTAGTTGTGCAAAAATCACAACGCAGCAAGGATAAGAGCTGATGCAATCTCATCGCCTTATTTCAGTGCGTGAGTGTGTGTGTGTGTGTGTGTGTGTGTGTGTGTGTGTGTGTGTGTGTGTGTGTGTGTGTGTGCGTGTGTGCGTGCATGTGCAGACAGAACACGGCACTCCCACCAGCAGGTGTGAGGAGGGCACTTTCCAGCTGGGGTGCCTGGCATCTCTACAAGGACACTAATCGTCGCACCGTCAGTACCTTCACCCAAGCACCCAGGCCCTTCATACCCCTCGTACATCTTAAAGAGTGATTTTTTTTCCCTATCTATTAATTGTTTTTTAATATTTTTTCTGCTTCCACCAAATTTAAGAATCCAGTTTTTGTCTGACCTCGTCACAGAAATCAGACGTTTAATTTTACGAAACAGCTCTATGCACAGCCTCTGACTCTTTCCCTGTGGTGTAAACAAAAACGAACACAGAAAAGTTTCCTTTGTGAAATCTCCCTAACCAGTAACTTAATCTTGCTGTCTCCTTTCCTCCCAAAATTTTCCAGTCTGATAGACATCAGCACACCCAGTCTCAGAGGCCTGACACCTGCAGGCTTCATTTTATCTCAATGATAAGAGGCTGGAGTTTGTGCTCCTCATGAGATCAGGTATGTAATGAACGACTGGTTGAAAGGGATGACAACCAAGAGGAGGTTTCCCTGATAGACAAGAGTTCATTCTGTCCTGTGAAGCAGCCAGAACATGTTCATGCCCATAGTCATCATCCTCACTCAGTGGAAAAATCCAAGACATTAATCACAACGTGAGCCTTTAACAGCAGAGCGAGAAGCCAACAGAGGAACAAAAAGTGACAAAACTGCTGTTTCAAGGTCTTTTTCCAGCAGTAAGTCATCTTGAAACATCAGCATGTTTGACTTCAAGTCACTTCTGACTGTGAGCCCCTTATCACACTCACAAAGAGGAGGATGGGGAGGAGGAGAAGGAGGTCCACCTAACCCGGATGGACATAAATTACCCGAATGCATCATCACCACCTAAAGGCTCCTCAACCGTCAAGTTCTGCCTTAACCCTTTCATGTGTGATAGCAGCACACCCCCGGGGTACTTTTGGTGAGAACATACACACATACTTTCACACACACACTCATACCCGTTTGAGGCTTACTCACCCGATGAGGGAGACCATCTGCTCCACTATATGCCTGCTGAAGGTGACGATCACAAACAGTTTCTGGATGACAAAGAAACACACAGAGAAAGAAAGAGCGAGTCAGTCACTGAACTGTGAGGTCACTGCTGGGGTTCAGAACAACGCCGTGTGTGCATCATAGTTTGATCAGTAATTCCAAACACCCCCTCACACACACACACGCACACACCCTGTCAATTATGCCCATGCATTGCAACACCAGGGAGGTTTGATCTAAAAGCAGCTTTTGTCATAGAGGGCAAGAAATTAAAGGCTGGGGATGTATGACACACAACCAGCACAGTGCACCAGGTCAGCCTTTTACACTGGCTCTATGTGTGTGTGTGTGTGTGTGTGTGTGTGTGCGGGTGTGTGTTAATTTGTATGCATGTGTGGGTTTCAAAGATGTGTCATTGCTTCATAGGGGATCTGGAGGCTGGCTACTGTCCAGCCTCCAGATCCTGTTTTAGGTGCTTTTCCCAAGAAGAAACTTTGCCCAGGAACCTTTTGAGGAACTCTGCCTGTTTCAATATCAGGAACCAGGTCCTCAATGTTGTTAAATAACTGATAAAACCATTGAAAAGTCTATGTCCAAGAGGTAGTAGGGACAAAGAGACACGTGACACGTGAACACACGGGAGAGGGAAGAAGACAGATTGGCATCTTTTTATTTTATTTATTTATTTATTTTTAATTGGCATCTTTTTCTGCGTCTCCCTCTAGCCCCTCTCCAGTCCCAACATGGTATGGACAGACAGCTACAGTGTGTAACATTAGTCTGGTTCTGCCTGAGGTTTCTGCCTGTGAAAAAAAGGTTTTTTGTTTTTTTTTGCCACTATAACTTTAAAAATGCTGCAAAGTTCTCTGTTCATGGTGGATTACAAAGGGTTCTGAACAGGTCCTATCCAACCAGATGAGACTCAATTTTGTAAATAATATAAACAAAGGGTATGGTCCAGACCTGCTCTTTGTGTAAAGTGTGTTGACATAAAATTTGGATCCTGAATTTTATAGATTTTAAGACTGATCAAGAACATTCTGGTTCCTATCCTGCATATCCTGATTTCAGCAGAACAGTAAAACTTTGTACCTATAGCTAATGGTCATGACTGTTTTATTTTGGGGGAGTTTTCAGGTATTTTATCAGTTTCAGGGTTTTGTTTTCTGGAAAAGATCTTATTTACAGGGTAGTTAATTAACGCCAGCTGAGCAGAGAAAGGGGAAGACAGGTGGAGTCAAAAGAGGAAGTTTGCACTTTAATATTTTCCTGTAACCTGATGTTACATGATAATTAATAAAGCTTACCTAGTTTTCATTGAAAGTGTACCAGAGACCAAAAATATAGGGCTCTGCAGGTTACTTATTCCACTCATTTACCAAAAAACTATCCTGGACTCGCACTATTTCACTGGACTGATTTACACACGATTTCTGACTGCTGTGGAAACACTTGACCACAGAAACCATTTAGTTCCCTGAGGAAAAGTTACTGGAAACAAAAAGTTCCTGGTACTTATGGTCAAAGAGAAACTTCAATCACCAAGCTAGAAGGGACAGATATTGACTTGCAGCCATTTTGGTTCACATCTGCCTTGTGTCATAGAACATGAAACCAAAGTCGTGACCAGATTCTGCCCTTTGCAGTGTTTTAACATCAGACTATTTTTATAAACTAGTACCTACTTTGGCCACTTTAAATGGAGTTTGACCCAGTAACATCAAGCTGACCTTTAACATGGCATTAAAGAAAGCTCTACATAACAGACTGTAAGCTGGGACCTTCATTACAAATTCATGTTGTGCAGAAAAGAATTGTTTAAACCCGCAGAGGCTTTTTCTTTCTGAATTCTAGTCCAGACGCAAAGGTTTCCAGAGACACTAAATATATACTGCTGAAATTATAGGGAAAAGTGTGTAAAATGATACATGAGACATCTAGAATTTTCCACTTTCTGTAATGATGGAGCATTACACAACTGTCATCCTGGATCTGAATTTTTGTCTTAATTTAAACATCTAGCTTTTAAAAAAAGTTAGAGAAGGAATACAGAGAATACTGTAAAAAAGACCTAACAAGGTGTTAAAACATCTCACATTATTCATAAAACCTATGTTTGTAGTTATTGGTCTCATTATAAGCTGAAAGTAAAAGGGTACCAGCAGAAGCCTGACTGTTATGGGATTAATGAGGCAAGGACTAAAATCTACATTAAAACTTTTTTTTCTGTGTGAAAAACTGTGAACTGCCTCATCTTACATCTGCACGGTACTGTAGATTAAAACGCATTTTCACAAGAAAAACGTCACTTTACTCCATTAAATTGCAGCATGGATCCAATAAACATACAACACACTTAATAGTTTTAAATTTACCACTTGGCACACAGTTTAAAGCTCCTGTGAGGACTTGTTTGTCTGTGCTGGTTTTGGCGCCCCCTGTGGAAAAAGTGGTAACCATTGAATCACAGCTAATTTTGTAAAAATGGTGTTAATTGACAAAATTCTCCCCCCATCGTTTTTTATTTGTAGCGAAATGTTTCTCTCGTTATAAATATTTCCCCGAGTAAAGAATCTAAGGTTGTTTCTTTACAGGCATTAATAATTATAACACAGATATTGTCCATCGTGTCATTCAATGGTCTCATTTACTTTTAAACATCATTGAGGCACATCAGTGTTCTTTTCAGTCTTATTTTATAACTAACCAAAACTCCTCACAGGAGCTTTAAAAAACACTGTTTACCTTAGAAGATCACTATAAAAGTCACTGAATGCACAATGTTCTTCTGTGCTGTTTGATGGAACAGACGGATTTCACATTATACTGCGCTAGCCTGCTTATGAGGGGATAATGGACCAAAGAACTGTTTTCTAAAAATGTCTGTATACCTGTAGATTTGGCCATCAAACACTTTAATGTTCCTAAAAATATGAATACATAAAAAACCCTGCACATCAGAAACAGACAAACGAGAACAAATGTCCCAAGTTTTCCGTGGCAGCTGATCAATATTCCTTAAAAAGTTCAGACATTATTTGAGATGTACACCATCAACTGTGGTACAGATAAATAAATTAAGACTACTGCACATCCTCTTGTATCATAAATTCCTCACCCCTTAGTCCACATATTTCTCTGACTCCTTTTAGCTGCTGTGTCCTGTCTAACTGAGTTACTGTCAGGGGGAATATGCTCTGATCTTAGCGGATCTATACCTTCAACCAGGGGTGTTTGAAACTCTGCTGAGGGTGGGAGGGATGCACACAGACTATCTGCAAGTCAGCTAGATGCTCCCTTATAATCTCCCTACAGGTCCAAATTTGTTCTTTGAATAGATTTAAAAAAGTCCACACCAGCATACAGTAAAATAACAAAGGATCCTTTGGATAAATTAAGTTAATCCAGTTGAACATACAGGACCTTGATGGGCTACTGGTTAAGGTGAGTATTTTGGTTGGAGGTTAAAATGCAGAAATGTATCACACAGGACCACCAAATACTTCCAGCACCATATAAAAACACCTCCAATGTCAATCTATAAAAAGGAAACACTGAAAGTGAAAATGAGAATGCTATAAATAATCAAAGTTACCGAGACAACCATATCAGCACACCTTTAAATGACCACACTGAAGATAACCCATCATCAAGACGCTCCACACAATCTTGATGTCATGTGACAGTGCTCATTGTAAGATGTCATCTAGGTCATACATGCATTATCATCTGGTTGTCTTCCAGTGATCACTTCTCCACACTGCTTCTTGAGCCTCTGAGCTGCACTGAAGGCTCGACACAATGAAGAGAAAAACACGCAGTCACAGTGTTGTCACAAAAATAACTGAACTTATAATTGACATGTGCGACCATAAAAAAAAAAAAAAAAAAAAAATACGTTTGACATTTGCAGTCCTACTATTTCTGTGCCTCTCAGAAAATAAACACAAGGCGGTACGGTAAGTAAATCCCCCCAAAGCTACATTTAAACTGCAACTAGAGGAACAAGTTTTGGAGGGATGCACTTGAACATGGATTTTGTGAACCCACATCTCCTAAACAAACGCTGACAAAAGATCTGTCATCCAGCATGAAAAGAAGGAAGGGACAGCAGGATGGCCGAGTCAGGAAAGCTGACTAAGAAAGGTTAAGTGTCTCTTCTGGGAAACTGACAGTGACGTGATAGTGACTCGCTGATTACAGACAAACAATAATGCCGATAAGAGCAAAAAATACACATTTACCAAGAAGATAGCATGACATCAGGTCTTAAAGAAAATTCACAAGAATCTGAAGGGGGAGGTGTGTGTGGGGGTCATATGGGAGTAAGGACATCCTTCAGTGAAACTTTGCTCATCCTCTGCCTCAGCTAAGCTCAAAACAATCTTTCTCACGTGTGTCTGCGTGACATAAACCCTCACTGTCAGTGACCCGCTGCGATGCAAAGGTCCTGACATTCACTATTCAGCGGCGTACATTAAAGCGTGACACTAAAGGAGCAGGAAAAAGATGCCTCTCCTTGGAGACTGCTGTTGCTGCTGAGAATGCACCTGAAGCACAGGTACACACTCAGATCAAAAACCAGCTTTGAAACACACACACACACACAAAACACAAGAACTGAAATCCCCTTTTGTTCCCTCTCGGCCCCAGAGAGAGAATGTCACCTGCTCTTCAAAACATGTAGTTTTCTGCCCACACACTGAATAAGTCCTGAATGATTTGCATTTAAAGCTTGAGGAAAATGAAACCAAGCAGCTAAAGGAGGGGGATCGGGGCCCCCCAAACATGCCAGAGAGCCCAGTGAAGTCTTTCTTTCTGTAAGACAGAGAGGGACACACCTCTGTCAGTGGGGGCCCCTGGGACCCCTGGGTGTAATCTGGTACTGTGTGTGTGATTGTGCCTGCCATGCATGCAACCCCCACCCGTCCCTCTCACTTTTCCCTCTTCTCTTTCTCCATCACCTCCCACAGACAATGTTTATCTGCTTTCCCTCGCACTCACTAGCCCCCCCCAACACACACACACCCAGGACCACCACTTCTTTTTCTACAGGACAAAGCTTTCTGCGTATGATAAGAACTGAAGCACAGAGGAAAAATGTTTGCTTTTAACCCTTTGTCTTTGAGTCACAATGAGAAAATTCCTGCGTTTGCTCAGAGAACAGAAAGTCGAGCTCCTGGCGGTAATCACACACATACTGCAAATTCCTGGACGCAAATTGAGGATTTTCCAGGATTAGAACAAACATTAGCAAAGCCAAGTCTCTGAACAGCATTTTCCTCCTCGGGGTCGAGGACGTACTTTTCCTATAAATTCTCAATCTGCTGCAGTCTGGCTGGTCTACTATACAGAGAAGCTACTGGGGGTGCTGCAGCTGCAATCACAAAATGGTTGACTCCCCCTGCTTTGGCTGCACAAAATGGCCTCCTCACAAGCAGCTGAGTGCACTGCAGCTGTAGATGCTGGGCTTTATTGGATCCACTATCTAACACACGTCTCCCCCTGAATACAGTTTTATGCAAATCTTAAACTTTAGTCCTAAAGCAGTTTGTCTGCAGTAAAAGATAGAAAAGATAAACTCTGCACACACAGCAAACAAATTCTGCACTCCTGAAAAAAAAAAACCCTCATCTATTATGAATGAGGATTCTCACAGTCATGCTCACCTGAATGTGCATTTTGATGACTGCTTTTCCAATGAGTGTTGCACCAAAAAAAGTCCAAAAGGGAACCAAAAAGTGTCCACATGTAATCCCTGCCAGGTCAAACAAGGGGTTTGGAATCTGGAGAAAGAGCAGAAATGAGGAGACTTTCTTTAGAGCAGGTTTGAGTTTAGCCTAAATAAACTCTAAAGACTGTTTAGAACATAACACACTATTGAAATACACTGATTCATCAAAGCTAAGACATCTGTGATCAACAGGTTCACCTGCGGAGTGTCGTTGACACTTCCATCAAATTATCTCACAAATACAAAATCTGCATTTCTGAATTTCCCCTCCGTATTTATACACTGAAGGGCACAAATCAGTCTTTCCCTTCTCATTTTGAATTAAACAAGGATGTGAAAAAAAGTCAGCAGATACACCCCACAGTGAGGCTGATAATGTTCATGTATAATTTAGAGATTAATGTGTGATTGGACTCACAGAAGCACAGGCTAAAATCCCAAAGAAGCCCACCCTCTGGATGAGTTTTTGCACGGCCACTTTTGCCCGGCTGGGAAAGTCCTAAAAAAACAGGGGAGAGGGTAAAAAAATATGAGATTTAATTTTGCCGTGGGACCTGATGATGCTGAGCTGATGCATACAGTATGAATAACACAGACCTCCCTCTGTTCAAAGAAGATATCTTTTACACAACATATTTAACAGCAACAGATGATTTGTTCCTTCAAAATCATTCAAGAGTCTTAATCAACTGATTATGAGGCTGTCTTTCTAAACATCACACATTTGGAGGATTCTGCAGCCATCATGATGTTTCTTAAATATAATTACTCCTTCTGTTTTATTGACAGTTAAGTCTAGGTTCATTTTAGACCAATACATTTTCTACAGATTGAAATGAATAAACCAGGACTGGGTACACCTGGTCTATCATCTTATAGAAATAGTTTTTTTCTGTATGTCAGAGGGACAATCATCAAGGTGTGTCTGTAAGAGTGTACAACCAGCTGCACTGATATTTGTCTATGTGATTTACAATGAAGGATTGAACACCTTTTTAAATGTAAAGTTAAAGTGAATTCAGAATTTTAGATCAAATTTTAGTTTGGGAAAAATTGTACAATTCAAGATCAGCCTTTCTCATCTCTGCTGTGTTCTGCTGTGAGCTGCTGTGAGCTGCTGTTCCCACTTCATCACAATTTCCTGTGTCTTGAATCATATTCAAATTTTTTAATCACATATCCAAAAAAATCTTTGTGTTCAAATGAAACGAAAAATATGCAAATGACCTCATTTTTTAAAGCTGTGGTGGTTTTTAAGTGAGTGCAAAGAAGCGGCAGCTGCAGCAGGAGTTCATTCCCTTCTTTTTTTGAAGTCTTCCTTAGTCAGAGACTTGAATCAATTTCTGAGTAAAATATGAGCTGATAAACAGGATGATAAATTCCTCAGAAATCAGATCAACTATGGTGCAAACTCTACGTGGTTTTAACTTTCACCTATTTTGATCAACTCTGCATCTAAAGTGGTTTTCCCGTCCTAACACTAAATTTATTCTTCCAAACCGTCCTTACTTTCAGCGATTAGTTTTTAATGATGAAAACATTTTTACAATTTAATACACTGACATTTTAATTTCAAAACATAATTACGGTTTTAATTGTATTTTTGTTTTGATGTTAAAAGTTTACCATAGAAAGTAAAGGGGATCAAGAAGTATTGGAGGTAAAAAGTTTTTCATTGTCAATTTTTAACATCAAAAAAATTAATTCATCCAATAAAAAGCATTTTTAACGGGAACATATATATATTAATAAAAAGTTTGAATTTAAAGAGAAGGTTTAACCAGCAGCCCAAACTCAGAGCTACACACCCCTGACAACCATGCTGAGATAAACATCTTCATGTTCACTTGATGAATTCACAGATTCACCTGCCACATATGTTAAAAAGATTACAAAACTCTTTATTTCACAAATTTCTCCTTCATAATCTGGTTTGAGCACGTCTTAAATTCAACTCCTGAGCCCCGTTTTGACTCCTTTGTCATGGGAATGTGAGAAGAAGACAACAGATCTTGGTCATTCCAGTGACTCACATATTCTTACTTTTTCTGCCCCTCTTGGCCTATTCCTCCTGACAGCTCAACAAAAGCCTCTTTTCAATGCACTGACACACATTTTTCCCTAATATACCTTTTCTGGGAAGAGGAGCCTTAATCTGTGTGGATTTTAACCTAAACTAGTTCTGGGAACACAGTGGGGGAAGCCCAGGAGAGCCCTGATCTTGGACCTTTTACTTTTTTTGGACATCTTTAATGTCAGGTAATAAGAAAAGGATTATTTTTGGATGGCTGGATCATTGCAGAATCTAAAGTCATAATTTTTCTAATGAAATAACTGATCAGAAAAGAATCTTAACATTACAAAAATTAAGATTAAATAGAAAGAGAACATTTCATGACCTGAGTTTTTCAAGTCAGATTTATTATTCTCAGGCCTCACTCTGCTCTCATTAAAATCTGTTAACAGAGGATTTTAATCTGACTGAAATATACACTCTGGTTTTACTTCTGTAATTTTTCTAAATGTTTCTGAACTTATCTCAGCTTTCACTGATAACGTTCTCTTTTTTATGTAATAAAAACGGCAGAATTGCCTCTTTTTAAACGAGTCAAAGTTTTTCATGTTTAAACCTCTGTAAATTTAGGGTCTTACAGGATGAAACATTTATTTATTTTGCACATTTTTAATGAAAATAGTTTGTATTGGGGCTTTTATTGTACAATGGAAACTTTGTTGAGCATCCTTAGTTTATCTGCACATTAAAACATGCTTTGAGATGATCATTTTTAAATCAATAAATTATGCTTTGACTTTTTTTATTTTAAATCTATTATTATTGTTACAAATATAAGCATGATATTGTACAAGTGTTCTGAAGTAATAAAGACATATCTCATGAAAAGCTTCCTCCTTTGATTCCCTGATAAATTTGAAATAAGAATCATTTCTTATTTGTTCTTGATAAAATTTTAGTAAAAACTTAAGTTACAAAGTTACATGTCTCCATTTACAGAAAAATCAGTTTCTCAGGGATTTAGATACTGTCACATTTTTACTGTCATTCACCTAAATTTGTTTTTGAACAGGTTATTTTTCCTGTTTGTTTTCTGACATTTGTGGATGTTTTTAAGCAGCAAATTGATCCCCAAAAGATTTCTAATAAATGCAAAAGTAAGACCCTGAAAATGTAAGTGGTTCATGTTTTGAGTTCATCTTTTTAGCACAAAACCTGTTTAAGAAATTTGTCTTGTTTAGAAAGATGACTTCAATACTGAAATAACGTATTAATTTTTTAAATAACTAAATCAAATAAATCATTAGAAACGAGAGAGGGAACACCTTTTTCTGAAGATAAAATAAGGAATTGTTTTGTGCTGAAACTTAGGCCTCTGTTTTCTGCAGCATCGTGTAAATCCAAAATTCTGAGGCTGTGGTGGGGGCTGGCAGATCATGATCATACCTAATATGGTCAACAGAACCAGTACAGTGCTGATGACATTCTCTACAGGGTGCAACTTAGCGGTCAGGAAATTTGAGAGACATGGGAGGTCGCCTAATAAGGTGCTGGTGGGGGGAGCGAAGGGACATGCAATCTGATTGGTCCACGATTTGAATTTCTGCCTCCGCTGACGTCCAATCGGAGAAGGTTTCTCCTCGGACTAGCCTGTAGTTTTAATTCCAGCCTGTCCCCATGTGTGTGTGTATGTGTGTTTATTCGCTGCTCAGCTGGTGGGAGACAGGCAGAGCAGGAATGTGTATGGTTGGTTTACAGCTGAACCGCTGAGGACTGACTTTGGACCAGAGACACCTGACGACTGTGGGTGCTGTAGTGTAGACAGAACCCTGCAGAACCAATCGTTGCCGTGGAGACAGCCTGTGAATCCCATTCATTTCATGACATCATGACACGTGCATTGTTTACATTAGAGGTGCTGTAGTTGAGCCTTTGGCTCACGCAGTGTGAGTGAGCGTGGAAATATTACCGTAGCATTGAACAAAGGGTCCCCGAGGAGGTGAGAGGAGGGTGTAGGAGGGTGTGTTCGTGTGTGTGTGTGTGAACTTGTGACACTGTGATTTACTATAGTTAAACTCTGTACTTGGACTCTCTCTGTGTTCTGCATTTCTGGACCCAGGAAGCGTCTATCTTGGATGGCTGGGGTTCAGACATCCAGACTCTGTTGTTGGCGGCTTATGGAAAATCACCATCTTTGCCAGGCAGCTTGCCAAGGGCTGCCTGCCGGTCCCCCCCACCCCCCCCTTTCCGCCCCCGTCACGCCGGCCCGCAGGGCTGGGCTTAGCAGCAATTACATTTGGTAAGATCTTGTGAAGGGTGCAGCGTCATTAAAACCATGGAAGTTTTTTTTTTCGGTTCCAGGTTTGGGTGCTCGGCACAGATGCTTTACTCAGCAGTCTGCACCATCACCCCACATGGAGCCGAACTCCACAGGGAACAATGATCCCATCTGATCCGCTGTTTATAGGTTACAAGAGGAGCATCATAAGAGCTCCTCAGAAAAACCACAGTGTACAGAGTTCTGTCCTACTTCTTTTTACAGCATGTTTTTGACATGTTTGACATGAAGCTTTACTTTGTTTTAACTTTTTAACTATTCTTCTACCTTTTGCTCTCAGTTTGGCATTTTATCTTCTTTCTGTTGTGAAGCACTTTGGGTAGCAGGCTTATAGGTATTAACCTGCTATATAAATAAAGTGGAACTGAGTTTAACATGAAATACAGATAGTTTATGGAAAACAGAGAGCTAGTAGCACCATAGGATGTTTTCATGGTAAAAATACAGTAATTAATGAGGAATAGCAGGATGTCTGCTGCAAGATGAGAACTGACAGAGTTATATCATTGGAACAATTTTATTAAAAAACAATTTAAGTCATGCTTTTGGAGGAAACATGACTCAAGACCTGATTCCATTTTTTTGAGGGGGGGATCAGAGTAGATTCTGTTGTTGACCACATAGTTTGAATAGATGTGGTTTTACACATACAGAGTTTGTTTTCTTTCTTTTTCTCTGGGAAATATATTTTTCTAGAAATATGAGCAGGATGTTTTCAGCTTGTCAGCTCTTGGAATAATTTCTAAAGGGAAGTTTTTTTGCCTGTTAATTACGTGAAAAGCATCGGTGCATGTTGAGATGTCTTTTATTGAAAGTAAGTGAGGAGATCCCCCGCTAAAAAAAACGAGGTTTACCCTTCACAAAGTTTTCAGAGCAGCACTCTTTGCTCGTTCTGATGGGGAACAGATTTCAAATACAGACAAAAAGCAGGCAGCGACAAGGCACCCTGCTCAATGTGGAAAATCAAAGTGTCAGACAAGGAAAAATCTATGCATAGCCTATACACAAGTCAACACCCACGCACATTTTTTTCTCTCCTTCTCCCTCCCTCCCTCCTGCTCTCTCTCTCTCTCTCTGTTTTCTTTTTTTTTCTCAATGAAAGTCTTTCACACAGAAGACACACATCTCCGAAGCGGCCGCGAGCCCCCAACACGATGACGGCTAAAGTTCATCTCATTAACTCCAACAAGTCTGCGCCTGCTCGCTCAGGCACAGGAAGAGGAGTGATTAAAGAGTTCTGACGCAATAGAAAACTGCAGTCCCCCTAAAGAGGAAATAAAGAGACGAGCTGTACATTGAAATCTATATGGACACACGCACTCGCTCACACACACAGAGGGACACACACATGAAAAATGCACCCCTGAGTCCACGTTGACAAATTCTTTAACAAGCTGTGGTTAAAGGGAAGCTGGTTTTACTCTGACTCACCCCCCTCCTTTCAAACAGTTTACTGGAAATAAAGCGGGAGGAGGAGGGAGGGGGCACTTTCAGAGAAGTCACGTGACGGGGCCGGGCAAACCACAGCACAGAGAGTCTTTGAGTGCAGTGGGCCAGGGGGGAAGCAGGCATACGCCCAGCGCAGATGGCCCTGATTTGAGTTACAGGAGATACGATCCTGGGAGTTGGCAATCAAGAATTCACAGCCTGTTAACCCCTTCTGTGCCGGATGAAAAAAAAATACACACAGGGCAGGAAATAACTTCATTATCAGGTTACAAGCAGTCATGAACCGGATCCATGCAGGCAGGATCCTCCGAGGCGGTCTAAGGATTCCTCCCCACTTTCCTCCCCACGAGCGCTATGAGCTAAAGATTTAAGAGGGGAAAAAAAAGAAGCTGATGTTCATGACATCAGCGTCTGGAGCCGTTAGAAAAAGCATGACTTCATTATTCTTGAATAGCTCTGTTGAATGAATGAGAAAAAAAAAAAAAAAATCCCAGAGTGCCGCCGTGCATCACGTGCACTTGTGGCAGGAAGTTGGCACGTGCTGGTTTGGAGAAATACCTCTGGGTTTAAGTCAAGCTGCTGGCACCGACAGTCCTCTGTGACTGGAGCGCAGGGGACAAAGTCAGCACCTTAATCCAGCTGCTGCCACAGGGTGTGTGTGTGTGTGTGTGGGAAAGATCTAAGCATGCGTGTGTGTGTGTGAGCAGCGTCGTCACGTCTTTGAGGACAAAATTTAACTGCTGCCTGACTGATACACAAAGATCAAATGATACCAAAGCGCCACAAATCCAACTTCAGTGGAGTCTGTTTCCACTTTGGCCTACAGTCACTGGTTAGCAAATTGCAATCAAAAGCTGACACGAATCCAGAAGTGATGAACTCTTCTGCATCCACCTTTAGAAGGTGTGAAAAAGGTGCAAAGCTGAAGAGTGAAAAAAGCAAAGATGTGCTGTGGAATCTCCTCTAGTAAAAGAGGGAACCCTGGGAACATCCGAGTGGCGGTGAAAGCCCTGGTGAGAGGAAAAATGTTTCCGTATGTAGCAGGTCCGTGCTGGCGCATGCAACCTGCCTCTAGATGCTGTCAGATGACACGAACACATTATATACATACACACAGCTGCCACATATCATCAGAGAGAGAGAGAGAGAGGGAGAGAGAGAAAGAGAGAGAGAGAGAGAGGGGAGAGGGAGCAATGCACAGCGGGAGTTGAACAGTGCGTGAGAAAGAATAAGAGCAGAGAAAGAGAGGGACAGAGAAAGAAACAATATGAAAGAGAGAGAGAAAGAGCGCAACAGCTGCAGCGTCACTTCTCGTCTGCCTTCGTATGGTGGATGCGAGGCAAACAGGCGATGCTCCTCTTGCGACGCACTTTTAGTTTGTTTGCGAAAAGCCACGCAGAAGCTCTTCAACGCGGTGTCGATGAGTTAGACAAAATCTCCTCTTCTCCACGTCGCCTGTTTGTCTCGTCCACTGTCTCTGTGCTTTTCTCACCGTTTGGGTGGGAAGCAGCACTTTATCAGTGAGTGATGTCAGAGCTCCACTCACACACATGTGGTCTGATGTTAGTGCCAACCTATCCAGCTGTCCACAGCATCACTGTGAGTGGACTTTACAGAAGGTGCAGCAGCTCAGCAGCGGCACCTATTCTTCCATTGTACCATTTTTTTTTTACTTCCTTGTATCTGTTTCAATATTAGTGTCTTTAGACCTCTCTTTGGTTTGTTTCGTGGTGCTTAAAGTGAAAACAAAAGTGTTTGATGCATTTTTTTAAGAAGAACATTAGCACATTTACAGCACTGCTTTGTGTCTAAATGTGACCTAAAGATCTTTATCTATACTTTTTAAAATCAAATAGAGGAATAACCATCATGTTGTTAAAGGAAAAACCAATGAAACACAGGCTGCCCGACAACAGATTACCTGCTGCTGCTTTAAGGTATAAAAACTTTGAAGGCGATCCAAAGGGGAAGTACCTGCCTTGACTTCATAAGAGCTGCGGTCAGAAGTACGACATACCAATATTGAACCAAGGATTTGTGTTGATATAAGCAAATGTGGTTGATCACACGTGGCGTACTCTCTTTAACTGAATTTGTCCTGGACTTCCTCTATAGGCAGCTGTGGGATAAATGGGAAGAAACATACTGAGGCTAGTAAAGTAGCATTATAATGTCACCCACAAAAGGAGATAACCCAGCAGGCCACCCAGATATTTTTACAACTGTCAAGGACTATATCATTTTCACATATCTACTCATATGTACTATTAGAATACAAGACCTGCATACTAGTGAGCCATCAGTGTGGCTCTGCACTCCTCATGTATGCACAGGTAGCATCTTTCCTGATCATATACGTAGATAATGAGAAAAAGACACTAATTGAGATGTTTTGCCCTAAAGGCAGATTATATTGTGACATCTCATGCTAAATAGGAATCCTCAAATGCACGTGTTTTATATTATAGGATATATGATATATAGGTTAATTCGGACCATGTAAACTGTACTCTTTCTTGTTACATTATTCATAACAACAAGGCCCAGGCTCCCTTTACGTGGTTTTTCTGTTGTTACAGAGGAATCAATAGTGTATTCAATTTCAGGTTATAATTATTTCTGTGTGATCTCAGTGTGCAGCCCTCTCTGTCTCTCTCTCTCTTCTCATGAACTTTACACAAGTGCTGGGGCAAACGAGGTGATGTGCACACTCTGTCATTAAAACTTTGTCCTGACCTTTACACTTAAATGTGTGTGCCATATGCATCCAAACAAAATAAAGGAAATCTAGTGTTGTCCATACGAACCCCACGCAGCCTCGCTCAACAGTCCGCAGTGCTGATGAGAAGATACTGATTATTTATGTAATTAAAAGAACGCATATATTATAGTCGTAAAAAGTGATAGACGTCCACCAGGAGAGATTTTGAAGAAACACTAATGAGGACATAAGATTTCATTATGACAATAAAAGGTTGCAGAAAAAACACAAACTTTCACCTGAAAATAAGAAGAATGTGAGAAAATAAATATTTGGTGAGCAAAATTTCTGAGGGGGGTCCCCAGAATCTCCTGGCAGTGCATTTAATCAAAAAAATCATTTTAAAATCAAAATCCTATAGAAGTAAATGAGGTAATAAAATGTTCTGTTCATTTCTGTCACCCCACCTGATATGAGCTGTTGTCCTGCAGGGGACACTTGACCTGTGTGACAATTTTTGTATTAAATTTAAACATCTGATGTTTCAATTAACTTGTGAAAGATAAATTAAAGGTCAAATTTGTGCTCACAATTTTCCCCCTTTTTATTAATTTATTTGTATGAATCCCAATTTATGAACTAAATGGTCTTGTTACTTACATGCTCTACAGGTGATCAGACGGAAAGTGAGAGAAAGTGAGAGAGAGCTCCTTCAGTAGGTCTCTCCAGCAAATGCAGAGACTGAAGTGAAACATACCTGGACCCCAAATATGAACCTTCTTGTTCTACTACTGACAGCGACTGATGAATATCATCTAGAGATTAATAAAAAAGAAACAGCAGAAGCTGGAGACATGCTGCTTTGTGTAAGAACAGAGATAGTTGTTGGTGCTGTTTATGAGAGGGGATAACAGAACTGAAAGAAGGTAAATTAAGCAAATCGAAGCAATTAGTAAAAACTAACTAAAATCAGTGGAGATGAAAGAACAATTTATGAGTAAACTAACTCAATAACAGAATAAATACTTAGCATGCCTTCATAAAAATAAACAGTATAAGGTAAAATGTGGTCTGGGAGGTAAAGCGTTAGGTTATCAGGTCCCTCTGTGCCTTTACAGTGATCTTAAAACTTTCCTTTTTTGATTAGGCTCATAAAGGCTTGGAACAGCTTTCTTTTCTTCTCCAACTTTAGATCTCTCAGTCACTAACCACAGATTTTCCTGGGATTCCCTGAGATTCCTTGTCACCTGTGTTGATCTGCAGACATCCTGCTGCGGTGGACCTGCCTGATTCCAGCTGCTACAACTAATAAAATCAGCTACACCATTATTATCACTGTAATAATCCACATGTTTGTTGAAGAATAGTTTGACTCCAACTGTTTTAACTGACAGTTTAATTACCTCCCCCATTATCAATTCTATTATAAATGCTACTTTTAAACCTGCTGTCTCTAACTATTTTAAATCTTGAGATCAGGCTATTATGATTGAATTTGCAGTTACGGTTATCGGCACTGTAACTATTAACTCTAAACAGGCTGTCTTGTTAATGCTGTTGATGTTTTTGAATGTTGTTACATATCCCTCTCTTATAGCATCTTTCTGCTTTCAAATCTTAGCATTACAAAAGTGAGGCTTGTCTGTATGATGGGAACATCACTGTGCTGATATCTCTGTAATCCTCATTTAAAAATGATCAATCTGTTTATCGTTTGCTCCTCTCTGCTACGGTTTGTTTGATAGTGAAAGAGTGAGTGTGTGTCTGTAGTAAAGCTGAAAACCATTTATGGATTCAGCCGTTTTACTGCACTTGACCTGTCTGACTGTTTGACCCAAATGTTGGAGGGAAAGAAACATTCCTGAGGATAAAGACTGTGTCAGGACAAACGGGTCTGACGAAAGCCGTTACAAAACCACACACAAGTTTCCCCTCATTCCTCCTCCTCCTCCTCCTCCATTCATAATCAGCAGAGGCTGGAAAAATAAATATTTACAGGGAGCAGTTTGGCATTGTTGAAAAATTCACGGGGAGATTTGATATAAAAATGTTTTTTTAACGGGAAAGGTTCAAACGAAGAAGGGCCGGAAATGGCGGGAACATTTTACTCCAGTGCATCATTGCTGTTACATTAGTCATATCATTGTGAAAGCTCTTGATTCCTGTTGTACCGTTGAGACACAGGGGTGGGGCCTAGTCACACACACACACGCAGACACACACGCACACAGGGAACAACACAATAAATGCCGCATAACAGAGTTCACTGCAGGGAGTTTATGATGGACTGGTATGGAAAAATACTACAACTGAGAAAAAAGAAAAACTCTTGGACAAAAACAAAGAAATCCAAATGAAAATAATAAAATGGAAACAGAGTGAACATGAAGGTAGAACAGAGCAAAGAGGTGAGAGTGAAAACGAGCAGGCCAAAGTTTAACTTTATCTAGATAAGTGTTATAGGGATGAGAGGGATCGGGGAGGGAGAAAACAAGTAAAAAAGTGTGACGCAGATGATGAAGAGGAGCTGTGGGGAGTCACCTGAGCAGATTGGGTCTCATCATCCAGCATCTCCTCAAACCTCTGGTAGTCCTCGTCATCTGGATCAACACCGGACAGCCGCGCAGCCCGAGCCATGAAGTATGGAGGAAGTTCACCTATGGCTGTACCTGCGCCCTGCTCATACACACACACACACACACACACACACACACACACACACACACACACACACACACACACACACACACACACACACACACACACACACACACACACACACACACACACACAGAGATAGACAAACACAGTCTGTTACAGCATTTCACTGCTGTCAGAAGCACCCCAAACTTTCACTTTTTTAATTTACATCCAAACAGTCTGACAACCAAACATCTTTAACATAAAACAGAAAAGCTGTTAAACCAAAACATTTTGTGAATGAATCCAAAGCTGTTGGAGACTACTACTCAAAGTGTATCTGGTTACTTTTTAGATTTCATAACCTGTTATCATTACAAAAATCTTGAAGGACTTATTGCATGTGAGTCTTGGTCAAATAGCGACCACCACATCAGATTAAACATCCGACTCAGCAGAGAGGATCCGCCTTCGTCAGCACAGAAGCTTCCTGGGAGAAAAAGAGTGTCACGACCTTAAGTAACCCCGCCGTACAGCGTGGAAGCAGAGAACTCTTATTTTTCGGCTGTATAGACACAGTGGACTCAGTGCAGAAAAATGTGTTAAAGGGAAACCAAAGTTCATGTCACAAAGGCTGAAAAATGTAGGGTGGAGACAGCCGAGCAAAACCCAGAGCGGCTGCTATTGGCTCATCTTCAGATGAGTTGATGGCTCTACTTCTGCCCAGCCACGCCCCAAATTCAGGTCAGGTTGAGGATGAGGTCTTTGCTCAGAAAGATGGAGACCATACAGACTTGTAAATTGCCAAGTGAATCTAGGTAAACCTGAAGTATCTCACTAGAACACTCGATGGAGGGAACCCCCTGAGCGCTACTGTGTATTTTGCACACTGTTGTAAGGCATGCTCCATTTATCACCTGATGAGTCTGCTGCTGTTAGAGAAGCAGAGTCCATTACATTACAAAAGTAGTGAAGCAAAAGATGGGATACACCAATGACTTTTACAGGTAAATAATACGCTTCAGAATTTAGTCATTTAGTTACTTTCTGTAACAGTAACAAGTTCTGTAACTGACTGCTAATTTTCGGCAGCTTGCTCAAGTCTGTTTATAAGTACAAGAGTAAAACTAGGGGTGTCCCGATACAACTTTTTTACCTTCGATACGATACCAATATTGTAGTCTTCAATATTGGCCGATACCGATATTGATCCCAAATTAGCACAAACTTGTGCATGACATCACTCCTTCTCCTTGGTACTTTGTTAGTACCTTTGTACACACTGTTGTTGTGATCATGTGGACTCTACATGGTGGATATGGGTGCTGCTCGATAGAGGTGCTGGAGTGGAGTCTGGAATGGACTGCTTGTATCAGAGTGCTGATATCTGAGATTTTAGATGCAGGCTGATATAATGTGATATTCGAATTTTTGCTTATATCAGATCAATATCCGATATCAGTATCGTATCGCCCCCCACCCCCACCCCACCCCCGTATTTTTTTTTTGATCTAGTGTCTTTCTATTTTTTTCTTCTTAGGGTCATGCTTTTTAGTTGTAAAAATAAAAACTTTAAGAAGGATCAACATCTACGAAATTATCAGTCTCCCAGTACAGTAACACAAGTTTTAAAACCCTTGTCTCTTACCTGCCTTAACTCTACTTCACACAAGCCGCAAAAAAGACAAGAAGTTTGTATCAGAGAGGATTTTATTTGGTTTCTCTGAATGTTTAAAGGGTTCTGGTGTAAATAACAATGAATGCATTAAGTATGGTAATTGATAAAAAGTTGAATTACTTAGCTGACATTATTCTTTTCTCTTTTTTTTTTTTTGCTTGTATTTATATGCTGTAGCTGATTTTACAACTTTATACCATGTTTCTTTGATTATGTCTTCTGCAGTTTCATTGTAAAACCACTCCTTTTGTCTTTCTAACAGGCTAATTATAACAATAAGCATGTTACTGTGGTTCCTGGAGGGTTAACGTAGCAAAAATATCAGTATCCACTACCCAAAGAAGCTTGCACAGCTTGACGTCTGGGATTGTGCGATCAGAGCACTTAACAGAAATAAAACGGAAAGGATTTATGAGAACCAAAATCCCGCAGATTATTAAACGATCATGAGCACATAAAAACACAGGTCCTGGTGAGGTGAAAAACCAGATGCCACCTCTAAACAGCATATCAACACACTGCACCACCGACTGCCTTGTTGCACCGTACTGTGGACTTGTGGAATGCAGAGTTTCTGGAAAATTTAAGAAGTGCTAACAATCTCGGGGGTAGGGGGTGGGGGTCTGCAGGAAACCATGATATTGATATCTGACAGCCAAGAGAGCTTGTAGCCATAAAGCTCTGGGGCTTAACAGGAAGAAAGCGGAAGTGATTTGAGGGAAATAAATCCTCGGCTCTCGGTCGGTTCACCAAGTTCATACCGCCAAAACGTGAGGACGAGGTGGGGAGTATGGAGTGAGGGCATGAAGGTTACAGTCTTAATTAACACAATGAAAACAGCCGCCAAGAAATGCAGTGTTTTTGGAGTAACTCACAGCTCATTACTTTAATGTTTCCAGGCACAGGAGGGGAAAGACGGCTGCAAGGCAGGATGAGAGAAGATGCTGAGGATACAGTCAGCACAAGTTACAATTACAGACGATTTCAAGCCCAAACACATCCCTGACATCTTAGGATGAACAGCAGGGGGGAAAAGGAGCGAAATTTGACTGCTTAGTTGGCGCACACACACATTCAGTCTCAATCTGAGCTTCAATCGGTCTACAAGAACAACATAACTAACTAATCACCACCACATTACTCGTATGGAGCTACATTGCAGAGCCAGAAGATGATTAGTGGGTAGTTAGGAACCATGGCAGCGACAACAAGCCCAAACAATCATAGTCGAGAGGTGGTGCTACTCCAAAAAAGCTGGCAGACTGCATCTTTAATCTGGACACCCTGTTCTCTTGTTAACACTGCAGCCTTTGATGAAATCTGCCAGTTTTCTCTCATAATAGAGACGTGCCCTAATCTCCCTGGCAGCTGCTCCATTCAGCAGCTCTGCCTCTGTTTGTAAGTGTGCATGTGCCTCTGCCTGTGTGTGTGTGTGAGTACGTGTTAGTGTGTGTTTGTCAAGGGGGCAGTGAAATACGTCCACCTGCACAGTGGTGGTGTTTGAAGTGCAGCACTTAAGGGCGCTGCAGTGGAGGACAGAGAGGCCTCAAGAGGTTAAAAAAAAAGAAAGGAGAAAAGAGAAAGGAGGACGAGACGAGGCGAGGTATTGGTAGAGGGGAGGGAGTGTCTCATGTCTCATCGTCAGTAAATCCAGATGAGAGGAGTTCTAGCGAGAGGAGGGGAGAACTTGGCGTGGGTGCTTTGTAACTGTGGGCACAACAGGTGTCTCCAACTGTAAAGCTGACAAGCCAGGGCCGAGGTCATGCCAGGCTGGGGTTACAGGGGGGTGTGGCAGTGACTGGGTGGTGGTGAATCCAAGGAGATTGGGTGGCGCACACACCCACAAACATGGACTACTATATCACACCAGGGGATCTGTTGCTTGGCGGCAGCTCAGAGAAAATTTGACTCCAGTTTGAAGCCAGAAAAGCTATAATGCATCGCCAATAAATCAAACAGGCTGACTTTTTCAATCAGACACTCCAACAGGAGGATGTAGATATACCAAGATAGGGTGGGTTCTAAATAACAACATCAGGCTATCATAAGGATCTCAGTATCATAAAGCCAGCTACAACAGTATCCATGTCTGCCTAGGATCCACCTCTAGTTATGCTGTTATGGGTTTCAGCTTCTGTGGGACAAGATACATTTAATATATACAGTATATGGTATATTTATTTATTTATGTTTATCTTACTGCATGACACCAACTCTCTCACTTTTTTTTTTTTCAAGAATCAAGCTGGTTCTTTTGAAGTACTGACACTTACTGCTGTTTATATTGTATTAGTTGAAATTAATACTGTATCACAACTGTATCAAAAAGCATTGTGTGTATATTGTTAATACTTCGAGTATTGTTTTGTTTAAGTCGTGTTACAGTTGGATTGATGTTATGGGTAAATTCTAATCCTCACACTTGTTATTGCTAATGCTGATGTTGTGCTTCACTGTCCATCTGTCTGTTTGTCTGCCCATCTGTCAGTCTAATTCTCTTTCTCTCTCTCAACTGAACTGACTTGACTTGAAATGAAATGAATTCAAATCTTGGCATTGATGTTTTGATTTTCTAATTGTTGAAAAATAATTAGGAAACTAAAATATACAATACACAGAACTATTAGGACTACTTGTCTTTGTCTCCAGACTTGAGGCAGAGGGCCGTCCACCTACTTTATGTTCTGCTCATGGTTTCTGTCTGTTTAAAGAAAGTTTTTTTGTTTCGATATTGTATGAAAAGTGTTTCCTAAAGGCACAACTTTTGTTCTGTTATAGCCTCATTATAAACATACAACTGTGGTTACGTTTGTGATTATGATAGATGTGGAATTGATCTGGTCCTTCCTGGCCAAATGAGGTGTTGTTTTGTGTGGTGGAACAGAGAGAAATTCTTGGTCCCGCCTTCCTCTTTAATTTCCAATGGAGGGTGTTGGAGACCAAGTGATGGCAGCCAGTTTTTTAGCCCTTAAACTTTGCAAATAGTTTGAATTTGTGGAAAACTAAAATTGGTCCCAGCAGTGGTGGGGAGGGTAGCCTTGTAATTTGTACAACCATTTTCTTTTTTTTTATTATTCAGTTAGGAAATCAGATAAGAATTTTGTCATTTCTTGTCTTTGTATTACTAAAGTTAGATAGTTGGTTGTTAAAGAGATATGCTGTCTTTTTATGTTAGTATTTTATCCCCCTCAATGTTTGCGTGAAGTTAAAGGAATAAGTTAAAGGAATTAATTGAAGATTTCAGACTGCAGATACTTGTCTGCTTGGTTGTCCTCTGGAGTGAAGAAGGAGAGGGTCACTTGTACATCGTGTTCTGGCTTCCCCTGGCCAGTCACAACAATATGTATACGCGCATATGTTCCTCTGGAGTTGAACTAAAAGCAGAAGAAAGTGGGCAAGAAGAACAATGTCTGATCAGCTGTTTCTGCATGCTTAGCTCGTAGGTGGTAGCTCAAACAGTACTTTGGGAATATTTTTTAGCCTGGCCGGGCCATCCTGTTGCGTGAATCACTTGATCACTTCACCATCAAGTGATTCTGGCCCGACCAGGCTAGATATTTTTACTCAAACCTTAAACTGAGCTGTTTAGGAGTTGTTTTTGAGATGAGATGTGCCATTTAATCGCAAAGAGGTGGTGTTATTTTCAATCATAGCAGGGGAGGGAGGGACGTTTAAAAAAAGAAAAAACACCTAGATATATGATCTGCTTCACGGTTAATGCATGAACACCGACTAGTCAGTAAATGGAGTGCAAATTCTTTGGTTTGTTAAAAAAGACAATGGTTTGACCTTAATTAAAAGACCCCCCACGCACCTACACAAACACCCCCATGCATATCTTTTACAGTCCAACTCCGATAATTTTTTGTTTACTTAAAGTTTTCTCAGTGGTCTTTTAAGTGTGATTATAAAGTTTTACGCTAAAATCACTTTACCTGTGTCATTTTAAAGGGCTTTTCTTCTGCAGAGCTCCAGTAGATCATTAGCATTTGGCCTCTGAGTTATGGGTGGAGTCCCACTCCTCTTCACGCTAGCTTGTAGCCTAACATTGCCGGTGTAGTACAAGTAGCAGGTAACATAGGAGCTATTCAGCTATCGGGCACTTACATCTTTGGGGACAGGATGAAAGTTAATATCATAATTGGCTTTCTTACAAGCATTGCAATCCGCTAACACGTGCACGCTTGGTCTGCGATTGTCCTCTCTACTTTTGTGTCCTGCATAGCAGGGCATCAAGGGCGGAGCTTGGATTTGCTACATAGTAAATCTCACTGTGTCTGAGCGTGTCGTTTGGGTCTGCCAGAGATTTACGATTTAAAGACAGAAACACCTAGAAATGCAATGTCGCACTTATTTTTCTCATAATTTGTCCTGTAGCATCAGAAAAATGCCATATGAACATGTAGACAAGAAAAACACGATTTTCATCTAATGAAGAAGAATTTGAAGGAAAAGACTTTTTGAAACTCAACCTTCAGAAACAGAAAGCTACCGTTGATTTGAGAATATTTCCCTTCATTGTACAATACAGTAAGATGGTAAACATAACATGCTGCACACCACAGAGTTGACTTTATCAGTTATCAAACCCAGAATTTAAGATGATCCCACTTTATTTTTTACATAAGTACCATGAGGAAAAAATCCTTTCTTATATTCAAGTCAATATAGTATGTTTTTGAAGGAATCTTTCTGATAAATCAACATATGTGTTTTATACATGAATTTGTCTCCTTCTATAGGAGTTTTGCAGTGGTAAGTGTACTTGTATTTAAAACTATCATGGTACAAAGAACCGGGGCACCTTGAGGCCAGTCTCAGCTTTTATAGTCAACCTTTCCACTTTCTGTTAAGTTCCCAGTAGCTGAGGATATGTGTTTTCCCCTCACCTCATAATGTTCCACAATTTGCAGAACAGGGAAACAGATAACAAAGAGTGTTAAAACTCAGATCAAGTGACAGTGACCAAGTTCTCTTTTCTGGATGCTTGACAGTTCTGCCTTTCTGACGTCAGAGGAGGAAACTGATAGAAAAGATGCTGCAGTTACAAAGAAGTCTCTGGTGGAGATTGACATCAATGTGACACATAATATCTAGTATTCATATGTGTCCTCTATGTGTGTTTGACGGTAGCATGAGCCCTTGTCAGTGGTTTTATAGTAACCCATGACACATTTTAGTCATTGGTAAACCACCTGAGCTCCTGCAGGCTGCAAACTGTTCATCTTTCTCAGCAGCCACAAAGCTGGTTAGAGGTGTGAAACCACCACCACTGCATGAGGGAAATTTTGGGTAGACTGGGGTTTTCCAAGCAAATGAGTTATTAATGAATACATTTACACCCACTTTGAATGCAAGTTTAAGCCTTAAGGGAAGAAGTGAAAAAATGTATATGAGCAAACTCTTTGTAGCCGTGTGTGACAGTGACTCTCTAGTCAGGGTGCAGGAACCACGAAGTCATGCAAATAATCTTGTGTTGGTCAAATAATTCACAAAAACACTGTATTATTGTAGTTCTTGTTGCAGTAAGAACTACAATAATAATATTGGCACATTGATATATCGTCCCATCATTTTTGAAGTGCAGAGAGTAGATGCATTATGTGCAAAAAAGGTATACATTGACAATAAGCAAACCTTTTTTTGCCATATCAATAAGTGAATACGGGTTCTCACTTTATATTGTAATTTACATGACATCAAAATAAATATGCTTCTGAAAATGAACATTTTTTAACATTCTTTGAAATAACCTTTAATTTGTGAAACTGTCACAGTTGGGGCAGACTGCACAGTTGTGCAAAATCTTTTTTCAATCACCAAAAAATAGTTTCCAATGAGCTCTGTAGACCCATTAGGCAGATGCTTGGCTCTTGGGAGTTCATGGTTTGACCCTGCCCCTTTACTGGTGATGACTAACATGTCTGTTTCACCCCTGCTGACGTCTTTTAGTACCCACTGGATACATTTGTCAGTATTTAATACATTACATAACAGATCTATTATCTTGTCTTCTTGTCTCCTTCACCTGAAAATAACAGGTATTCAAAGCCCACAGTGTTTTTTACACAGTGTTTCAGAAGCACTCACCCACATGCAAGCCTCCAGTCGGACTTTTGAGATGATGGTCCAGAGGGAGATGCTTCCCTGGACAGCTGCTGACCCCACAACCCCGTCCGCCCCCGCTGCCTCCACGCCCACACTCCCAGCATCAGAGCCTGGCGCGGGTGCTTCCTGCTGGGGACAGACTATTTGGTCCGGATAGGGTGGCTCGGGGAAATCCACAGAGCCACATTCATAGGCCGCCAAGGTCACTGATGCTATGTGTGGTCCCTGAGAAACAGAGAAAGGCCGAGAGGAAAGAGGTAGATAAAGAGGGAAGAAAAAGAAGTGAGAAATGGAGTGGGAGTACGTCTGCCCTTTGGAAGTAGTTCTGAGTCAAGGGAAGACCCCTTTGTTTGAAGAACAGGGAGACAGTGACAGTAGTGAGTCAAATACTGAGTGATAGACAGACAGCTTTATGTCTCCTCTGGTTCCTACACCTGCTTTGACCTGTTTGCTGTAGGAGTGAAAGTTCCCTCCTGAATTTAATAGACCATTAGGAAAAAAAGAAAACAAATAACAGTACTTTGAAGAAAATGTTCAGCAAAAAATAGTGCTTGTTTACTAACTTACATGGTTTGGTTCATCAAATTCATTCTATTTGGGCCTGAGGGTTAAGGTCGTAACACACTGGCAAATTCGCGAAGCGGATCTGTGAAGTGAATAATTCGCTTTTTTAAAACCTCATAAAGTCAGTACAAGCTTCCACACCAGATTCGAGCTTATGTAGAGCAAAAAACTGACAGGAAATTTTTTCGCCCCTGTCGCAAATTTTGTGAACATTCACAAGCGAACTAGCCTAATATAAATCTTACCTCAGACATGTGGCAAGCCGTTTCTCTCTGTAATTTAGTTCTCTGTAATTTGTCCTCTCCTTCTACAAATGTGCAGTCAGCTGATGGAGCTGTTCTTGAAATTGTCAATAGGACATTCTGAAGTATTGTTAGAATTTTTCGGGACACAATTTGAGCTTCTGGATCGTTGTGTGGAGCTCCCCCATCTCTTGTCACAAGGTCAGTATTGGATGTACCCAGACACTTGGATTCCTCTTTTTCTTTTGTTATTTAATAGAGTTACAACCATGACCAGGTCACCATCACTTGAGGATGTAGTCGCCATTGTTTCTCCCTCTTCTCTCTTCTCCTCTGTTCTCCTGTGGCGTTATTTTATGTGGATATGCAAATATATTTGCGTCACACCAGGTGTGTATGGGAAAAGGCTTTTTCGCGTCGCTACGCTAATTCACCAGTGAGTAACGACCTTGAGTATTAAGTTGCAGTCGCAAGCCTCTCATACGGCATGCACAGAAATATTAGAAAACAAATAATATTTCTTTTGTTTTGTTTTCTTTCCTTTTCTTTCAGTAAATCTTAATTTATTGAGCAATAAATTTTGGTTGACTCCTTTGAGAGAAGTTGCAATAAATTTTAAGAAAATTCAAATTCACTACATAAAGACAAGGCAAGAAAACTGTTGCTCCCTGTGCAATTCATTTCTCCCCCCAAAAAAACAGTCTTTAAAATGTTCTCAAACTAAATCCAAGTGGAGCAGCAGTGAAGTTCATCATCATATTCATACAAAAATTCCTGTTGTAATTTTTTTTTTTTACTCTTGCTTCAAAGCACGGGATGGGCAAAGTGACAGGGGGTACATGCACGTACATGCACACAAACACACACACACTTGGGTGTAGCTGCATGCTTCACTTGTGCTCACAAGACAGAGATATTAAAGAGTGATAATAAAGAATACAGCAAAAAGGATAAAGGCCTGTCCTAAATATGGGCTGACTTCAGACAGAGTTTATTGATGTTTGACCGACACATTAGCATACTCAAGAACCCGCTGTCTTTGATAAGGACCGCTGTTGGTTTACATTTCAGGCACTGTTTATTTACTCGTTTCAATGAGACTTCCAGTGAGAAAGCAGAGAAATCAAAGGACGTGAGGGAGAAGCAGGTTGGATTTCGGGTGTGTTGAAAGTTCATTGAGCTGCCAGCTTTGTGTTTTTGACTTGGCAGACCCTAAAACAAGTTATCACAATATCCACAACGATGCTGAGTAAAAACCTTCAGAGGCCACACACGTTCAACGAAATTAAAGTTAATAACACAGAAACACCCAAATGAACCCATTGTGAGGAAAAATCTCCATTTCAACACATTTCAGGCATTATGAGGCAAAAGTACCAGCATGGGTCATTTGATCACATGAAACATCTTTCTCTAACTACACGCCCACTAATAAATCATTAGCAATGTAACGTTACATTGCACTTAGCAAAATAATAAGTCATTTTTTTATGGTTGACTTTCTTTCAAGCTCTATGTATTAAGGATAATTTTGTATAATAACAGAATAATTGAATGTTTTATTAGGGTCAGACTAAAAATATAACAGTTAAACAGAGCACTGCAGGAAAATACTACAACAATTGCAATGAATATTTCTCTCAGCTCTGCAAGGTGATGCCTTACATCTTCAGCGGAGGTACTTGTAGGCCACTATCCTGAACAACTTAGTCGCTGAGAGGCTAAGTAGGGAAAACAATACCTTGCCCGACGCATTGGCTGTAGAAGCGTCAATGGATAGACTACTGCTCTATGGTAAGATGTACTGCTTTTAAAGAAAAAAAGAAGCACTTACATGGGAAAGGCAGTCATTCAGTATACGGCAAGAACAAAGGTGACCAGCAAAAAAGTAGGACTTCTCTGCTCAACCCCCCTGTGTTACGCTCTGTATCAAGTGTCGATCACAGAAAACATGGACCCCCTAATAACTTTTAAAAACGGAGCTGTACAGAAAAAAGAGGACTTGAGCACAAGTCCAAAGTGGTGGAGGAGGCGGGATTTATGACCTATACTGCAGCCTGTCACCAGAGGGTGATGTTTTCGCAGTGGCTTTACCCAGCAGGGAGGCAGACGGCGTCCATTCTATATACAGTGTACGGTATGGTGTTATGGGTTCAGAAAAGATGCATACAGGTTGTAAAAATAGAACCGAAAAACAAAATTGTATATTCAGGCTCCGGCAACGCTGTTTCCTGTGGACGAAACATCCACAAGATATAAAAAAATTGTGGATACACATGAAATTGTCTTCATGTGGACATGGCCTAAACCTGGACTTTTAGCAAACATGTAAATATGTTTTTCTGACTGAAAGCATGCTTAGCCTAACTAACATACCTAGCTAGATAGTATGAGTAAGGACTGGTCTTCTACTGCTTGTGTACTCCTCAATCAGCCCCAAAGTGGCCTTGGCAGTCTAAGCATGGTCCACATTTCACATGTTTTTACAGGGTAGTATTATGACTGTAGTTAGAAACAGCTTATTGTTGAGAGGTGGACCTTGGTCATGAACATAAAATTCAGAGCAAACATGACTTTGCATGAAGAAGTAGCAATAACGTCCTGTTACATGGCAGGACATCAAAATCTAACAAAATCTAATCAAGCACCCTTTTAACAAAAAACTCACAGTCTGATCAATAATGCTTCGTGAAGACGTTAAGACTCTTCCTGACCACACTGAGAGAGCATATGTACACCAGAGGAAGAGAGCTACAACTAAGGAGGAAACAATTCATTTCCTGTTGACAAGAGGGGGCACTAGGGTAATAGCCATGTGTTTACACACCTGTGTAACCAGCCCCTGACACTTAACTTACCTGTGAATTTTGTACAGGATCAAATATAGTCCATGGGCCCTGACAGGATTTGAAGTTTTTGCCAATTGCTATAAGAAACCCTCCAACTAAACAGCTATAGCCTGTGGCATGCAGAACATCCTTTGATAATTTTAATCATCAGCATGTCTGCAATATACCAACTTACCATGGAGAAGACTGAACAGAACGCTTTAGTAGGGTTCATCCAAAAATGCACCCTGTAATTTGTTGACATCTGTCATTCGACTCAAATATCCTCCTGGGATTTCACTCTGAGGATAAGAGTCTTTTTTGTATTAAGTGTGCAAAATACAAATTCCTGGGGATTTCAATGTATGTAGTTCAGTGTATGCTGGGTTAAAGTCCCAAAGCTCTCAGAAATAAATTATTTTTGGGGGGGATTCTGAGAACAACAGCATTAAAGGGCATTAACAGGAACTAAAAGAAAACAGAACCTAGACATGGAGAAAGTGGCTAGAATACATACAGCATAGAAAAAATTAACTTACAAATGAAAATGAAAAAAATGGTTGTTTAAAAAAAGATGGGCCCTGTTAAAATCAAAGGAGGAAAATGTAACCAAGTTACGTAATATTTGAAATATTTTTTTGTTTCTTCTCTATTAATTACCTCAAGTGCAAGAAAATGTATGAAGCATGGACATATATAATGTAATGTTTATTGTATTAATAAAACAGGTTTAGATTTAAAATTCTGTTAATCTGCTGAGCATTTAGTCTTGAAATGGACTATAATAAGATGTATGACTGTGTAACTAACACTACTAATTGACACAATAAAGTATTAACAAATTAATAATAAAAAAAGTGACTCTTCAATGATAATTATAAATTTACACTGATATACTGATATATATATATGTATATATATATATATATATATATGCATGCATACAAAAATCCTAATACATCTCAACAGCGTTTAAACTACCGCAAAAATAACTAGAAAGAAACAACTGAGTAAAGAAACAAAAGTACAGATTTGTACATTGAGGAAAGAAGGATACACAGAAAGAGAAATTGCAAAACGCCTTAAGGTGTTTAACAAAGGAGTCCACTACACTCTGAAGAGACTAGAGGAACCTGGAAGTCATGATGATAGAAAAAGACCTGGACGAAAGAGAGTTACTACAAAAGCAGAGGATACACATAGCATTGTCACCAGTAAGAGAGATCGGCGAAAGACAGCTCCACAAATCAGGGAGGAAATCAACATGACAAGGTCGAAACCCATATCTCTGACAACCGTGAAATGACGTTTGAGAAAGGCCGGTCTGAAGGGTTGTGTATCTGCAAAAAAAAACACTACTTCATCCACAGAATAAGAAAAAGAGACATGAGTGGGCAAAAGCTCACAAAAATTGGACTTATGATGACTAACGCAGAGTCTATGTCCGCAGACAAACTGGTGAACGTCTGAAAGCACCATGTGTTACACCCACAATTCAGCATGGAGGTGGTAGTTCCATGGTATGGGGATGTTTTGCAGGTGATGGAGTAGGAGATTTGTTTGAAGTAAAGGGTAATGAAGCAGGAACAGTACCACTCCATCCTCCAGTACCATGCTGTTCCATCTGGACTCAGACTTGTGGCTCATAAGTTTGTTTTGCAGCAAGACAATGACCCTAAGCACTCTGCCAAGCTCTGTCAGGGTTACCTTGACAAAAAAGAAGAGGAAGGGGTTCTTCAAAAGATGGTTTGGCCCCCTCAGTCTCCAGACTTTTGTCCAATTGAGCTTGTGCAGGATGAATTGAACCTATCAGTTAGAAAAATTTGTCCCACATATCATCAGTCTCTTTTTAATGAACTTAAGAAAGCTTGGAATGCAATCCCTGGAAAATACCTTAAAAGACTTGTGGAACGAATGCCTGGTATATGCCAAGCTGTTGTTAAAGCCAGAGAGAAGGTTACTTTAAAGAAAGCAAAGTCTAAGCAACAATAACTCAAATACCGAATAATTATGGTCGAAATGTCTTCTGATAAGTTACTCTTTACACAATAGTCATGTTTATTGTGTTGCCAATTATATATATGAAACTATGATCCTTTTTGTACAAATCTGATCTTGCTTCCAAACTTTTGGCCTGAAGTGTATATATATACATACATATATATATATATATATATATATATATATATATATATATATATATATATATATATATATATACATATATGTATTTTTTTTTCACATTGAGATTCAGATGTGATGATACACAGTGCAATCAGAGAAATGTTCTCACTCAAGAGGCTGTTTTCGTACATCATTTTTATACAGGCTATAAAAATGATCACAGACAGTCATTTGCTTTCACACAGGACACAGTGCTTTCTTGAGTAAAAGATAAACATCTTGGTAGTGATGGTCACAAGACTCACCAAAGCAAGCACGGCATCATCATGCAAAACCACTTATAACCAGGAACAGCGTGTTTCAGTGAGGCACTGCTTACTGTATCAAAGTTTGCTAGTTGCTACCTGAAAATGGCTGTTGGTCCTTCTGCAATGACTCATCGCCACAATAAGGCTCTTGATCATTTCTGCAAATACAATATTTGAATATGTTTTCACTGAACCGGATGCAATCAGGAAGGGAAAGGTCAGGTAGCATTTGCATTTCCTCTGTAGGAACACACGCTGAACAAAGACCTAGATGGATCTGAAATAACAGTGGTGATCAAACAAGTCAGGAACACAAGTGTGCTCCCTGCAAATAAAGGCAGGTCCAAGGAGAGAGTGGCCCTGTGTACTCTGCCTGTTCCCTGTGTTTACACTTGTGCATATGTGTGTGTAGGAAGGGTGCTCCCTGTGACGCACGGGGGCAGTTTGGCATTACGCAATGTAGCGCAATAGTGATCTGGCAAATCTGGGCTGGTGCTTAAACTTCCGGAATTGCACGGGACAAGGCAGGACGGGATGGGACATGGGAGGGCAGGACAGTAGCGTGTGAGGCAACAGGAAACGGCCAAGTCTTCTCTAGGAACAGTGCACTCCCTTTGTATGACACAGATTAGTCTCTATACACAGCATTATCAAGTAGGCGCAGTCACATTTGCATAATAATGTAGGACAACACTCCCCAGACATGAAGAGAAAACGCCAGAACGCACACACTCATTTTTTCTCACAAAAGCAGAAGACAAATGGGAAAATCTTGTGTGAACCAGAGGGAGAAGTCAAAAAACTCCCAGCACTGACCCAGTCAGACTGGATACTCCCCAGACTCATATACTCCCTACTGACTCCTTAGTGAGATCACACTGTCCTGACATCAATCCACACACACACACACACACACACACACACACACACACACACACACACACACACACACACTCTTCAAGCTCAGTCTCCTAAAGCAGAAAGTTTGTGTGGTCGAGTAAGATTGTATTCCTCCCAGCTCTATCTCAGGTAATGTGTGTTTACCAAACACACACAGTCAGCCTGCCAACCGAGAGCGTTGCGTGACTCTGAGTGCATGTTCTCTCTCTGTCTAGTGCTGTGTCACTGCCTCTCACCTTACACAAAAGCACAGTCATCTCATGTTGTCCAGGTGACTCATCCGTCATCTGCAGCCCTGCCCACAACCTACTTCCAGGTAGCGGCTGTTGGCCTGACTCTGCTTCTTAAGCGCCACACACACATACAGACACACACTAAAACACAATCATGTTTTATCACAGGATTTCAGGCTGTCAAACTATGTCAAACAAACATTTTTAAAATCGCAGTAAGTTGCACAATGGTACATAGTCAGGTTGTGATTAATCGAAGTAATTACATATGAATCACTTTTTATTAACGTGGAGGTGGAAAAACATGTTTACATTATTTCATTACATTTGAATGTTTACTTTATCATTTCATGACACAGGTAGTTTTAAAAATGTCATTTCAGCTTTTGCGCACTCATGTTAGGAAGTTAGACAGGTCTTTATTCCATACTTTGTATAGCATTTTATAGCATTTTATAATGTAACCTAATGTCCCCTTGTTTAGCTAACTAGCCTCTATCAAGCCTTTTTTAACGGAGATATCAACAATGAATTATTGTGTTCGATTTTCAAATGTAGTTAGATTTTTTCTTACATAGTTTAAGTGTGATACCACAGCTGCATTGAGAGGAAAAGGTTGATGATTCTTCACCACCACTTGTAACATCAGCAGCACTTAGCAACAGAGATTTTCAACCGGAAAACAGTCAAAGGCACTGCATCAAACCAAAACCTTAGACCTCCTCATATGTTCCAACCATCCTCGACAGTAGGGATGTCACAATATGAAATTTTCAGAATGATATGATACAATATTGCAATTTATATTACAATATACACAATACAATACAATATTAATCCCCCCGTCCCTCCCTCTCTCATACTCTCACATGCTTGAGAGAGCAACACAATATTAAGTGCTGTGGGAAAATATACATATCACATAGAGAAAAGGAAACGAAATTAACCATAGACAGCCCATATTTCAATAAATTGTCAAAATAGCTTCTCACATACATGTTTTTCTCTTCAATATGATACAATTGATAAAATATTTTGCATTAGTGATTTCGAAATATATTGATGTTGTATAAGTGAAGCACGTTCAAATTAGATTTTACAACCCGTTTGTGAACACATCTAATGTGTGTCTGCGTGTGGCCAAGGTAATGGCGACTTTAATTTAGGTTAGTTAAATTATGGGATGGATTTGCTCTTATTACAAACATACAGTGCAGTAATATACTCAGTTAAGCCAGTTACATATAGCCAGGGACATATTTCAGGTGGATTTTCATAAATTTTATGAAATGGATTTAGACACTGGGCCATGCCAAAGAGTTAAGTGTTATAAAAGACAAAGATGAACTCAACTTATAGCACTGTGTGAGAGAAACCATAGGATTTGATAGCAGAATGGATGGGCACACACTTGACTCATTTTTGGGGTTTTGGAAAATGTGGGTCCTTGATAGAACTTGTTTCCATTTCTTTAACCATTTCTTTTTGAGGAGGTTAGTTTCTACTGTCCCTGACCACTTAAAAAAAATAGAGTTGTTAACAGAAACTTGCTGCCCTTGTGAGAATGTGTTGTAGATTAATTTTAGAAAAGAAAATACAAAATAAAACACAAAGGAAGTATTTTTTCCTTTCTGAGAGAAGCCTTTGTTCTGCTTTATATGCACTGTGTTTATTTCAAATAAAGCAGTGGTAAGGGGATACTTGTGTGTGTGTGTTGAAATTACAGTTCAACCTCCTAGCTGGGTCTACCTTTAAATATGTGCGATGTTGCTTACAGCCACTAAAATATATATCAACAGTGACAGAGGCACTAAAATGCTGTCTTTGACCCCACGGGATTCACAATGGAGACAAAATTTCTGGCATTCCTGTGGCAACCGGCAGAAACCAACGCTTGGTCTCCAAAACAAGTGGAAATCCCACTTCTGGGTATGAGTACATCCACAAAGACTTAAAAGAGACACACAAAGTTTGAATATGCTATGTGCCATAATTTGAGCTTTCAAAAGGAACAGTCACTAAAATCAAACTTTTGTCAATCTGTTGTCTGAAGTCCCATATCATCTACATTTCTCTGGAGGTAGTCTGCTTCTTGAACTTGTGTACTCCAATCATTTTAATCTAGTCTGGGGTGTATTCAGAAATGTTTTCATCCCTAACACAACAATATTTATTTTGCTCATTATTCTGGTGACAAATAATCATCTAAAGTTTTTTATCTTTGCAAGTCTGTTCTCCCATTACTAGTTTTTTGTGCAGTTCAGCTGCTCCTCTCTACACTGCTGGATGAGGCCTATCAGTTTTGAATTAGAAGTCATCACCCTGCTCAGGAAAATGACTGATACTGCAGCTCTATTAGTAGGCCATATGCAAAATATCACTCACTTTTTCTAATTCTGCAAACCAAGGCAACCTAACAGAAAGTTGTTCAACCTCAAAACTCTCAGGTTATGACATACACAGTTACAAGGAATGACTGGCTTTGAGTGCAGCAGTTGGTAAAATCACATGAACGGAAAGGAGCTTCCTCTCAGTCACAAAAAACAAAGAGTGTCCACTGAAGGAGGATGTGAAAGCTGGTTGGCAAATAGCTGTTGAGATGAGCAGCTGACATGCTCTTGACCGTTAATGACCCTCTCTGGTCCATAACATGACCCGCAAAATCAGCAGCAATAGTGATAAATCAGTGGTGACAAATTCACATTTGATCTAGTTGAACTCACTTAGTGGACCAGGCGCCCCATGTACAGATACTATTGTACTTGTGTCATCACCCTAAAGCTTCCTCAAGCTGTCCTATAAAAATTATATCTAAAAACATCCCAAATAAATTAAAAAATTAAATCAAAAAGTCACTTGATGAGAAATTAAAATCGTTCCTTTGGGTGAAAGTGACAATCTTTAACGTGTTTGTCTGGCTCATGATGTGCCAGTGTGGGTGTCGTGACTTTAAGCATAAAGTAGTTTATGAAAGAAGGGGACTTCCTACAATTAAATGATTAACATGTAAAAACTACGACTAACTGATTAGTTTCGGGTACTGGTATACACAGAAACAGCTGCAGAGATGTGTATAAGGCCCATGCAATACAACAAAAATGAGAGATTTGTGATCATATTGTTCAATATTGAGATAAAGACTATTGTGCACAATGAGAAATCTACAACCAATTATGTCGAACCAGTTTAATTTCCTAATTTCTAGGTCAATTTCTGCCCCCCCTTGTAATTTTTGATTTTCTTTTTTTAAACTGATAAAAAAAAAATAATAATATTGGTATTGCGAGATTAATTGGGTTAATAGTGGCAGTCAAGGTACTCTGCTCACCTGCTAAAAAAAGAAAGTGCTCACACCAGTTTTACAGTTCTTTTAGATTTATTAAAACGGGGTATTTTAGGACAACATGTAACACAGAGTCACATGCAGAGGAAGAAAAGTTTCTGTCTCTGGGCTGATGATGTGGATGAAACATTACATGTAATATCATTACAAATGGGTGAAGACATGTAAGGAGGTTGATTGTGTTTAGGCAAGGCAAATCTATTTACAAAGCACCGCTCAGATATTGAGAAGTTTGGAGTGCTTTAAACAATTACAAACAAAACAATGACATGGCCAGCATTAAAAAGGAAAAACAGACAAACATAAAAAATAATAAACAATATACAAAACTATTCAAAAATATGCTTCATTATACAAAAGAACTGGAACAATGTAATTTAGAAAAATTATGGGATTATTTGCTGCTCCAGCCTTGTCTTACCCTTCCTCTATTTGATTTAAATTTGACTTAATTTGACTTTATTTGACTTAAAGCTTTTTTTTTTCTTTTTTTTTATTAAGATTTCCATAAATGTCACTGATGATAATATTATCAGTGTAATTTTTTGGCTGCAATAATTGTGAGGTGAAACCACTTTTTTTTTTTTTACCGATTAGTTGTTTTGAAACACACCCCTCCAAAATCTCAAATATGTCCCCAAACCATTTTCCAATTAATCAATTAATCAATTAATCCAAGGAGAGCTGAAAGGACGTTTATGCTTCATCTGAATGCATAAAAATATTGTGATTGTTTTCTGTCCAAATGATAATATGTTCAAGTGCTGAATGAAAAGCATTCCTTGTCAACAGTAATTTTTTTTCTTGTTAACTCTGATTAATTCAGCCTTTTGTAATGTGTGATGCTAATGTTGCTATTATAAAATTGCGATTGATTCTGCAGCTAAAGAGGGTACGACAAACTCTGTCTTAAAATCTCACACAGTTTAAAAACTAGCACATTCATATTCAGAAAAAGCACCACATAACCATTAGACTAAGTGGCAGCTGTTTGTAAGCTGTGAATGTGTGTAAAATAAACACAAGATTGTCTTGCGTGTCCTCTTAATCTAAATGTTTAGCATGTTCAAATCATGTGGGGAGATTAAAGACCTGTTATTTACTGTTTTGGATCAGAAGTCTTTGCCAGATGCAGCCCTTCATCATCCCTTCCACCACTCATGGTGTGGACTCCTCTTGTTAGCTCGTGGTGGCAAATGCAGCCCAAAACCAGACATTAATGGGTGACCATAAACTGACCAGTTCTCAGGGACCACGACCACAGGACGCTCCAGTCATTAACAGGTCGCTGTGGTTGTCAAGGGCCATTTAAGCGCATTAGACACGGTCAGGCTAGCATAACCTGTTAACCGCTTCTTACAGTGGGAGACTGCTGCAGGCAAAGCAGGACAAACATTGGAGGTTAGTCTGTTATGAAGAAGCTCTGGTCAGGATCTCTGAGGGAGGTGAGAGAGTGCTGGACTGAGGCCAGCAATGGAGCAGAGATGGAGAGGAGGGGCAGGGGCTGTTTAGAAGTGGATGGTAAACACACATACACACACACACACAAACACACAGACATACACACAGATACACACATGCTGACTGAGAGATGGTGGAGGTTTTTAGGGGCTGGTCCTAGTGATTTATCCATGTGGTTTTACCAAATGACTTCATGTTCAGAGACTTCTCCCTGACTAGCAGACAGACACTGTGACCCCCCACCTAGTGATTATACATCTACAAGAAGACACTTTCATTTCCATCTGAAACAAACTCTACTTTGACTTTTAGAAAACTACCTCACACTGTACACACTCTGAGGGAAACTGAGAGTAAATTCAAGCTAAACACATTGACTACTTTTGCAAACGGTTAAATTTGTTTCAGTCCTGAGAAAAATAATAATTTAACCACTGTGCATATTTTTACTAGGGAAATATCAGTTTAAATTTGTGGGCGGAAAAGAAATCAGCTTTTTTTCAGCTTCAAAGTAGAAACAGAGTATAAGATGTGGCAGCCACACCAGTATATAACCCTGTATCATGGTGTTATATGCTGACTCTCCAGTATATATGGTACAGTAGAGTGATACAAGGTTAAATAAATGTTATTTAAACAGCGAAAAGATGGAGCTGGTACACATTGGATTAATTAAAGTATTGATATTTACTTAATCTTATGTAGTCTAAACATCATACAATATAATACAATTTTTCATTTTTTCACTCACTAAATTTAGATGAAAAACCCGTCAAAATGGCAATTTAACCCCCCCCATAAATAAATAAATAATAAAAAAAATTAAAAAAACTTTTCTCCTGACCTACCTACCTTTTTAAGTTTAGATTTTATTCGTCATATATTTGATGAATTGTTAAAATGACAGTTATTTTCCAATACCAGATTCTCTAGTTAGAGTTAACTGCTTTTAGCTTGAATTTATTGTAAACTGAGAATCCTTGGTTTTACAGTTAAACAAGTAATTCTATGCTCATCAGACAAAAAAAATAGTTGGTGCCAATTGAAATAAGAAAAATGGTTCGGCATGTATCAGACTACGAATTTGAAAACAAGACCTAAAAAATTTTGGACTAGATGAAATACATCGAACTGCATTAGCTGTGCATCCATGCCTTGAGTAATTTTCATCTCCCAAACCACTGCAGGGAAACAAAAGGTCTGACCCCACAGTCATTCCACCAGGCTAACTGAAGGCTGATGCAGTGACCGGACCGACACACACACACACGCACACACACACACACACACACACACACACACACACACACACACACACACACACACACACACACACACACACACACACACACACATACACACACACACACACCTGAGGGTGAGTGATTTAACCTTTATGGAAAATTTGGAAACAAAACTTCAAATATCCTAAATACCTGCAGTGTGCCAGCAGGGCTCTGGTTTGGTCTGGTCCGGTTTGGCTTGCTCTGGCAGCGTTGTTGGTTTCATTCCAGAATGGCTACACACTAAGCCCACTCTGGCCTAAGATGTGCTTCCTGTGGGCACTGTGTGTGAGACTGTGTGTGTGTGTGTGAGACTCTGTGTGTGGATGTGTCGTCGAACAGTTATTGTACTTGGTATTAGCAAGACTCCCTGGGCCTCCAAGACACAGACAGGCAGACGCATGCCTTGAATGGCTGGAGTGTGACAGTTAAGATTGAGATACTGTTAAACTGGTGTGAACGCATCTTTCTGGTATTCATCTCTCAAGGAGGAGGTGAAGATGAGTAAGACTAAGGATGGATAGATCCACGTCTCCGACCTTATGAGGAATAAAATTTATGCCCTTGAACTGCAAAGAAAACAGTTTTTTTGAGGTTTTCTTATTCTTTCTTTCCAGAGCCCTTTTAATGAAAATCAAATTTAAACCCAAAGTCAGAAAATTCTCCCGGGGAGCAGCTGCATATCCATAACTTACCCGTGTAAAATTCCCAACCAATGTATCTTTATAGGATGAAAGTAATCCTGCTTTTTCTGTAGTGTGGGGATCAAATCCGTGCGATTAAGTTCTGACACACTATCTAGCTGTAGTTAAAAATTGATGGCTTAAAATTAAATTTAAGAGGAGTTGGAGTAAAGCGAGAGATCTGTTACTGCCAGCCGTCGGTGAGTCAAGAGTAGCTTTCCACCTTTTCAAAGAGCCACTGAACTTGATCCCGATGTGTCACCCATGGTACGGGTAACGTGCATGCGAGGTATCAATTGTCACTTTGTTAAAGAGAAGGACGCTAATGTTATGTCCAGTCATGTTTGACACAGAAAGTATGCGCAGAGATGGCAAGAAAGCTCTGAACTGACAGCTTGAATTTTTTCCTATGAAAAATAAGTCCATGGGAGTAATCCAAGATTTTTGAAGAGCTGCCATGACACACTTTTAATCAAACACTGTTCTTGTGCCATACTGCGATATCATAGAGCCATTAATTCTAATGTAACGTATTATTAAAAAGTCAAAGTAAAGTCACTAAAAATGTGATCATAAATTCCTTAAGTTTTTTTAATTCTTCATTATTTTTGTTGTCTTATGACAAATATTTATTTTAAAAAAACTACAGACTAGTTGTTTTTGTCCTATTTTCAAGTAAATATGTGCTTTAAATTTTTTGAATAATGTTGAATAAAATCCTTATCAACTTTTTTTTTTTTTTTAGAGAAAGAAACTAAGCTTGTCATCTGAAAGAAATATGAAATATATGTGCATCACTGCAGATTCTTCCAATATTTTTCACAATTTTTGGTCAGTTCTTCCATATTTTAAGTTTACCGGACAATTTTCTTTTTCCATTCAGTGGTTGTTGAGAATTTTGCATTCATTTATTTTCCAGTATTCTTTCTGTCAGCTGATAGTATACATAATATATGTCCTCCTTTTTTTGTAGCCCAGTTGACATGCTTAATACACTGAGGTAGAAACTAAGCTGATTACGGATCTAAACTTGTCCACTACATCTATTCAAGAACAGATAATCTGTGTGAAATAAGTGAAAATGACCAGCTGACATACTACCACACTTTTTCTATTAATGAGCAGCTCAGGTTTATTATTCTGTGACAATATGATTTTAGTATTTTTAAAATGTCAAAATATTTCTTCAAATAAATCCTCTCAAAGGATCTGTGTTTAAATTCTCCACTTTTAGTAAATGAAAAAAATGTTTGTCGTAGGTGAGAGACAAACGCAAGTAGTAAAATTGATAAAATATCAGTGAACTATGAAAACCATAAAGTAAAGGATCAATGTATTATTCTGAATTGTAGTGACGCAAACAGATGTATTAATGCATACCCACAGACAACCGAAGTCTTAATCATGTCATTGCATCCCAATGTGTGCACCATCACAGAGTCTGCCAGATACAATCATTCTTTGTTCTTGAACTGCAAACCCACCCTCTTATCAGCTCTATTCAGAGAAAAAAAATTCAATTGAAACAATTTGTCACCTGATGAAACAGGAAAAAGAGCCAAAGACTGGTGGAAAACTCAGTCCGGTCAGAGAGACAAGCAGGAGTGTGTGAGTCACAGCTCACACAACACAGCCAGGTTTCTGTCTACGAGAACACGAAGGTGCCCTATTGTTTGGTTCCAGGACGAAGCCAAGCTCATCACTGTACTGCCAGGCAATGGTCAAGGTGAGTAAGGGGTAGAGAAGTACACACAGAGAAAAGACACACACAAAGAAACACACACACACACACTCACTCCTTTGTCTAATGCCCTGGCATGCTGTGACCGAGTTTCCCTCACCCACATTAGCTTGTCAGACCGTGGGTAGACTGCACTTAACTGTATAAAGGCGTATGAATGGGAAACTCTCAAGAGCTGGAGTCATGTTCACAAACAAAAATGAAGTTAAATGATGGATGTCAATACTAAACTTGGGCAAAGTCTTAGATTGTGAGGTAGACATGTGTTGGAGTAATCCCAGGATGAGCCTGCAGGCTGCTCTCAATGACTCGTCCAAAAGGTCACACAAGATCCACACAAGGTTTACTTAAACCCAAGGCATCGCCACTTGATGAATCTCCTTAAAAGGGCAAATTAAGCGTGACACTTACCTATAGAGATGTGGCTGAGGAATGTGTCATTTCAAATAGAGAAACACCAGTTAAGTAAGTGATAATGACTTTGTCACATGGCAACAGTGGAGGAGGTTGCCCAAGTGCTGGGTTCAGAAATGTTGGGTTGCTTTGAAGTGCCCTAAGGAGGCAGCAGCTCAAACAAAGCGTTTTGAACAGAGGCTGGGATGAGGGTTTTCAAAGACAGTACTCCATGATGAAGAATTTTTGTTCCATAGAACGACTACAAAGCTATCAGAAAGGCAATACACAGCTTGAAAATGAGCACAATACACACTTTTAAAAAAAATTCAAGCAGCAGTGTGTGTGTGTGTGATAGCAACAACACTGCAGAGACAGTCGGTGTGTAGAAGCCACACTCTCAGACCTGCTCGGCACTTACAGCAATAGCTGGCGCTAATTAAGGCTGTACTCCTGGTAATTGCCAACAGCCAAAACTTAATTTGAGGGGGTTTGCTGGGGAAACTCTGTATATTCTACACAAACCTCCTCTGCAACATATAATTTAGTGGTCCTAAAAGACACTGAATATAGAAAGCTAAAGAATTTGTCTTTATTTAGGTGAGCCCCTGGTTTATTTTTGAAGACAAGGTCTGTAGATCATGAGTCATAAGATGCAACTAACAAATGTAGTATGATTGGTATTGTGTTTCTCCCGAGTGTTGCTGACATTCATGCTCCTAGGAAGACAAAACATGCTCACCTCTTTCAGTCATGAAACATCTCAAAGCCAAGAGAAAAAGACTTCCCTCGTTGCTATTATGTAAACAGCAACATGCACAGCTTCAATTATAATGACTTTAATTCTTTGTTGCTGTTGATTTAACGTCGAGCACAACAATTTTCATGCTGCCCATAATGACTTAATGGCAACAGCCATTACTGAAAGTAATTTAATGGTGAATGACTCAGATGAGCTCTCTTCTAAAATATTTACAGCATTCCCAAGCTTTTGAGAGTCATCGCTATCCCCTTTCTCAGCTAAAGAGGATTTATGGAGGGCAGTGACACTACTTGTCACTAGAAAACAAACACTTAAAACATAAGTGGGGGATGAAAGCGAATCCCACTCATAATTGTGATCCTCTTAACAATTATGGCGAATACATGTGCAGGTGCAGGACTTTCAGTATGCATATGTGTATACTGATCCTCGCCTCCACAGCCTCTGCCGAAATGAGATCTCTACAGTGTTCCTGTCTGATTTTATTGTTTTCATGGCCTGTATTATGAGCACCCACCCACTACCTTCTCTCTCAGAGCAGCTGGATAAAATACACTTGATGGTGTGCCAAGAAGTGTGCTTTTTTTCCTCCTGTACGCTTGAGTTGCGAGGTTTTGTCTTCCTCTAATAACCAGTCCTGTCCGGGTACAATGATCTCCCGCAGTCTCAGCGGGATGCAAACACAGAGGGGAGACACAGGGCACCAATTGCCCATGTCAGGGAACAGGAGAGCTGCCACTTCTGCTCTGGTTTCATTGACTGGGATGGTTTACATGTAACTGGCTGTGTATCCCCCTCTACTGGTGGCTTTATAGTACACTCATATAAATTGCTGACTCTTTGTCAAAAATGAAAGTTGTTCGGTCAAAGTCTGTGTTCATTCATTAATTACAAAATGCCTCTAGGATAGACACCAGACTTTCTAATACTGGTCAAAATGGCAACCAATCTCCTAAACTGATGGGCAGGTTTCAATTTGGTAACCCAAAAGTCAGTGGTAGACAAACCTAAAGAAAATTCAGGAAAGGGAATTAAATTGGCTGAGCCTCCTTTAACTGAGATATTTTAATAAAATTTAAAAATATATTTTTGTTAAATTTTGAACGGAAAACTACTATTATTACTATAACTGTTGTAAACATACTTTGCACGACAATGCCCGCCAATCTAGCTGAACTGTAGCGCAGGTGGGAGCAAGTAAATGGGACATAATAAAACTATTAACTTGTTTACTTCTAAAAACCAAAACACAAAGACAGTGGCAACAGAACTCAGACAGGCTTCACATTTACTCTTTGACTGAGTCTGTTAACATTAGTGGGGCTAAAACTGTTTTATTTCCAGTAACAATCACCTTCAATATGATCAGAACTACAGAGGAACCCGGAATAACTTATTCGGGAGGAGGTGGAGTAGCAAAAAAAATAGCAAGTTGTATAAAAAGCAATGATACTCATCGAGAAAAGCACATATTTACAATAACAGGTCAACGGGGTGGGGGTGGGGGTTGATGTGTACACATTCGAAGTTGGCTGGACGCTGCGATTTGTCCCCTTCTGAGGATCTTGCTGGGTCATGCCCTAGTCTCAACTGCTCCTACCTTGACCCTGCTCTTGTATCATTGGCAGTGATATGCGAGCAGGTGAGCGATATCACCTTTCATACTGCAACGCCCAGATACACACCGACACCTTCATAATTGCATACACACAAAAATCCCTGAATCAACTATCTGTTCTTCCTCTCAAAACCAAAGACCATAACTGAAGTCTCTTTAAGGTTATCAGCACAAGTTTTAGTGAAATGTAGTATTTAAATTGTCTTCACAGTTTTGGTAAATTACTAAGTAATACCTTTTATAAAAGAAAACAAGTACTAACTGTTCTCACTGTCTGTTCCAAAAGTCAGATAAACTTGAGGAAAAGGTTGTTAAAGGTTATTCGTAACAAATGTAAATAATTGTTAAAGGGCAAAATTTAATCCAAGTGAGTCCCTCCTGGTGAGATGAAGTTCAAATTGAAACCCATACTAATTACAATAAGGAATGATTAAATGTTGTGTACACCAGACAAAAAAGGGACTGGAAATGGTTTTGTGACGCTACCAAAGTAGTCTACATAACAAGTCAATCTATTTCCACCCTGGAAAAGTACTGGCTGCCACTGGCAACAAATGTTTAATGAAATCAGGAAGAAGAGCCGTTTTCAGGCAATTTAGCACGTGACACAAACAACCAACAACACTGCAATGGTAGCAGACAAAAATGTCAACAGTTAAAGCAACAACTTCATAAAAAGTTAACATCCTACTCCCAAAAGGTGAACTCAAAGCTTTAGTTGAGACTTGAGTGCGACTTGGGTGGCCTTACAGGCTTACACATATAAGTTTCCTGCTGTTTTACATAGTGTACAATAATGTTTTTAATTCCAATATTTAGAAACTGGATGAGTAAATCAAGCAATTTACTAGTTCATTAAACGGATCTATTTCAGAAAGTAAAAAGTCGCATGAGAATATTTACATCTCAAGGAATGCAGACAAAACTTGTTGGCTTCTGGGGGCCACCTACATGTAAAAACTGGTGGCCATAGGGTTACTTAATGTTTCCAAGGACCTTTGCAAATACAAAATCCTGAGAGATGTGACCACACACTTACTGTGGTCACATTTTCTAAAAGAATTCATTCAAAAGAAGTTAAGTCATTTAAAGGAGTCAGAAACATGACTGAAAATTGCGGACAGTTTGGAAGGTGGGAGAAGTCATGTGACATCACAGGGTCACATGTTCTGTCATGTGAAAAGGTGGTTAACAGAACCAGCAGCACACTGGCTTCTCCTCATCCTGCTCATACAAAAGAATCAAAGATATAATGCAGCAACAATAATCAGGTAATGACGATCTTATTGAAGGTCTGAAATATGATTTACATGGAAACCACATCTACTCATGCTACTCTGAGTAACTTTTCTGTACACTTGGACCTCAAGTAGTTTCCAAAATAAAGAGTTTTACTTGAACGCATTTTTTGTGGATAGTATTTATTTCACAGCATTTTACTGTGCATCGGTTACTAACTAACGTAAAGGAAAAAGAAAACCAGCTTTACTTTAACTATTCGACCGCCAGCTAATTGGCTGATACTACTCCCTGATTATTAATTGAACCAACATTATAAAGAAGAAAACACATGCTCACACTACAATCACTGTAAGAAAGGTTTCAGTCAAGTTAATAATGTGGATACTCAGGTTACTTTTACTAATCTGACATCTTGCTACAGCTACAATAAGATAAACAGCAAATCACAACCTGATTTTTATAAACAAGCTGTCCTATAAGTGAAGACACACTTTTTACATTGTGTCAAAGACTGATGATCAAAGATGGAGAGAAGCTATTAAAAAGCTCTACCCTGAAAAAATCCTTTCATTTATTAATGACCCCCTATTGGTTATATAACAATATTAGTTTGGTAAAATATGCCTTAACATAAAGATGGGGGGTATGTCTTACTTCGCTCTCCGACTGCTTAGTACTGTTAGTTTCAAACAAAGTATTCTTCACTTGTACTTGTCTTTTCAGAGGCTGGTGGTTGCACTTCTACTTAAATTTACTGTTAAATGTACCGGTACTTTTGCTTGAGTGGAATACTTTAATACTCATTACATCCCTGGTTTTATGTTACCCTATATTCTCCACAATGTATGCACTGTGGAGTCTCCTTTTTTTGAATTGACATAAAGTCCAAATCTTAAAACTCTCCAGTGTTTCCAGATTTCAATTAATCAAAAAGAATAAATGAGTCATCATATTAAAGTTTCATTTGAAAAGAAATATTTATACTTTTTAACAATAGACATACATGAAGTTAATAAAAGTGCCTACACAAACCTGTACTTATTTTCTAGTCTCTAGAATTCTAAAGTCTACTTGCGCCCTCTACTGTTTGTTATTAGTAATGACGAATCAATTTCGTATACATTTAACTTGTGAAAGATGAATAACTTTTAAATCAAAAAACACAAATGGCTTTATTAATCTCAACTGAATGAGGAATGCATTTATTTCAATGTGCCACTTTAACGAATAAGGATAAAGATAAAAGTTTATGTTCAAAGTAAATGTTTTAATTTACAGATTGCACATAATTGTTAAGAATTTTATTAAATGAGGGTACAAGAAGATTTTTTTCTTCCGTTTCAAACAATAAGTGGTTACCGGTAATAATGATAACAGCGTGGCTGCAGCTCAACCACATTTTAAAAATACAGAGAAAAGTTTATTGAATCTACTTTGTCACTTTCAAAATCCCAAGGCTGACATCTTTACAGGTCTTCAGTTCTTAAAACAAGTCTTTGAAAAACTTCAAGAAGATTCACCATCACAGAAGAGAAACTTCACAAGAAAATGGAGGCAAATCTTTCTTAAAAACTGACATGATGAACTCCTTATCATCACTGTTGCTTTTAATGTTGTGTCATGTCATTAAATATGCCGTTTAAAAGGCTTGGTGTTTGCAAAAGCCTTATCAAACAAAGAAAAATTGCAATACATTAACAAACATGAAAGAATTTAAAAGTGATCTTTTACACTAATGGTTTTTACATTGCAGTATCAAAAGAAAACCATAAAAAAGGTCTAATAATGTATGTACAGAATGTTTTACAGATCATTGATTGTTGGTCATACATTATGCAAGATTCAGCATCACAGCACTACTTTAATAGTCACATCAACTTGCAAACTTTAAATGGAAGTTTACATTTCTAATGTTGCATATGTAGATCACTCACAGAGTTCCGTATTCCTTTAATAAGTTTGCATAAGTTTGCAAACTCAAAGCAAAGTGAACTCCCAGGCCCATTTGATTTCTCATTTCTAGTGTAATTTTAACTCTTGTGGACAGGAAAGAAGCCATTTCAAGGACGGTAAGGCTAGCACAGACATCTTTGCCAATGTTCTAAAATTACAACCTACTTACAAACACTGACCCAGTCCTCAAATCAGGACAACATGACTTAAGTTATAGTCACTGTTCAGTCACCATAAAGGATGTTCTACCTTATCTTGTGACAAAAATCAGATACTCTGTGTCAGGACCCTAATATTTGAAAAAACATCACCTTCAAGGCTCCTTTATAGAGGTCTTTTACAGACAAGAAGGTGAATAATCATCCATTTTGTACACAGTTAGAGAAAGGAAGCACAGGGTTTCCTTTACAAACAAATGAGGTTGGGCTGGTAACTCAGGGCAGTATTATGCAACACTTTCATTAGTATTGAAAATCAGCCAATTAAGGCCTTACATCATCAAAGTAATCATCACTTACTGCAAAATGTTTTTCAATCTATGCCTGATCACTGAAATAATTCTGATGAGACAAAAAATAACACCATGACAAATTTCAGGTATGTCTGTACATGACAGCAAAAAGAAAACATAATGTTCATATGGAGGTGTACCGGGTAAACTGTCAAAAAAATACTTGTTGGGATATCCACAAAACTGCATCATGTACCAGTAGTTCAATCCAAAAATATTTGCACTACATCAGCTTTCCCAAAAGCAATATCAGTCAAGCTGTACGAAAATGCATCACAACAGCTCTAGCAGGGAGCACCAAGGTCTAACATGAACCCAATGACACCAAAAACCTGCAGTAGCAAGTGCGCTGCACTAGATGGGGATATCCTACCAAGCAGGGCCGTGAAAGAGGAGTCAAATTACATTTGGGAGCGCCAGAGTTTGGCTTTTAAAAACAGCAGAATGGAGGACACGCACTTCAAAGTTTCCAGTTCAGCTCCACTGGGCAAGGGTACACGAGTGCAACAGTGGACACGGTATTGACAGATGGACTCAGAGCACTGAAGACAAGCAGATGTTTGGGGACCCTGATCTGATCAGCAGAAGAGACCCAACACCTCCTCACGCTCAAATCAGAGCAGAAACACCCGGGGATGGAGAGTTGCGGTGGAAAACAGAATGAAAGACGAGGGGAAAAGGAAAGGGGGGAGAAAAGGCAGAGAAGAGACATAAAAAGGAGAACGAGTGAGGGGAGGGAGCCTCACAGTAGGGAGCAGGAGAGCGCGGAGAAAGGAAAGAGAAAGAACTCCGAGAGTGGGAGGGAGAGTGTTTTTATCCTCATGTGCACTCAGTCAGAGGGGTCAGTGAGTGCGATTGTTCCTGGACTGCCTGTCAAAACAGTGCGGCTACCACAGCGCCTATTCATCTCCGCCCCTCTTTGAAATGCACGCACGTACGCACGCACAACCCCTATACCAACGCACTCATGTATGCATGTGCAAATGTATGAGGTTCCTCCAAAAGCTTTTCATACTCTTATTACAGCCTTAGCAACAGCCCAATAACAGCATCAAAACAGCCTTTTTGGACCTGCGTCACAGCACCACCACTAACACTATCCACTCACTGTGTTTGAGTTTCAGCTCCGTCACAAGCATGCATAGGCAAGTGAATAACTGCAGTGTGCAGAAAGTGGCTGGCAACTTGTCGTAGCCACAGGAAAAAGATTTTCTTACCAGGTAGAGGAGGAAGGTGTGCAGGCCAGTGCCAAGACCCACTGAAGAGAGGATGCCCAGACCGACCCAGTATGCGCACCACAGCGTCTTCTTCTCCATGTAGCGTACATACTGCAGAGGCCAGAGAGAGGGACGGTGAACCACATGGCAGAGACACATGCACAGAGTGTGAGGAAAACAAGAAGGGGGTGGGAGGATGGGGGTTACAGAGGAAGAGAGAGAGAGACTGACTGAGCGAAGGTACGAGAGTGAAAGTGTGCAAAACAGAGGGCACTTTAAAGGGTGGGAGAGGGCAAGTGAGTGGTGGAGAAAGAGAGGGAGAGAGACCTTTACAGAGACAGAGGTTGTTGTTAAGTTTAGAGGACAGAGCCGTAGGGTAGGAGTGTTCAGCACACTGACAGAAGAACAGAACTATTATTCTTATTGGTGGCAGCCAGCTCTTACACAACTAGTAAAGTAAGGCAAGCCAAGAACTCTTTATCTCTCTTTCTCTTCCTCCTGTTCATCCACCACTCTGTTTACACCTCCTCCCTCCAGCGAGGGCAGGTTGTTTTTAGGAGGAAGCGTGGAGTGTGTAGATTACGGGAAGAGGGGATGGGACAGGGGATCGGAAGGAGGTGTGGAACCGAAGACTTCATTTCCCAGGAAACTCGGCAAAACAAAAACACTACAAAGTGCCTCTCTCTTTGCTGACAGAATTCTGGGAAACGCAGTGCCAGCCATGGGCAATTGTTACGTGAAGTTACTGAGAAGTGATTACACAACTCCCAAGTCTCAACATTTACAAAAAAAAAAAAAAACTTATGGAAGTGGGTTCAAAATACTACAGTTAAAAGTAGGAAAAAAAACTCAAAGGTAGGGGAAAAAAGTAAGAGAAAGGCTTAGTGAGACCACAGCACAGGTTGCTTTCATATACATTAAGAGCTCGGCTTGTTTGCACTGTGGACATAAGAGATTAGCAGCTCAAACACAGCTTTGTAGGAAGTTAATAATTTAACCAAAGTCAAAGACACTAACACAAGCACACACTTGCCAGAGGTGATGTTCAAACAGGTATCCTTTAATAAGTACTGTTCAGTTCCTGAGGCGCAGATTTAACCAGGACAAGAATTGCACAATATGAGGAAAACCTATTTTGTTGATTAATATTGTTAAAAGCTATAATACTTGTATAATACTTGATACAGAAACTAACATCAAAGTGTGCTTATCACTATATAATACTGTTTGGGGGACATGTTTCTGCTGTTCTGCATTCAAAAGAAAAACTGCTTTGGTTACATATCTTATCTGAATGCTAATTATAAAAAGCAGAAGAGCTATTCTTTGTTCCACCTCCCCAATATCAACCACATCTCCTTCACTCTTGTCTCCTGTCTCAGCCATCGGGGTGGCTTTTCTCTCAGTTACAAATAAACAGACTTTAAGTTTGCCTATCTATTAGGTCAGTCCAGCTAAAACCGTACTTTAAAGATGCATCTTAACATGTAAGTCCAACCTAAACTGCACTAGGTTGAATATGTCTACAAGCTTGACTGAGGCTGGCTACACACAAGACAATTTTGGTCCTGATTAAGGGCACCCTCACTTAAAAGATTGAAGGGGACGCAAACCTGATTTAAGGCGGATTCTAACCAGTCACTCATCAAAATAAACTTGAAGTGTGTTGTGTCAGTACAACTATTTTGCTGCTCTCAGCCTTATCAATACCTTGGATCTTTGATATTAAACATTTAAGATATTTATGATTGGATTTATGTGGAAAACATGCAACAACCAAAGAGAAGAGCAGTCCAGAAAGTGTCATAAACAGGATGTTGCACACTTTCATAGCTCACAAATATGGCAGCAAATGTTAACACGTATGTTGCAACTTTCTTCTCAGCCAAGGCTTCACTCATATTCTTTTTATGGTGTACATTCACACCCTGATGATCATAAAAATACAATATATTATACAGTCCTATGCAAATCCACTATATAGCAAACTGCTGCCATCTATGAAACCCTCTAACTTCCAAAACATGGTTCCCACTCTTAGCCCATGTCAACCCAGCTATACATTCAAGTCAATTTGTGTAAATGTGCTCTTGGTCTTTCAAGTGTTGATTGGGTATTCAAGGAGTTCTTGTAATGTGCAAACAGTACTAACATTAAATGCTTTGTAACTGTGATGGGGAGGAATCAAGAGTCACACAATCCCATGTTTTAGGAAAACTCAACACATGCTGAAAGATATGAATGGCCAGCTCTATTATAGCCAATAAGAACACTGTTGAACTTCGCAGGGATGTGCAGACTCAATAAAACAAGTTTGAATTAAGGAGGTATGAACTTTAACCCCATTTTTGATGGCAATAAAGTAAAAACTTCACAGAAAAAAAATATCTTTTATTTCATATCTTTTCATTCAAGGCAGGCCACACCCTAGATGATTTTTAGATCCCTAAAACTGTAGGAAAACCACACATATAAGGGCAGTTCAGATAAGGGCAGTTCAGATCAATTTTAAACATTACAACTCTCTAAACGCACAGCAGAGGATTCTTTAACACTGCTAGACCATACACCAACATTCGTCGGGAACATTTCACAGTGGCAATTTCACAGACACAAGATCTCACAGAAGCTTGGAGCATACATGTTTGCATTTGCTGCCATGTTGGTAAATCATACGTATTCAACATTTGTTTGGTGATGCCTCTTAGTCTGCTCTTCTCATTTGTTACTGCAGGTGTTACCATTGGAGACAGTCAGCCGGGGACTGTAAAAATGAAACATTTGATATTTACAATACGAGGTCGGGGACTAAGATAGGAGCAGTAAAATTGTCACGTTGAGGATCATTAGAAAAAATAATTAGTCAAGTCCTAAATCATCAGGCATGGCAAAGCAGACCCACAACCGGATCAAAGTCATCTCGTCTGTGGTCATAAACCCCTAATACGGTGGAGGAACTGAGTTAAGTTGGTTGAAACTATGTAATAGCCATTGCTTCAATAAAAGTGTCATTCAGTCACCTTTTGGTGCGTCCCTTCAATACAGTAGGCAATGGAGAGGAGGAAAAGCAGAATCAGCAGTCCAAACACAGTCTGTCTTTGCTGCCAGAGCCTAAGTGAAGAAGAGAGAAAAAAAAGGATAAAGATGGAAAATGATGGATGCAAGAGTGTGCGGAAGAATATGTGATAGTAGCATTGGACAGGAGAAAGAACATGGGTTAGGAGGACACAATGTGAAGGCAGATTAGACAGTTGAGGAATCACTGGATGAATGAGGCAGTATTAGTGACAGGAAAGGAAGCAGCTCTTTTTATTTCATCTTTGGGAGAGAGGGACATCTGCTGGAAAGTATTCAAACCGCTGCAATTATGGTGTTTAGCAACAGGAATGGCATTTTCCCAGTAGGATGACAGTGTTGAGAGTCATACAGTGAGTACATCTGCAACTCTCTTGAACAGTTGAGTTAAATTACACCACGTTGGGCACGTGTTGACAGAATTTTACACTCAGTAAAATTATCAAATATAGAAGAAAAGGAACATGGTCACAACTGTTTTAGACTGCCAGAACAAATATTTTCACTAAGGATGACTAGTTATGTCAAAAATACCCAATAACTTAATACACTAAGGGCTCTATTTTCGTGTCCGCCGGTGAGGCGACGGAGGGTGGCGGACCCCGCGCAGTTGTATTTTCGTCCGGCGGAGCCCAGCGTACGGCCAGTTTGGTATTTTCGTGGATTGAGGCGCACGGAGGCGAACCGAGATCCGCCAAGCTGGGCGTGGTGGCGTGACAGGGGGAGGTGTCAGCAGGTGCAGTGACATTTTCGTGCTCGCCAGTGGCGTGTAAAGTGCGCTGAAAGCTCGCCGATTCAAACCTGGTCAGCTTTCAGCACAAGGCGGAACGCAGCTGGTCTAGTGGTATTTTGGTAGACCGGCGGCGTATTGGCGTACGTCACCGATGCCTCACCGGCAGGTTTCCACAGTGTCAGGCACATTTCAGTGCAATAAATAATCATCATCAACTATTAATCTGGGTCAGCACATACATTTAGATCTATATAGATATATTCTGATCTATATCTGATCTGATGAGCGAGTTTGGCACGCGTTTGGACACTCAACCTGACTGAATCAACACAGCTGAAACCGCATTAAATTAAATTAAATATCTAGTAAATAGACACACATGATGAAGTTAACAAGATATGTAATTTGTCTCCCTACTTTTCTTTCTTCCTCTTCCTCTTATTTTTCGCGCAGCTCAACCTGGACACGTCTCCGTTTCCTCTCTCCGTCCTGCTGCAGCGGCGGAACAGATGATTTGTTTCAGTGCTCAGATGAGTTATTTACTTTAAGCCTACTTACGAATATTATAATATTCAGTTTTGTGAGTCAAATTTATTTTATATGCCAACATCTATGAAAGAAAGAGCCAGACCACGGAGCACGATGCGTCATTTACGCACAGATGGTTCCGATTTTAATTCCATTTTTGGAGTTTATGTTGTGATCTGTGCACACAACCCACCTTTGTCACGTGAGGTTTGAATATATGCAACTTTATGTGAGTGTCTTAATTAGTGGAAAAGGGTGTTTTTCTTACCACTAGGTCCAACATTACACACACCAAATCCATCTGTGCTCATATGAGAGAGTGTGGAGGACGCCCAATGCAGCGCTTACAGTGACACTTGTTGAGGAGCTGCCCTTTGTCGTCATCTTGTGGCGTTACTGTCTTCAGACATCTCTTGATCTCTCTGACTACTTCACGAAAATAGTAATACGCCTCGCCGGTGGCGGATTTAAAGGCGAGGAGAGGAGCTGATGTGATTGGTGAAAACAGGTCTCGGCTGTGTTAAACCCACTCCACGCCCTCTCTCCTCCCTTGCAACGACTTATGCCGCTGGGAGGAGTTGAGTTAGGGAGGGGGGCTACTTACGCCGGGCTGCGCCGCTCACCAAAATACCAAATTGTGCTTGGGAACGCCTTGTCGGCGCAACTAACACATAGATTATTACTATGCCAAAATGTCAGTTTTAGGCATAGACTGTATATACTATGGACAACTTGGTTCCGCCTACCGCCTGTATACGGATTTGAAGCCAAAAAGCTCTCTGTATTTTCAGGATTTTTCTTTATTTCCTGAAACCAGCGCTGCGCAGTAGCGATGCGTGCATTCGGCCGCGCAGTTGCCGAGTGTCGCTGTGATGACGCTCGGCTCAAACAGCGTATCCCCCAGGAGAGCTACGCAATCCCTGAACACCAATAGGCTGTATCAGGTGTCAATCATAGAAAATATGAACCCCCTAATAACTTTTAAAAACTGAGCTTCACAGAAAAAAGAGGACTTGAGCACAAACCAGTCTTACAATAACTACATGTCAACATCGCAAGCAGGGGGGAGAAAAATGTATGTTCTGTGTAATAAATTTATAAAGTTTGTCCACAGCCCCATAAGCTTTGCTGGTGGAGGCGGGATTTATGACCTATACTGCAGCCCATCAACAGAGGGTGCTGTTCTCGGAGTGGCTTCACCCAGAGAGGAGGCAGACTCTGTCAGTTCTTTATACAGTCTATGGCTTTAGGGCTTTTTCTCAATTTCAGTTTTATGTTGTGTTCAATGTTATGTTAAAGGTAATGTTGATAAGTCATTTCATAAACAAGGAGTACATTGAAAGTGCTTAGAGCTGGTTACTCTACCACAAGGCTTATTTTACAACAATGATAAAACAGTGTCTTTATGTACTTAAGTCAGAGGGCACTTTTGGCCGAACAAGTTCTCCGACTGTAACCTTGTAGTTCCTATATTAATCCCAATTCTATCCCAATCTAATTTAATCCCAATCTAATCTTAGATAATAAAATCTGAAAAAAGGCTTTAAAAGCACTTACTAAACATCAGTTGTTAAGCTAATACCAACGCTGTGAACATGTTGTTTGCAGTTACGTAAGCAAGCCACTACTGGATTTCTTTCTAAATTAGGTAGTAACTGTTAACAGACATAGACTGTATATGGAATGGACGCCATCTGCCTCCTTGCTGGGTGAAGCCACCACGAGACCAGCACCCTCTAGTGACGGGCTGCAGTAAAGGTCATAAATCCCACCTCCTCCAGCAATCCCTATGGAGCTGTGGACAAACTTAAGATATTTATTACACAGAATACAAATTTGTCTTCCCCCCTTGCTTGTGATGTTAGCATGTAGTTGCGGTAAGACTGGTTTGTGCTCAAGTCCTCTTTTTTCTGTGGAGCTCCACTTTAAAAAGTTATTAGGGGGTTCATGTTTTTTGTGAATGACTCTTGATACAGCCTATGGGTGTATAAGGACTGTGTAGCTCACCCAGGATATATGCTGTTTGAGCAGAGTGCCATCACAGCAACTCTTGTACAACGCTACTGTGCAAGTGGGGAAATGCTTATAACGTTACTGTGCAAGTGGTGGTTCTAGGAAGTTGAGAGAATCTTGGAAATACTGAGAGCAATTCGGCTTCAAATTCATATAATGATGGAAGGCGGAGCCAAATTGTCCATAGTATATACAGACCATGTTAAGGGATGTTGAAAGCATCAGCTAAATGTTAGTTATATTACTGTACAGTCAGTTCAGATGGCTATAGTAATATGTTTTACGGTTTTGTTGCTTGAAAAACTCCCTGTCGATGTATTCAACAGCTTACCTGTGTTTGAGAAATGTTAAGTCAACATATATTTGAGGGGCGAGTCAACTCCACAGTTCGCACAGTCCCGGGGCTAACAGTTATATCAGTTGTAAGAGGCCAGTTGGCTTACAGGTAGCGTCGTATTAACCTGGGGTAGTTAATTCCTGTGTTATTTCAACCCAATGCTGAGGGAAAAGGGTTGTCTACATTCAGACAGAACCTTGCTGAAATTAAGGATTACAAATGCTTTAAACTTTGAATCCAATAAAAGTAAAAAAATTATAACGAGGTATGGAAAATTGGTTTGGCTCCTCATAAGAGGCCTATTGCATCCCTTACTCTGCAGTTACACAAAATATAAATGTAGGATGTTGTGTAGTTCAGTGAGTATTAGTCAGTACAGTTAGTTCACGGTAGTTGATTTGACTCAAATCCAATGTTAACATAAATGCCATTTGCAGTTTCCCATTTACGTGTTTATCCTTTTTTTCTCCGTATTGCAGGGCTTTGCTCCTTTTTTACTTTTTGGTTGTTTGTAAAAAGATCACCCAACCCACAATCTATTTACAGGCAATTGCAAATCCACAAAAGTTCTCTGCAGGCTTTCTGGAAATCATTTTTTTGTCCTTTTGATATATTTAAACTTATTTAACCTTGTTAATGATTACTGCTTTTTTATCCGCCTTCTGTGGGATGATCATAACTTGTCTCCCCACAGTTGCAAAGTCACAAAACAAACTTTGACATCGGCTAAGTTTATTACTGTAGGCGACAACATGGTATGTCATGGTCTGAGCTATGACAGAGACCAGCCTATTGCTTTCTAGATCCCCAGAAAATTATCACAATATCGTAAGAAATAAAATGGTATGGTCCTGAGATGAAGGAATGAATTAATCCATAACAGTGGATTGATAACTGTAAGCATCATCAGGGGACAACCAGCATCCTCATCTTGATTATCATGTAAAAAAAAAAAAAAAAACAAATCTTGGTAAAACAACAGGAAATAAGTTATGTGAAGGGGGAGAATATCATATGTATAAAACCACATCTGCCTATTGACTGTCTGTGTTATTATGTCACAGAAACTGGTTCTAAGGATTCCCACTTTGGAATGACATCCCTTCTAACTGGTCTAATTTTTGACTCATGTTTGTATTTCAATGGCAGCATCAGCTGTGGCAGCTTCTGTGTTTTGAAATGCAAAATTTGAAATAATTGGACCATAATCTTTTCAAAATTGGTCAAGATGATGAAATAAAGTCTCTCTCACCCAACAAACATCTTCCTTTTGTTCACAGTCATTACCCCCATGAATGTTTGAGGCCAACAAGTGCAGAGCCACAACGCTGAGCAGCAACTTGCCTGAGGACTCCCTGTACATGTGTTACAAATTACCAACCACTTCTATCAGCAGTCAGGATAAACGTCTCTGCACGCTTGTGGACTACACTGTAACATCTTTGCATGTATTTCCCTGCAGCAGTTACAGCACCATGTGTTTTTCAGTGTTGGTGAGCAGCAGCCTCTCAGTCAGAACGCTGCTCGTGGTGCTTGTGGCTCACCACATCCTCTTGTAGTTTAGAAAATAAACACGTTGTCCTCACACACTTAACCACAAAGGCCTCCCTGAGCGTACACTCTGACCTTGTTTTGGGTCCTGAATGTCAACAAAGATTATCAGGTGTGTAAAAAAGATGTTCAGCATAGGAACTTTGACGTAGTCTCGTCTGTGTGACTACTTTGCTGACTGAGGAGGTAACTTGAGTTCATTTTGTGAGGTCTATCAGAAGAAAGAACAAGAAGTAACGAAAGGAGAAAAAAAATAGGCAAGCCTTTTCTGTAATGCTTGTTTTGTTTTGCGTTTTGGGTTTCATTAGACCTCTGAGTGGAGACTAAACTATGAGGGAGAAGCCTGCTGTGGTGATAACACAGAGACAATCAAGGTCACCTCCTGTCTGCTTTTATATGTGTGTTTTGCTTTAGTGTGGCTGTGGGGGAAAGTATGCAGAGTGTATGAGGTTATTTTTTACTACCATCGTGTTCTCTTTTAGCCTGAGATTTTAAAGCAGCAGCAGTACCTTTTAAAATAAAACTAACTTTATAAAAACACAGTTTCAATTTAACAGCAGTAACACATATAAACTACCATCATGCTGTCTCTTAGCCTGAAATAACACTACAAAACCTTGCTGAACTGATGCAGTTCTGCAGTGGTATCAACACATGAATAGTGCAGAATTTACTCACAGTGAAAGGTCCACCCTGACCACAAACTCAGGACAGGAAGCTGAATACAACTATGTCAGATTATTGTCACTTTTAATTGTTACTCTTGTTTTCACTACAACATATTATCATTATATGATATTTGATATTGTATAATACATCTTATTATGGTTTTGTACATACTATGTGACTACAAATGCAAGCAAGTATTTATTTAAACAGAATACAATGATGGTAACCATTTGAATACAAAAGGGGAGGGGTTGTATTTCAAAAAGTCTTGATAAGGAAAGTATTACTTTCTCTTTCAATAGAGACCTTTTTATTGTGAGTAAACAGTATAATGTATTTGGTGGGTGGGGCTTAGCTAAAGGCAAAAAATCCCTTCAGACATGTAAGCCAGGGTTTGCCTGTTGCTTGTTTTTGACAGGACTGATTTTTCCACAGGGGGGCGCCAAAGATGGCACTAACTGAAAATTCTTACAGGAGCTTTAAATAAGTAAACACTGACTAACAGGAGCAGATTGGCTGATCCGTACGCTCAGTGGAAGGATGATTTAATATGACTGCCATAAGTGAGATAGGTTACATTTACTCTTAGCTTTGCTGTATGCATATCATATAGCCAAACTGAGGGCCAGTAATCATGATGTCGCACAACAGAGGACAACAAATGAACAGTTTCCTCCAGTTTGTTTTGCTAGCAAAACCAACATCAGCTCATGTCCTAAAACAGAGAAATCCAATTATCCCCCCTTTCGGATAAGAGGGTTATGATTTCACCTTCCCATTTTAAAGTAAATATACTAAATATGAAGTATTTCCAGCCCTGTCCTCTCATCCCCTTTGATCAAAGCTGTCCTGTTTTTCAACAGGCTGGTATGCAGGAAAATTAAAGTTTCACTATTACTCCTTGTATTCTGGTACTAGCAGCACTAAAAGATGACAACATGTGGGTATTTTTACCTTTTTGAGAACAGATAGCTGAAGAGAGACAGGAAATTCGGGGAGGAGAGAGCAGGGGAAGACATGCAGCAAAGGATTTCGAACTAGCTACTGCTGCGATGAGGACCATAGCCTCAACAGGGGTGTTTTAGCCTATTAGGCTATCTTGGTATGAAGACCTGCATGTCTCATTTTAAGAGCCAGTGTCCTGACATGTGACTGTTTAGTTATATCTATACCTAGCAGTCAGATGCTAGAATAAACCCCCATTGATTAAACCACGGTTGCCTCTAAGGACCAGAAGCTCCTGTGATAAATATGATCCTCTGTTTGACAAATTTCTACCCACTGGCTGAAGGTGTTGCACACAGCAGAGGTGCACACCAGTATCTCTGCATGCCAGTAACAACAGTACCCTCTGAGTGTGTGTTTCTGTGTTGCTGGACTGATGGTGACCTGGTTGCACTCTCGACTGACACTCGAACATGTGAACATGCTTTTTTATTAAAAGTGGACACCGTGGGTTGGGATAATTCTTCTGTTTAGTGTTCACACTGCAGCATATCTACATTTAGTGGTTTGAGCCTTAAATCTATAGGACTACGTGTCCTTAGAGGTTAGTTTTATAAGTCTGCTCTGTGTATTGACATTCAGCGTGTGAAACACATTTGTAGCTATGAGGCACAGTCAAAACTTCATCATTTTGATGTCATGTTGAAGGTTTGCTGCTGAAACATGATGATGATGATGATGATTGTTTCTAAATTTTATATGACCATGTCATGTAAACAAAGGCATTTAAAGGGTTCAAACAAAAAGTACTTTGGAACTTTTTCCTTTTTTTTTCTACAGCTGCATAAGTATATTCCTATGCTCAGAGAACCTCAAATTTGCATTTGCAATTTCCATTAAGGACTCCTTCCTCCATCTTCAAAACTCATTTATTACTTATATATATATATATATATATATATATATATATATATATATATATATATATATATATATATATATATATGGGTCATGTGTAGTGATCATGCAAATTAGAACCCTGAAAGGATGAGCACTGTGTGTCACTGCTATTATACAAGACATAAATGCCAACAAAGCATCAGCAGAGGACACACTGGTGCATACCTGTTCATGTCATCTATATCAGGCTTCCTCTGTCCTCTCCTCCTTTATTTGTATAATTTATTTTAGGAATTAGTGGCTGTTTACTAAATCACAGGAGAGTTGAAACAGGATAGTAGAAGGCATAACATGAAGACAAGAGAAGAGGCTGTTGTCTCACCTCCACATCCACTCTTTGAGCGTGATCAGCAGCTCCAGTGTGAAGTAGTACAGTGTGAGAAAAGGATTCTTCCACAGCACCAGACTTTCACGCTCCTCTTGGTCCCTCTGTTTCCTCTGTTTCCTCTCATCCACAGATGGCTCAGGGTCTACAGCAGCACAGCATGAGGATTTCAAGCAAACACACATTCAAATGAGGAGCATATTTTGGCATATTATTGGGTGACCAATACACAAGAAATGTAAACTTGGTAAGGTTAACACTTGCTCTCATGCATGGAGGGCAACTGACTGCATAAGTTCTGTCATAAGCTAGGGACTGAATTCCACATTAAAGCATATGTTTAAACTTTTAAACTTTGGTTCCTTTGTTTGGTTCAAAAATATGAAAATAAAATATGAGTGAAGTGTAGATGACACCCAAAATCTGAATTTAGATTTAAACTTCCTTACAGCTGGTACAACCTAGTGCTAGACACATCTTTCCAAAGTTAAACTTAACCAACTGTCGACAATAAGTAATGTGTTGGACAGATGCTCTGTTTCACCTGCTGTTCACACACGTTTTCTCCTATCCAATGCTGGGTTCATTCTGCGCCTTTTTTTACAATATGTTATCAAAAGCTCTCAGTGTGCCGGGGGCTCCTACAGCCCCTCCTAATCTCTATTTTTGGTGTTCCTAGAGGTTTTGCTTGTCTTCCTGCCAGGGAGGGAAATATTATTGTTTTTACTTCGCTTGTGGCCCGCAGGCGTATTTCACTTCATTGGAAGGATCGAAAACCTCCATCTGCTAATTCATGGCTGAAAGCCTCACATTGTTCCTTTATTCAAAAAAAAAAAAAAAAAAATCAAAAAGTATTTCAGGTTCTTCTGTTACTTTTAACAAGACTCAGGATATTTGTGTTCTGTCTTTTGTTAATTCTTCCAACAAACTGTTTCAGAAAGCAAGCTGGACTACTTCTGTGTATGCTTTTTATACCTATTTTTCCTGTTAATTTACTTTAATGTTATTTTTCCCCTTTTTCTCCTCTTAGTCTCATTCTAGTCTTATTGGTCTTATTGTTTATTCCAACCATGTCGCATTTTGGAACGCTCTCCATGTTCGTGGTGAGAGGACATGTGTACGGTATGTTCTTTGGTTTGTTTAACCATATAAAATTGGTTGTGACCAATGTGTGTTATTTGAACCCATCACAGACACAAACATTTAAAAAAAAATTTAAAAGTGAGGGACATATTACTGTTTGAAGGAAATTGTATAACAAGGTTTCTGAAACACATTTTTTAATTTTTTACTCATTTATGCAGCACAATGAAAAACTTACTATTCAACAACTAGGAAATTCTGTCAGCTGAGAAAGATCAAAAGTACCATATGTTTACTTGTCTTACTAAAATCTACTGAAAATGTCAAACACTTTTTAATATACTCCAGGTTGAAATGTTGTTCCAAAGTGACTGAAGTAGTGACAGATGTTAAAGCTCGGACTGTGCTTGTGCTGCCTTTTAAGTCTGAATTAAAAAATCATTTGTAGATATACATTACATCACATTACAGTTGAATAGGAACATTTTTTTATTACTATAATTTGCATTTGTTTGTGGTGTCATCTAGTGGCCACTGTAAAGTCTTAAGCTACTGTAATGCACAGTCAGTGAAGAGGTCGGTACAGGATTTATGTTTTTACTTCATGTTTTTCTGATATGCTTCAGCCTTAGAGACCATCAGTCTGTACGTTACATATGTCAATTATAAACACCTGAAATTAAAATATTCATGTCAAATTCCAGACTTGGTGTTGCACACAAATGGCCGTGTGGGTTAGCACGCCCCCACATATTAGGGCCACGGTTGCTTCAATGGTTGAGGTTTTGAGTCCCGCCCCAAACATGTGCTGAATACCCCCCTCCCCCACCCACCCACCCACATCTCACACTGTACTATCAATAAAAAGCAAAAATCTGCCCAAAAAAATACTCAAAAAAAAAAAAAAAAATCCAAACTTGGTTGATGTGCTCTGCTAGCTTACAGAATCAGCAGTGATTAACTTTCTTGCTCTGTTATCAATGAAGCTCAGAGCTGTTGTAGCAATTAGGACATGTTTTATTTACTATTAGTTGTGACAGTTTGAATTTGCTTCATGATGAAGTACTTGGTTAAAACAGTTTGTTGTACTTACTTTTTAAATGTCTTTAATGATAATTCTGCAACGATATGAGTCATTTTCTTGTAATTGCAGTTTTACTGAGAATTGAAAGTCAACACAGAAAAAAACTTAGGTAAAGTCCAGGAAAAGTCAAGCCTTGTGTGTTTATTGGATGTCTTTTGAATGTGAACTGAATGTCCAGCACTGTAAAAGCAAGGGCAGTATAACACTCAAATCTCTTGAAGAAAGTAATAAGTTTTGAAGGAATGATAAATGTTGGTGTAAAAAAAACAAAAAAAAAAACATTTGCATAAATTCCAAGTCCTTTTGGGACACTTACATTTAAGAATCTCTGAGTATTGTTTCAGCTGCTGGTCTGTTTATATCTTTTAATGTTACCTGCCAGCTCTCCATTTTCCTGCTCCTTCACACCAACACGCCTCAGAGGTAGTTCACCTTCAGCCACACACTCTCCCATCTCATTCACAGGAAGGCGTCCTGCTGAGACAAGAGACAAGCGTTCAGACTATTATCACACACTCCGAAGTAGACTCCACTGGTCAAACCTGACACCCAAAACAAAGGACACACTCATGCAGCAGCACCCCTTAACACTTTTCCAACATGTCTATGCGCTCCCTACATGTTAGCTGAGCAGCCGGTGTTTTCCTGCTCCTGCAGATTACTGGTAACCCAATCAGGCCTGTAAATGACCTGATGAGAACTTTAATTGGTTTTAATGTAGACTCCAGGAGCACTTCTCTGAGAGTACACTTGATTATAAGTACACCTCCCCTGCTGATCAAAGAACAGGGATATGTGGGTAAAAGAGCAGGGTAAGTTTTTTTCACTTTTTCAGCCACACACACTCACACACGTGCTTACAAGCGCAGGCACAGAGTGTCTCACTACAGTCTCTCAGGAATCTGTCAGTGAGCAGTGAGATGGGGACTCTGACACGGAGGTATGCAGCCTACCATCTGGTGGACTTGTCAGTGTGCCTCTCAGACACACACACACACACACACACACACACACACACACACACACACACACACACACACACACACACACACACACACTTTCAAGGCTAAATCCCTCCATCCTGTGCCTGAGGTCTGGGCCTCTGGCTCCTGTTTCCATGTATTCACACTCACTACAGACATTAAACTGATGTTACATCAGGCTGTGCTGTCGCTACAGAACTTGCAGGAACTTGATTGATATATCGAAGATGCTAGATGCAGCAAAGTGCTACAATCATGTGGTTCAAGATGGGATGGGATTGGGTCTGATCCTTAATGAGGCTCATACTTTTGTGGCCTTTACATTTGGTCTTTGTAAACAGAATCTGGTCAATACCAGCTTTTTTTATCAGTATCTTGGGATAACACTTGTTGTGAATTGGCAATTTATAAATAAAGATTGATTGACGGATTGAAGTCCAGTGAATTTACTCTTTAAACATTTTTAAAATAATAAGAGCTGACAAAGGTGCACAGAAGAAATTAGAGTCAACAGAAAACAGAAACAGAATTCAAAATCATGCATGGAGAAAATTTTAATAAAACAGATTAAAACTCAAAGAAAAAAAAAATCAAACAACGCATGTTAGTTATTCTGGTTTAGCAGTTTTAGGTTGTTTAAAAGCCATTGAAAAAAGTTAAGTGTGATTTTTCAACGGTTCTGGACAACTTTTTTGCTGCAATTTTAATAATCCATTACAGAGTTACTTTATCATATAGGTAATTACATACCACCAAAGGGTTAGTCTACAGGTGAAGGAGAGTGCATGTATCACTAATTCAACGAGTGCATGAGCGAGAAGGCAGAGCAGGCGGCTTTAACTTTGTGGAAATTTTCTCATTATTTTGAGTGCCTGGGCGTCTTTTTTCATTTCAGCCAAAAATTATGGATCTTCAAAAGCTGGAGTCAAACATCAGTGGAAGGAATGCATTTCATTCCCCCCTTACATGAAGGTCTCTGTCAGGATTTTGGACCCAGGACCACAAAACCCCAAGGCGACAGCTTTTTTATCTATGCCATTCTGACTACAGTATGAGTAATGCTCCAACCTCAATGCTCCAACTTTCAATGTAAAGCTACTATCTCGGATTGAACCCTGGACCACCTAGGTGTACTCCCCCCTTCCAGTTCATCATACTACCCCTCCCTCCTATCTGAGGTGCCATTACATTGTGGTGATTCAAAAACATGGTCATGGACGTGGGAGAGAGGGAGAAAGCCAGCTCATATTAGCTACACCAGGAAGGTTCTCTGCCCTTATTCGGTGCCCACTGGTTCAGGTTTATGTCCTTTACTGAGTTGATTGAGGCTGATTTACTTTCTGGAGGACTATGGTGATTCAAAAGCTTTCCCCATCCCCTAGTGGTAGGATCCTACCAGGATGAGAATTAAGAACCAACCCACTGTGACCCATCTGTGCATATTCCCACAGTGAAATATCATTGGGTATGGTTTACTCGTTAAAGTTTGTTGAATCTCCCTTATATTTTGGTAGTTCAAATACTATGGTAGCTCTGCAAAGAGAGACCCCTGCTGGGGTTTAAATCCAGAACCAGCTTTGACAACAACAACAATGTGCGCTGCTCTTGCCCTGCAAAGTTGTTCAGGGTTAACCACTTTACACCATATAAAGGTAATTGAAAAGCATCTTCTTTGTTTAGGTTCGTGCTCTAGATTCCTAAGGAAGCCGAGCTTACAATGCCAAACTGTGTCAAGCTTACTTATCTTGACTCTAGGTGATCAAATTGTTGCACGTTTTTTTTTTTTACTTTGCCTTTTTTACATTGAAAAGTCATCATTTAAAAAGGACAAATTTAAGCAAACCAAATTTTCACCAACAGCCTATTGTGGGCCCACACCCTCGGGTCCACATTTAAAGATAGCTGTCCTACTGGTAACATTTAGAATATAATGTTCTCAACATTAGAAAACATTAAGCAGATAGTTGACCAAAGTACTTTATAACCATTGGGAAATGAAAATATGGTTAACGGAGAGAAAACATTACTTAATACCAAGAGAAAAAGAAAATGTTCATGTACCATCTAATGAAACTTGTTTTGACTTTGCCTCTGTCTGTCATGGAGGGCTTAAAAAAAGACTAAATGATTTTATTTCTGGTCAAATAAGGGTTAAATTAATCAAAAATAAGATATTGAAATGCAAAGAAAAGGTTGATTCAGAGGGTTTGGTATTTTTTGAGCTTTGAATCACTCTTGCTATTGAGTGAGTTTTTAAACAACAAACTCTGATTTTTTTTTTTACCCGGGAAGCTTCTTGAAAACCACTTTGTAAGTTTGATTTGTTTTGATCTCGAGTGTTTTCCAGAAAGCCAAACAGACACAGACATCATGGGCCATGAAGAGGGTAGCTGTGCACACACGGCCGCAACTTTAGTGTCACAAAGAGGGAAGTAAAAATCTTCACAGATGATTAGACTGCAAGGCATGTGGAGAGCTCCTCTTGGCCTTCTCAAGGAACCACAAACAAAAGCTTTGCATGACACACACGCACACACACACACACACACACCAAGCACTAAGCCTGTGCTGCATGCACAATAGTATTTAATGCACCCTATCATTTCTCCTCCTGCACCGAAGAGAACAATGCAATGTCCAACACAGGGGCTCAACAAAGTGCGTCAATCTGTGATATCCTGTTAGCAACAACTCTAATTATAGAGAATGGTGCCAAACAGGTCACTCTCCAGGAAACCTGCATCTCTGCTGCAAAAATCTAAAATGCATTTTGCTTTAAATTGAAGTAAATTAAATGTTAATAAATTCGTGTGCATTTTTCACATTGAGTTCTCAGTAAACAGTCTCATACCAACACCACTGCAGCACTGCAAAACACAGTAGCACAGCACTGCTCCAGCACACGATTGCGCAATCACTTCTACCAAAACAACCCGGACCTGTTGAGTAACTTCTTGTGTGAGGGACAATGAGAAACTGAAAACAGAGAACATGCACCTCAGGATGAGAAATTTGATAAGTAGCAATCAAGTGTTCACATTTCAAAACAGAGAAAACCACTTTGTCCTGCTCTAGAGATGTTATTAGTCCAAAAACTAGTGTAACCAAAGACAGGGCCATGACAGAACAGCTTTTTCAGTAAGCAGAGAGGGTAGACTCACCGTTCAGCAGATGATCAGTCCACAGTAAACTCTCTGCACAGCAAACCCTGCAGCAGAGACCCAATGGCAATGTAGGGCAAAAGTATGCTACCCATGAACTGCATCATAACTTGAGTGTAGGGTGTGGTGATGGAGGGGGCCAGGGAGGGATAGGGAACTGATACAGAGTGCCGGGGGAGGGGAGCGACTGAGCAGGCTGACAGGAAGAAGAGACACACGGAGAGAGGAGAAGAGAGGGCAGGAGAGATTTCATCACTAGCCTGGTAGAACCTCCAGAGAGCCAGTCTAATTAAAGGTCTATAAATAAGTGGATCACTTTCCTGGAGCGCACTTCTAACACTTCTCAGTCCTCGGTAGATTTCACACACACAGTGAATGAGTGGCATGTGGGCAAAGAGGCCTCAGCTAATTCCCAAACTGAAGTCAAAAAAACACCTCAGGACATCACGTTTTTCAGGTCATAACTGGAGACAGACCGCCTCAACTGTGCGTCACTTTCTTTTGGTGTCAGCCTCAGATTGTTTATCAGAGAGAAAAGAAATATGAAGAACTGTCCCAGTGATGGAAGTTGTGTATAACTGGACAAACAGAGGCTACAAGCGGACATTTAATTGAGTCATTTTTCCTCTATGTTAACAAGTAATTCTAGCTGTTTTCTCAAGATGATCATAACTCACATCCTCACAGTTCTCACAGAAACTCAAAGCAAACATGGTTTGGATTGTCTTGCTAAATTAGTGTGGGCAGTGGCAGCATAACATGGTTTGGTCTAACAGTGACTAACCCCTGAGTTTGTTTTCCGGATTTTTGCAAAAAAATGAAAGAAATTATACAGCCAATAACTCAGTGTTTTTAAACAATTCTGGCACGTGCATGCAGAGAGTGATCTGAATACGTGCATGCAGACAAATACCTTCTCAGCTATGAAAATAGAGCCCATATGTAAACGGATACAGGGGTGTTTACATGGATGTCATTTTGGTCCTGTTTGCATGCGTGGACTATGCTGTCAATGTCTTATAAATGTCATGCAAGCCTTTTAGACAAGCTGCAATGATTTAAAATTAAATTGGCTATATAGAAACCTGTATGCATGGAATCTACTTTGTATACTTTATGAAGTAATGTTTTGTGCATCTGTTCCTGACAACTAAACAAGTACATAAATAACAAGAGGAATGGTTTGCAGTTTGGGATGTTTGCCTTGTGCAAGTCCATAGAAAGATGCACTTAGTCAGCATGTGAAATTAAAGTAGGACTAAGGAGGTGTCCATAGAGCCCCTGTGAGGAACTTTTCTGTTTGTGAAGTTTCCGGTTCCGTCTGTGGACAAAGTCAAAACTTAATTCAGGCTTAAAGTTAACACAAAACAAAATGTTGAACAACAGAAGACATAAAATGAACAGGTAAATAAAAGTATATAAAGTAATGAAAAATTATTAATGAAAAGGAGTCAATAAAACAGGAAGAAAAGAACTAAGGGATTAAGGAAACACTGGGGGAAAACATGTTGTGCCTTCACAGTCAACTTCAAGTTTTATAGTATTTAACAAAACTTCATGCCCAAGACTGTCTTTATGGTGAACGGTAAATGGTGCATTTGTGTAGATCCTGAAGTCAGAATCAAATACATTAAATGAGAAACAGATTTGACTGACACTCTTTTATCATGGCTGAAGAGCCAGTTTGAGGGATATTTTTGTAACTGTTGGAAAATAAAAAGCTCCTTTCCTCTAAGAATTTTTTTGATAAGTCAGAGAATATTTGCCTCAGACATCTTTTTAAATGATGAAAAATATCCTCTTTTCAATTCCTTCTCGGTAAGAAGATTGTGATCTTCTTCAGCTTGTATAGCAGCGGACAAAACTCCCTCTATAACATGGAGTGAAGAATCAGTTTAATCATGAGTTGTTTCTGCACTGTGTCCCATAAGAGGAACCTTTTTTTGCTCAATAGAGGGCAGTGTTTGATGGTGTTAAACCTGCACTGTACGTTATACAGCAAGAATAAAGTCATAGTAAAGTTTTATTGCGAGAATTATGTTGTATTAAAGTCTTATTAAAAAGTCATACTAATGTTACCAGAATACAGTTGTGAAGTTGTGTTATTATAATGAAGTTGTAGTAAGGGTGTGTTACTTTGTGGTCCTCCCCAAGGTTTCTTCCAATTTCAAACTAAACTAGCATATTCAGAAAGACTGTTGTTTTGACAGTTCTTTTAACTGTCCGTCGTTTATTTTGTGGACTTTTCATTTGTTTATCTTGTTTTAACCTTCTCTTGTAAGGTGACCTTGAGTGCTTTGAAGGCCACCTATGAATAACGTAAAATGCATTGGTGTATTTAGATTATACCGTTTTAGTTCAGAAACTTTTATCATTATTATTTCTTTGTGGAGCTGGCATAGCTTTTGTGTCTATGAGACAAAGTATTGTGCATTTAGATGTCTGTTAAATAATTAAATAAATCTCTACATTACATAGTTTGAATAAATATTCAAATACGCATGAAGATATGAACATCTTGCCCAATTCCTTAACTGGATGTGCAAAAAAAAAAAAAAAACTTTTAATGTGTTTGGTTGAAAGTTTCTTTCTTTGGCTTTCTGACCGTTGGCATTGCTAGTCATCCTACTACTTATCCTTAACCTCATTTAGACAGTGTAGAGAGAATTATCTGAAAAAAAATACTGTGTTGTTAAAACTGTGTATTGCTGCCATTCTTGGTTTAGGTCTCCCTAGAAAAAGAAATCTCTGATCTTACTGTGACTTATATGAATAAATAAAGGTTAAATAAAATATTAAGGTTAGGTAACTGCAGGTTTTTGATAGCCAGCAGTTGGATAATGTAATGCATCATTCTTTTGCGGGGTAACATAAAATTGAAATGTCTTTTGATGATTTGTCCCTCTCTTCTTGTTTCCTCTCTATTCAGCAGAAATTTTATTTCTAATAAACCAAATGTGCTTTTAAAACTCTCTAAAGTTGTTTTTCTCTCTCTATGATACCCTCAGCACGACATTGTATTTGGCCTCACAATGATAATAGCTCCAAAAACGCATTAACGAACAATACCATTTTGAAAACAACAAACTAAAATTGAAATATTGCTTTGTTCTGCCAGTCCCTATATTTGTCCTCCCACTTTTTTTCTGAGGTAGAGGACCAAATGATCTCAGGCCTTTTCTTTCTACTGTGGCACCTACCCTCTGGAATAGCTTCACTGAGAACATTGAGTTTCCCTATATCATATTTTAAGTCCTTCTTAAAAAGAACACTCGTGTACAGATTTGCATGTAAAGAAGATATCACCTGAAAGTCTTTCAATGCTTCAGATGCTGCTTTAATTCCAGGCAGTTTTTTTTTTAATGAATCATTGTGACAGTTTTAACCTGCCTTTTGTTGATTTAATTCTTCAGTCATCGTTTTGATCTTTCCTTGTAACCGACTGGTGTTTTTTGGATTATTTTTTAAAGCTTATTTAATTCCATTGTCTTGTTCTTTCGATGTCACAGCATTTCTGTCTAATTTCTATCAATTATTGACCTCTTATTTTGTTAAGTTGCCACTGTTTGTTTAGACTTTTAAATTATTTGCTATTGTCTTTAAGTCGTTTTATTTAAACCCGCTTTATTTTTATTCGTGAAGTACATTTTAACCCTATTTGGAAAAGTGTTATATATATATATTTTTTTTTTATGATTGTTCGTTTTAAATGTCAAATTTGAGAATAGGTTTTGTTAACTTAAATATCCACGTTTGAAACTTGATGTCTGTGTTGCCTTATATACAGTCTTTTTTAAACTTTATTTACGGAGTATTAGACAAAAATATTACGTTCATTTTTGAGACGTCGTTGCGTAGTGACGTCATCAACAGGCGCCTACAAAATCATCACATGAAGCTTCATTCATGCCGCCAGCAGCTCGAAGAAACCGGCAGGTACGAATTTATGAAACCGACATTAACTGCTGTCTGTCTGCTTGGCTACAATTTATTGTTTCTTCGAGACCACGGGGCACATGTCCTCTGCTGTATTTCCTCTCATGAATAATCTTAATTTCACCAGAACGTAACTTTTTCACAGTTCTTGTCTTTAACAGGAAGCTAACTTTAGCTCAGGTACTGGTGAAGTTAGTTTACGTTTAAATAGTTTTCAGCTGTTCATCAAATTCACAGGACTAGTCTGAATATACAAGATCATTTAAAATTATAAGTGTTTAAATAACTTTATGTGAGTCTGTAGCGTTGTTAGAGAGGTGGTTTACTTCACCTCATAAAAATAAAGAAGTGTCTTAAAAATGTAACCAGGGTCTGTCATCTATGTAAGAGCACAGAGAAACAGAAACCTCTCTGTTTCTATAGCATATATACTATACTGTATGTTGACACTCACTGACTAGGTATTTTTCTGTTTTAAAGCCAGCTGCTTTTTTTCACTCCTAAGAAACATTTTTGAATCACTGTTATGCAAGGCTGTCTTCAGAGTTATAAAATTCAACAATTTATCCATCACTAAAGCCATTCTTTTGCACACTATCATCTTATATATCCACTGTTATATCATCCAGACACACACACTAATGTGAATTAAATGAGGAAAACTGTTCAGCTTGATCTGCGGTCATTTAAAATGCTATGATGTTAGGGGATGTTAACGTTGCAGTGACCGGGCTGATCGCTCCATCTGTGGGTGTGATTGCTCCTTTTTTAATCAGCCTCATGGGTCCAGATAGCAACTGATGGAGCAGCTATTATAACAAAAAGTATCAGGCAAAAGGAAAAGGCCAGATTACAAGCTGTTTTGTGGATTTATTTAATTAAATTCACAGCATAATGAAGGCCTGAATGGTTTTTATAATATTTTAGTTATGAAGATTAATTTAGAATCCTGTCCTGTATGAGAAATAATGAAAACAAAATGAATCAGTCGCAGCTAGGGCTGAGGAATATGGGAAAAAGTTTATCACAATATGTTTTTTTCATATCAGGCGATATTGATATATCACAATATAAAAAATCACTTGTCAATCTTAAATGTTCCCTGTTACTCTTAAATGAAATTTAACATGTACCCGACATAATTTGCCGTGCACATTACTCTGCTTCATGTCAGACCTCAAAAAACCATATACCTCCACACCACCAACGTTTTTGTGCCAGTGTTGTTGAAGATGTCATCATCTGTTGAGCCTTCATCTGCACTCATTTTCTTTTTTTCTCACTGACAGTGCTGTTAGCTTCATGTGTTAAAGTGCTATGGTTGCATGTAGCTGCAGCCTGCTACTACGCAGTTGTTTGCTACTTGGTTCTAATTCAGCACACGATTGGTTTAGCGCAGCGCAGACTTGGAGAATCTCCCCTTTTTATTGGCTATTTGTATAGTCTATCAAAACATGGCAGAATGCCTGCTATCGAAAAGCATATTGACCATGGCTGTGTCTGAAATGAATCACTCAATCCCTAACCCACATATGGGATTTCAGATATAGTTGACTATGTAGTGAACTCAATCACTGGAGGTTACAGACACTACATCCGTTATGTTTTAACATAGAAACACCAACAATGTCTCCTAATATTTCATGTTTGATCGTCACTTTTATACAAAAAAAGCAATTTGATTGAGAGACTATATGAATAATGTTCAGAAAGTTTCCAATGACTGTCAAATAGTGTTTGTGCTTAAATTGCCATCCTTATAAAGACCTGGTTCTAAACTTGTCCTGTCTCTTGGTCTCTGCAGGTGTAGCAGGATGGATGTGCTTTATGGTCCTCTGGGTTTGGGTGTAGTTGCAGGACTGGGCTGTGGGCTCCTCCTCGGTTGGCACCTTCGTTCACGCTTTGGCCCGACAACTAAAAGCCTGATGGCAGCGGTGGGGAATGGTGCAGGTGAGGCGAGTGTGATGGGTGAAGGAGGCGAGTTTAAGATGATCCTGGTGGTCAGAAATGACCTGAAGATGGGCAAAGGGAAGGTGGCCGCTCAGTGCTCCCATGCTGCTGTATCAGCATACAAACAGGTCCAGAAGAGGAACCCTGAGCTGCTCAAACAGTGGGAGTACTGCGGGCAGCCCAAGGTGGTGGTGAAGGCACCCGATGAGGACACTCTGATTGACCTGCTGGGTCACGCCAAAGAGGTGGGACTTACTGTCAGCCTGATTCAGGATGCAGGAAGGACACAGATCGCACCAGGATCACGCACAGTGCTGGGGATCGGTCCAGGTCCAGCCAATCTGATCGACGAAGTCACAGGAGATCTGAAGCTCTATTAGAGTCCGGACTGTTGTCTGAAGGACTTTCAAACAGTGTAGAAAAATCTCTTCCAGGTGTAAAATAAGCCGGGCCACCATGTGTTCATATTTTTGGACAACAAAAAACTCAATAACATCATGATTTTTGAGAACCACTCCTGGTATTTTGTGCACTTCTTTTTTTTTAATCAAGTTAATCCTTTAAATTTCCCAGCAGCCTGATGATTTTGTTCTTGGTGTTTCTGTGATAGAAACAAACAATGTCTGTGTCAGAGTCAGCTCAAAGTTAGAAATCATCTCGCTCAGAGGAAAGTTGGTCTTCTGATAATCATAGGATACAAAGTTAGACTTAATCTAGTGTTTGTCACAACATAAAAGTAAAGGGTTTTTCCAATCAAATCTACAGTGGTTTACTTCTATCAAACCTACACTTAGGAGCTCTAAACTAACTTATCTACATTTAATGATGCAAAGCCAATGAGCCAAACAGCTAAAAAAAACAGCATATTTGTATTTGTATGTGTTTATATTTGGTTGATTCTGAAACAGTGATTCACATTTACACAAAGACAGGCTAAATTTTACACTCAGTTGTGACAGTAAGCAGGAGTTTTTCCAAAGACACACACACACGAGATAAGACAGAACTTTGTCCACATAGACTGATTAAAACAGCTCAAACTGGAAGTGCTGAAGGTACCAGTAACAGCATGCAAACTATCAGACAAGTGATGTATTCACATGTAAATGGAAAACAGTTTTTAAAGTCATTAAAAAAACCTCTGCTCCTGTTTCATCTGCCATATTCATGCGTGGTTAAACAGGTCTTAATCCAAAAAGGTGCCTTTTCCTTTAAAAAGGAATTAAAGATTTGTGAAAAGCATACACAACCGTATAAACCCATAGAGACAGGTGAAGTGATCATTTTGTCTGATTTAGCAGTGCAGCAAAACAGCTGATTATAAGTCTTGTCATTGTGATTTCTCCACAAACAGGTGAATAATGAATATGTTTTCCTGGATTAAAGTGCTGTGGTGCTTCATGGTGAGCTTTTCCTAAAAGCATAAACTGAAGCCTCTCATGAATCACTACTGAAAGTCTGCATGCTCCTTGAGTATGAAGATGAGTTCAGTTGACCTCGATTGGTTTAAAGTTGCAAAAGATTTTATGTGATCATGAGTCTGCTCTATCCTTGAGACAGTTACATTTGAACCAATAGAGGGCGCTAGTGCTACACCCACATTTATCATGGTCTGCTTATGACGTTGGGATAGAAAGTACACCCAAAACACAGTGTTATATTCAAATCCTTGATACGCTTCAGATTGTCTGAGTTAGAGTTGAGTGTGTGACATCAAGCTTATTTTGTGCATTGCTATCTAAACTTCTAAATGAATAACAACAACAAAAAAAAAATGCTGAACATATCAATCTAATGCCCCTTTCTTTTTGAGATGTTGGCCTGGGAAAACTGCAAGTTTAATACATTTAAGCTGGCATTTATTAGATTATTAAATAAAGACAAACCTCTTAAATTAAATTAAAATTTCAAACACAGTTTTGGGGATATACATATAAAAAATGTTCTGCCTTAATTTCCAGAGAAAGCAGCACACTGGCTCTCACACTGCAAAACAGAACAGGACGTAAAACAAAATCCTGGTATTTTTGGTACAACAATTGACAAATTTATCTTAGGACTTGATAATTCATGTGTTGTCTGAATGATCAGAAAATGGAGCTCCTTTGGGGAAATCCAGTCTGATGAAGCAAACTCGAGGTACAGTCAAGCCCAAAATTATTCATACCCCTGGCAAATCTTGACTTAAAGTTACTTTTATTCAACCAGCAAGTTTTTTATAAGATGATGTACAAGAGGCATCATTGTGGAAAGAAATATTTCAAAGCTTTTTTTTACATTTGAACGAAAAGTGGCATGTCCAAAATTATTCATACCCTTTGCAAACTGTCACAGTCTATGGGAGAATCCAAAGTTCTATACCATTCCAAATAGTCTAAGCTGTTCTAATGCATCCTAATTACCCTGATTGATTGGGAACAGCTGTTTTAATCAACTGAATAGGTGAAAAACTGCTCTCTGCAGTTCAGTTTTGGACAGTCATGATTAAGACAAAGGCGCTCACTGAGGACCTGCGGCTGTGCATTGTGTTTGCTCACAAGTCAGGAAAGGGCTATAAGGCCATATCCAAATGTTTTCAAGTTCCAGTGGCTACAATGCAAAGTGTTATTAAAAAATACAAGACATTCTGTACTGTGGAAAATCTCAGAGGACATGGTCGGAAGCCTGAAGTGACACCTGTGCTGGCCAGGAGGACAGTGAGAGAGGTGAAAAAGAATCCAAGGATCACCGCCAAGGCCATCCTGGTGAATCTGGGCTCTGCTGGTGGCAACATCTCAAGGCAGACAGTCTAACGGACACTGCACACCGCTGGGTTCCACGGACGCACACCAAGGAGGACGCCACTTCTCCAGATCAGGTACACAAAAGCCCGCCTGGCCTTTGCAAAAGCTCATCTGGACAAAGACTTCTGGTCTTCTGTTTTGTGGTCAGATAAAACAAAAATTGACTTGTTTGGCCACAATGATGTAGCCTTCATTTCATGTAAAAAAAATGAAACACAATCCCCACTGCCAAACATGGTGGTGGGAACCTAATGCTTTGGGGGTGTTTTTCAGCCAATGGACCACGGAACCTAATCACAGTAAATGGCACCATGAAAAAAGAACAATACATCAAGATTCTCAATAGCAACATCAAGCAGTCTGCAGAGAAACTTGGCCTTGGGCACCAGGAAATGGACAAACCATTAACGTTTTGCAGTGGCCCAGCCAGAGTCCTGACTTGAATCCAATAGAGAAGCTGAGGAGGGAGCTTAAGATCAGGGTGATGGCAAGGAGGCCCTCCAACCTGAAAGAGTTGGAGCTCATCGCTAAAGATGAATGGGTGAAAAATACCAGTGGAGACATGCAAAAAGCTGATCAGCAATTATAGGAAGTGTTTGATTGCTGTAATAGCCAATAAAGGCTTTTCTATTGATTATTGAGAAGGGTATGAATAATTTTGGACATGCCACTTTTCATTCAAATGTAAATAAAAGCTTTGAAATATTTCTTTCCACAATGATGCCTCTTGTACATTATCTTATCTTCTGGGAGATGCCTGTGTCATTTCCAGTTAATAAAAAACTTGCTGGTTGAATAAAAGTAACTTAAGTCAAAATTTGCCTGGGGTATGAATATTTTTGGCTTGACTGTATCTGACAAACTTGGTCATTTAAACAGAACTGAAAGAGGGAAACACAAGAAAAGTCAATATTAGGTTTTCGTAATGTCATCACCTGCGTGTCATCAGGTTATCAGTAAGGTGCTATGAGGTTGTGTGTGATGCCATCCATGAAGGATAATCAGGGAAGACTCAAATAAATCATAATTATAAAGAAATGAAAGAGCAGAACTGGAGTTTAATATTGGAGGTGAATTCTGCATTTAACACTGTTGAAATAATTGAATAACGGTTTTAACGTCAAACTGAGGTTTAATCATGGAATCATTAACCTGTGAAGGAGACTGGCTTATATCAGAATCATGTGTTTCATTAATGTAATAGAAACGTTGCTCACAAGGGTGTGTTTATCACACAAGTCCCACAGTTAGTAAGAAGGGAACCAATCTCAGTAATATAAACTGCATAGCTGGTGATTTGATCGCATTTGGAGTTCTAAGTCTGATTCCTCACACTATCAGATTTAGTCAAAGTAGCATCATTTCTCTGAGGTGAAGCGCAGAGGTGTAAAAAAAGTTAAATTCAAATACTAGTGTTCCTCAAAATGGACTTAATGTACTCAATGGATGTTGATTTTTTTTTTTAAAGATGTGTTTCCAAAGTAAATGACCAGTTCAGAGCTGTGAAAGGAGTGATGGTGATGTTGACCAGGAGGGTAAGGATGCTGAGCAGGCCAGGAAACATGAACCATAACAAGGTGATCACAATGACACAGTTCAAAACAACTGTAGTTTTAATAGTAATAGTCACTAACAGTTTAGTGATGTAATAAATAAAAGCAGAAAAGGGACATATTTTAACTTTAATCATTAAAATATCAGGTTTTCTTGACTGGAAATACTCCCCCTTCATCTCTTAATATCCGTGTTGAAAGCTGCTGAGAAGGACCCCCACTCAGGCCTGTTAAGTAAATATCTGTTTGCCATCAGACCATTTAAAGGAGACACATACCAGACTGTTATTGACAAACAAGAAGCCTTTATTTATTTTTTTTAAGTGGAAAACAAAACCGCTGTTTCATTCATTATAATCCAGATTATGCACAATCAAGTATTTTAAGTGCACAATTTAAATCTAAGGTAATTTAGATAAGAATATAAGTTCAAAGGAGTTAATGATTGAATTCCTGTATACACGCAAGCCTTTGATAAAAACTTCAAAATTACCACGAGTCCTGTGTTTGTGGAGAGAGTGAGCGGGGTCAACTGAGAAAGGGGTTATGAGACATCTTTGAACAGGACACAGAGGAGGAGAGCAGAGTCTGAAAAATCTCCCCTCGACACTAAAGAACAGTGACCAAACAGCAGAAACTAACTGCAGGGGGGAAAGAAGGAGCAGAGCAGGCGGGGGTGGGGGCACGTTAGTTTAACACAAACAGGTCTGCAGTCCCTCTGCGGTGAAATGGTCCCACGTTAAGAGCCGTATTTAAAGCACATGGAAATGTCAGGTGAATTTATTTGGAGAGTCCTGCATAGGTTTAGCTGGAAAGACGGAGACTTTCCTGATAATCGTATGTAAAATACTCTCTGATTTACTTCAATAAACAGCCCTGAAGTGTGTGTATCTGTGTGTATCTGTGTGTGTGTCTGTGTGGGCACATGACAGGTTCGTAGACGTAGTGTTTCAGGATTTACTGTGGTCATGGAGGCGGCAGTCTCGTCTTCAAACACAGAGGAACATATTAGCATTACTTTTGTGTCTGAATATACAATAATTCAATGCATTTTACAGTCGGACAGAGGAAGCTGCTCACACACATCAAAAAGGAAAAAAAGGTTCTACATTAATTCTTCTCACTACAGAGTGCAAATCAGATGCTTCACAACAGACCAAGTTTTCTTTTTTAAACCGGGAGGAGGACTAGCTCTTCCCACAAAAGCCCCCCATAGTACATAAACCATTTCCCATTCAAATAAAATAAACAAAAAGAAAGTTTATCTAGTCAATACGGAATGTGAGAAAATTAATCTTTGCGGTGCTTTTTTTTTCTTTGACAAACAGAAAGAAAAACTGAGTCCTTCATGACAGTTTCAAGAGAGGAAATATCAAGTTAAAAAAAAACTCTAAGGTTTGTCTGTGATACCCTCTGCTGCCAGCAGGGGGCAGACAGAGACAATAACAATGGTCTGGTGAAGGACTGTGGGAGATGGATGGATGGTAGCTCCAGCCTGCGTGTGCAGAGAAAACAGGGGATGGATGGGGAGGAGGGAGGAGGGGAGGTGGGGGGTCTTTACATGCTGTAGCCAAAGCCTGGCTGGGCTGCTGGCTGACTGAATCCTGCAGGCGCCTGGTAGCCGTAGCCGTAAGCTTGCTGAGGGGCCACGGGTACGCTGGGGCCCGCTGTCAGCATCAGCTGGGGTGCGCCTGTAAGAAAAGAATATAATGCTATCATAATCTTGACCTGTGCAATGTTCACTTATACACCAGAGAGCAAAGATGGAAGACTACCATCTAGTTTACATACAGTATGTTAGGTCTCTGTTAGGGTTAAATGCATGTTTACTCCAAAACCTGACTTTCATTCATGACTTTTACAGCTGGGTGGGTACAAACAAATATATCACACAAAATGGTTTTTGATTCATGACTCTGTATACACAAATTTGGTCAAATCAGTCAGCTATTTTCACAAGTAAAAAGTTTCTAAACACTTGCTGTGTACCAGCTGCTCAGCGCTAACAGCAGACAGACTGTAATCAACTGTGATTACAGCTGAATAATTAACACCTGGAAAACTATCAAGTTTACAGCATTGATGACCTGTCAATATTGTGTTCATGATTTGTTCCTGCTGACCCAGAGTGGATAAAAAACACTTAACTGCAGGTTTATGATAAGAAAATCATAGAAAACAGTTCTGTTTTTCAAAGTTGTGTGGGGCCTCAGGGAAGTCTGTTTTATCCCAGGACTAAAAAGCACTCAGGACAGCAGCCTGCTTATAACCACATATAAACAAACACCGGTGTAATGAAAAGGATTGTTACCATAGACGATGGGTTGCGTCTCTGTTGCCTGCTCCTCCTCTTTCCTTAGAGACTCTGAGGTTTCTAGTTTATCTACCTGCAAGGCAAAGAAATAACAGCATTCAGAGACATAATGAAGACATCAAACTACAGGGCAGCGACATAATAAACAAGTTACAACAAATCTTTGCAGCATACGCTCATTAACCAGTCTGTGTGAACTATTTAGACTAGAGTAAGGCTAACAACGTACCCAGACTTTACCTTCAACAAAAACGTTTAAAAACAAGGTGATTAAATAAAAATCAGCTTGAGCTTTTCATACTTGTATTTTCTCCCCTCTTCCACATTAAAATTCTATCAATTCTATTAAAAAACTACATGTTTGATCAGTTGAACCCTTCAGCTCGTGAGTAAATGAGCCAAATGTAAGAAGGATGTCTGTGTTTTAAAGCAGTGGCACCTGAATGAAGGTTAAATCGAGAGATAAAAAGAAGAAGGCATGCTGAGCAGATCATCTCCTCATCTTACAAACATTTATTTCCTTTTTCGCTCCCACATGCGTCTCCACAAAGACAGAAGCTTCTTAAATCAAGTTCTCTGCACTCATTCCCACTGAGCTGAAATCTGAAAACAGAAACAGTCCCATGCTTTCAGTGCTGCTCCACTGGCAGTGAGGGACGGGCTGCAGGGCTGAGATGCAATTTGGGAGGAAGAAGGAGGAGGAGGAGGAGGAGGAGGGGGAAGGAGGAGGTGAAGGGAGCAGGAGAAGGAGGGGAGTGAGTTTGAGACAAAGTGCTGCACACAGCTTAACTTTTTTTTTTCACATGAAGCCAGGCACAACCAACAGCCTGCTGCCGGGGATCAGTAAGAGATGTTACTGTGCATGCATTAGTCTGATGATGACCAGAGAAAACCTCAAACACATGAACCCCAAGAATCTTACAGTCATGACGGTCAGTGTCTACATCTGTGATGAAATGTGCTTTAAATCTAGCTAAAGAGAATGACTTTTTAAACTCTCTTTCAACACCAACAGACGCAAAACTTCAGAGAGAATATTTCCACTTTGACTCAAGCTACAGAGTTCAGGTGCTTCCTCAAAACAGACCCTTCTGAGTAAACCTCTGATTTCACTTCTGTTTGCTGTTTATTTTTTAGCAAATGAGTGTTTCTAACGACTGGCACAACCTGCATCTTCTGTTTAGATGATCTTCATGTCTAAATGGTTTAGTTACAATCTTGTCTTACTTAATTTCCTGCGTGTATTTTGCTATTTTGTATTTCTGTGTCCTCAAATCAGTGACACAAACTTTTTTCACAAGGATCATATGTGCTCATAAGTTAAAAAAGTAAGGAGCACACAAAGAACTTTGGGGGCACAATGAAAATTGATCAAATAATGTGCGTCTTATTAGTTGACTTAAGTACTATTATTTGAAATCAATTTGAAGTCTTTTGGTCACATGACATGGTAGCTATTGAAAAATATGTTCAAAATTTGCCTTTACATTTAACACAAAAATAAATAGTAATAAAAATGTAAATAGTATTATTTGCAATGAATTTGAAGTCTTTTGGTCACATGACATGGTATTTATTGAAGGAAAACAGCCTTTTTTGAGAACATCAACGTATTGATGTAATTTATTGATAATTAATGTAATTAATTAGTAATTTAATTGTAATTAATTTGTTGATGGTCCCTTATTCAACACCCGACGTTGACAGCGAGGGTGCCGGGTAGATTTAACCGCGCTGCTGTTGCTATTCCTGGTTATGGAGAGTGAGAAGACACCGGAAGATCCTCAGTGAATGTCCATCGGATATCTAACCCAAAACTAACTTCACTGCGGTGTTTACATGAAAACACATTTGTTGCCGGCTGATTTTTTTCATGCGCACATGTGCCCCTAAACACATTTTACAATTCGCACAGATCTATTTTTAGTCGCAAATGCAAGTGAAACAGTCGCACTGTCAAACCCTGCATTTAATCCCCTGTTTATTCTTCAACCACAAACCTATAATTATTTTAAAGCTACAGGAAGTGACTTCTGGTTTGTGTTGGTTTCGGGGCACAATGTGGACCATAGTGGAACCTTTTGCTTGTGCTGACTTTATCCTCTACGTGTGTTTTTTTGTCTTTTACAAAATGACTCTTGCTGCTTTGTTTTAACCCAAATCTAAACATGTCCCTTACTGTTCAGCTGAATCACATTGAAAAACCAGCTGTCCCCCCATCGGAGCTTTAGCAATGTTCTGATCTGAAATCACAGATGCTTGGAAAAACACTTGAAGTGATTTGAAGTCTTGTTAGAGTAAACCGGTTTATGCCTGCAGTGGGTGGAGTTAGTATTCACCATTCATTTCTGTTGTTGTTTTAAACCAGCTGAAACCCCTCACAGGAGCTTTAATACTTTCCTTTCCTCGGACTTCTTTGAATTGCATCCTGCAGTTAACGTCTCATAATAAGACCAGGTTAATGTCTTATTGTTGGGGTCTATAAAACCGTCTTTGCTACACACATCCACAGTTTAGTTTTCCCCTGCGAGTTATTTTGTTCAACCACTCCACTGTCAGCATGACAAATGTCTCAGTGACTGTGTCCAGGTGAGCGTAGCTGAAACCATGCACACTCAAGGCCGCCATTTTTCAAGCTAATACTTTCAGATTAAAACCAGAGCGTTTCGCTTTCACCTGTTCCTGAATAGCATCAACCTGGAGGGGAAGAGTTGCAGCATAGGAGAAAAACATTGAGAGATTTCACTATTGAGACTATTTCAAATCTTCAGAATGTATTTTTAACACAAGCAGAGGATGTCTACGTTCCCATATCACCTAATTTCATTGTTCACGTAACAGATACAGGCCTAATATTTATCAGCATTCGAGTCCTATCAGTCAGACCCACCTTGCTGAGGTACTCCCTCATGACCTGAATGAAGTATGGCATAGAAAAGTCCATGATGTTGTGTCTCCAGGCCGTCTCCAGCACCACATCAGGCCGCAGCAGGTCATAGCAGGTGAACAAGCAGGCGGCAAAACACTCCTTCTTGTCCTCCTGCAGGAACCAGGCCAGCAGCTCCTCGGCCAGCTCTGTGTCCTTTGACTCTGATGCGTACTGCATGGCGTCCTATAGAAGGGGGACAGCAGAGACACGGTTCAGAGAAGGTCTGAGTTCATCTGTATAGTACAACGTTTAACATCAGGATCAATCTGCTGTCTTTTGGCAACCACTTCTGCTTCTGTGGTTAACTTTTAGAGCTGTAAACTCGTGGTTCCAGCATTATACATGGGGTGTAGGATAGATTGCAGATTATGTCCTGCCTGCTTTGCTCACCGCACCAACTGTTTTCCCTGGATACAACAAAGCCTGTCAGTAAATAGTTGGATTAAAGAACTCGGACTACAAATGCGCTAAAAATGAAAACTCTTCTTAACCAGAGTCCGATCCCCTGCATCAAATGTCTTAACTTTTATGTAGAATCTGTGAATGAGATTGTACGATGTTTAGTTCACCTTGTAGAGCTTGTCCTTCTTGCAGAGCTCCACACTCTGTTTCCAGCGGTTGTTGCCCTTAAAGAGGTAAGCAGCGATTCTCCTGAACTCAATCAGCTCGTGTTTCTCCAAGCGCTGTGCCAGTGAGATGTTGTCAAAGTTGTCGTAGGCATCTATTGATGTCCTCAGTGCCTAAACGGAGCGAGAAGAGATCATCTTCTGTCAAAGAATGATGACAACTACTAAATGAAAGTTTAACAGGGTACCATGGGGGCCTGACTCACCTGATAGTCCTCCTCTGTGATGAAGAGGTTGTTAAGTGCTTCATTGACTGATTTGTTGTTGTGGTTCTGAACTGACCGCAGGTAGGGTTTGACCAGAGGCAGCTGTTTCACCTGTGGACACACGTACAATAATTATGTCACAAGTTAAGGTGTCAAGAAAATCTACCAATGCTGTCAAGTTGTGTTTGCACTTAGTGCTCCACTTCAGTAAACACACACACACACACACACACACACACATAAAATCACAAGAAAGCACAACAAACAATCATTTCATGGGGCACAGTTCTATTCAAAGAAGTTTTAGCCACAGGACTGATGATAAACATCAATTTGGATATCATTAGAAACAGATGATGACGTGATAAATGCGATAATTGTTTCAGTTTGTAAAGTAATTTGTTACTCCACTCTTGTCCTGCCTTTCCTCAATTTGAGTGATTCTGTTGATTGATTTTTTTAAAAATCCATAAATATCACACTACTGCCATTATTGAAAATTGCCACTGTAATTGTGAGGTAAATATCTAACATTGTGACAGTCCTACAAGTGACATAAACATAGCTGATACTTTGCAAATACAGCCTTCAGCTGATCATGTTTCTGTCTGTTTGGGCTGAAATCACAGAAACTAATCAGACTTCTGCTCTCTAGATTTTTGCCGTGCACGACACAGGTGAATTGGTGAGATGTGCTGCTCACTAATCTAAACGGTCTATTCTGTTAATACGCACATCAAACTGATCAAATCGAGCTGTAATGGATCTTAAGCAGTCAACACACTTCCTGTGTGGTTCACTGGAAATGCAAGCAAGATCAGAGTTCACTCTACCAAACAGTGCTGAACCAAACTTAAGCACTTGGTGTAAATGCATTAATAGTTTCAGTGTTTACTTTAAAAAGGAGTAAAAACCAGATGGGATTTTGAGTGTCTGTTGAATGTCAAACCATGTTTTGAAAAAATGGCCTGTGTCGGCTCGTATCAGTTTTGGGAACTTGTAAAGTTTCTGTTCCTGTGACAAGTATCGTGTCACAGATTCACATCAGTTCACTCTGGTCTATTGTTTGAACTGAACATAAATCAATGATAATGCATATAAACTGATGGAGGTGCACTTAGATCCTACCAGAACACAGGTTATACTTTATTATAGAGGGACTTTAATGTACCTTGCTGAAGAAGTTGACAGCGCGGGAGTGGTCCAGTCTGGGTGAGAGCACAATCAGCAAATCATTCAGTAACAAAGGTTTGAACTCCAGGTAGAACTGGATGGCTTTGTAGTACAGCTCCACGTTTGCCACCTGCACCGGAGACAGAATCAGACAGAAACAATCATTTAGGAGGTAGAGGCATTAAGTCAGGTTACAGCGTGCAATTTGAGGCCTGGCAGGGATAATCATTTTGCTGTACTCTAGCAACTTATTAATGTTCTCCGCAAATTCTTTCAAATAAATGTGAAAAACTAAATTTAGGATAAAAACAAAGTCAATTGAAAGTCTGACTTTAAGACTTGAACCTAAAAAAGCCAAAAACATTCAAAAGAAAACAATCAAACCAAACCGCACCTTGGTGATGATGTCTTTGAACTGTCCCTCCTTCCAGGCGTCTGTTGGGTGGTTCATCATGGTGATGATGGCGTTGTCATACTCCTCGTACTTGTCGTACAGGAAGACCAGCTCGGCCCACAGGTGAGCCTGCTCTGCTGCTCTCAGGACCTTGGGGATGTTGACTCTGGACCAGAAGAGCTCCAGATGCTCCCTCATCTTCTGTGGCTTGAATTTGGAGTAGAGGATGGCCAGCTCGGTGAACATGCCCATGTGAGCGCGCTCCAGACCCAGGGCGGCCTCCAGCATGGTGATCAGCTCCTCAAAATAACCGCGATCCTGAGAGGAAAGCAGAGAGAGAAGATTGAGTGTGGAGATTTGAGGAAATTAGTTTAAGGTTGTTTAAAACACATTAACTGAAATGTGTCTTGATTTCCATCTTACCTGGTAGTAGTTGATCAGCTCCTCCAGCTCGTCAGCGTGTACGACAATGTGCAGACCGCACATCTGGGCCAGTCTGAACTCTTTCCCATCTACACAGGCAAAGCAGACCTCCTTCCAGGTGCGGGTGCTGTTGGCCTTGCGGGCTCCGTCCACAGCGGCCTGGTACTCTCCGAGGTGCACCAGAGTTGAAGCCAGACGACCAAAGTTGGAGACGTTGTTGTAGAGCAGCTTAGCAGCTTCATACATTTTCTCATCGTAGCAGCGATCACCGACCTGCAGAGCAGACCCAGAAAAGTTCAAGTTATCACAGTTTAGACTGTACATGCTATACTCAAAGTTTCATCAGAGACTGGAACTGACCTGTTGGATGTGAGCGTTGTTTGGTCCGTTGATGAACTCCTCCAGCTCGGCCAGGCGGTTGGTTTTGGCCAAAGCGAAGATGAGCTCAGTCTCCACATAGGACTCACGGGCCTTCTTACGGGCCATCTGGAGGAACTTGACCAGGTCCTCCCAGTTACCTAGTAAACACACACAGATGGACAGATTTAGCTGCAGTGTTAAAAAAAAACAACAACAAAAAAAAAACACTCTTTACTCTTTACAGTAGATACAGGACAGCCTGTTTGCAGACCCAAAAGAATAAACACATTTTAAAAAAAATGTGGAAACAATTACTAGATAAAATGATACTTGATTAAAGAACACTCGTATTGGTGGAAATGTGCACTTTAATAAATGACTTGCTACAACAGCTTTAACTATCGGCTAACAGCCCGGCAGCAGGACAAACAAGAAAAAACAAACTCCACACCAGAGCCTGCAGTGTGTCCCGTGTATTGATCACTTTTAATAAAAGCTGACCAACAAATAACAACACTTGTGTTTCATCAGCTCACAATGAGTCAGGCAGTATCCCCTCTCCTCTACACTTTGCTTTTTTAACTTACAGGCATCACAGGATCACGCTGCCATACCATGTCAGCTGGTATAATAAAATGTTGTGATACTGAACTGATTAAGTTTAAAAAAAGTCATTTAGATCATCCTTTTTTTCCAACATTAAAACCGGATTTGACCTAAAAATATCCTAAGTGGGGTTTATCCCTAAAGCCTCAATTGAGATGATTGGGTGTTTTTTATCTTTCCTTTCCAGATCTCCCCCTTACCGCTCTTATCAGCAGCCTGCACCACCTCCATGTACGCAGAGGGGTCGTCAGCTTTGATGTAGGAGTCGATGGCCTCTTTGACCAGCTCCTTCTGCAGCTGAGCCTTGGCCAGCTGGCTCCACACTGCTGGCTCATTGCAGCGCTCTGCAAACTCATAGGCCCGGTCCAGGTTTCCAATGTGCTCAATCAGCACCTGGGGGGGAGAAAATATTGATGGTCAACACTTCTTTAGTGGGTGGAGTATTACTCGTAGTGTTTTAGAGTTTGCGGCTGACCTGCACTGCAGAGGTGTTGACGTCAAACTTCTTGAAGATGGCGAAAGCCTCCTCGAAGAGCTCATTGCTGATGGCGATGTTAGCGATGTCAGGAGCGTCATAGTTGTCCAGCCTGCTGATGTACTCCATCACACGGGTACGGTCGGCTTTGATTGCTGTGAGGATGAGCAGGTTCTGCAGATTTCTGTGACAAAGAGGAAGAGACATCGACTGATAAGCACGGCGCTGTAGATTTTAAACTCATGAGAAGACAGAAAACATCCACAGTGCTCCACCTGTGCTCGCTGAAGACAGAGTTGTCCAACACAATCTTCTCCAGCAGCTCAATGAGCTCGTTGGGCAGGTCTGCAGTCATGAAGGCCTTGACTGTGACAGACACTTCTTCTGGGTCCTGGGTCTCAGAGAGGGCGGTCTGAACCACCTGAGAGGAAAGAAACACCAGCTTAGAGGTGCACAGAACAGATGTATGAAATATGATCGGAATTTTATGTCATACTGTACCTGGTCAATAAGTGGTCGTCTGAAGGGGTTGCTCTCAAGCAGCACACTGGCCCACAGGTCGGGGTCTTTGCGGCGCACCAGGTAGCGAGACAGGCTCTTGAACAGGGAGTTCTCATTGCAGACCTGAGGGGACAAGAACCAAATTAAAACTCCTTTTCTCCTTTCATTTAAAGCACTTCTTACGCTGTATAAACGGATCGAAGTTTCAAATGTCCTCCTCACATTGATCAGCTCCTGGTCACACTGTCCTCTCTCATAAGCCACACAGGCCAGGTGGGGGTCTCTCTTCTCGCAGTACTTCCCCACCACACGGCTGTCGTAGTACGGGTTCTCCCTCAGGAAGCGCTCTGGGTTGTTGTTGCTGTCAATGTAGATCTTGGCCAGAGCATTATGGGTAGCGGGCTCCTCACAGCCTTCATGGATACGAGACTCGAGCCAGGGAAGCAGCAGCTTCAGTCTGTGGGGGCAAAGATGTCAGTGTCTGGTTACTCCACAAAAACAGGACTCTTTGCACTCTTCACCATCACAGTAACATTTACACATCCATGTGAAACTGAACATTGTGTCTTTGAACAAAACTCCAGCAGTGTTCTTTACTGGATTAGCAGAGTAAAGGAGGAGCAGAGGGAGGAAATATTTAACTGTGTAAACTAATGACATCAAACAAATCTCAAATGTGAAAACATTTTCAACATTTGTTGAAAACTCTTGTTGCACAGAGTGAACAGCAGCAGATCCACTGTCTGATGTCAGGCATACCTGACTGAACAAATCTAAACCCCCATCTTGAAATAAAATCCCTCAAGTGGAGCCTCGTACAGTAATGAGCTGCTCAGAAACGTCTTCTTCATTATCTTCAGCCATGTTTGTTTGTTATTCTGCTCTGTGTGGGCTATGGCTGCAAGTCCGTTGCTTGCGCTCACGTCATCAACTTGCATTTATTGTATTTATCATGAGATGGCAAATATCTATCATGGAGGATTTTTCTGACTATAAATCGTGAACAATAATTTATCATCCACCCCTAGCTCTGGCCTCCTCTTTGATTTTGCATTTCTCATAATACCTTCATATCTCAATGAAACATACCAAAACAAGTGTGTAAAATTACAATTAGCTGCTGATTTTTTTCATTTACTTGCTACCTTGGCCGATGAGTCAGGTAGTCTATCCCTGACCCTGTCTGCTTGGCTTATTGTGAAGACTGTTTTGCACTTTAATAGTGAGTTCTGATGGAGCCTGTTACGGCGACCGCAGTGAAATGCAGTTTTTCATCATTTTGATTGTTTCACTAATAAAAGCTCGTCACAACTTATCTTACACACAGATAACTTCAATTTTCCTGCCTGTTAACAAAGTTTTCCAACTAATAAAACTACACTAGGAACTTGCAGGATTAAAAACTTGAGCACTGCTCTGGTGTGTGGAGAAAGTTGTAGGTAGGTAAAGCAGTGCAGCACCTGTTTCTCTTTTCCACCTCAGCCACCAGTTCATCGGTAGAGAACTGCCCTCTGACGACCAGGATCAGGCTCTTGATCACATCCTCAGAGCAGTCCACATCCAGGAGTCCACCAACCACAACAGGCAGACGGCTCGGGTTCACCTGAGATGACACATCTTATTAGCTACTCCCTGTGATAGAGTGATGCATTAAAACTGTCATGATGGGCTTTCAAGCCTCACCTTCTGGACGTAGATCTCAATGTACTTCTGCAGGTTGTTGCGGTACAGGTAAAGCACCAGATCATGGACAAAGTCGAAGCGGTCACAGACGATGATTAGCGGCAGCTGGTCGGTGAGTTTGGCTTCCTGTCAGTCACAGAGAGTGGGGGAAAAGAAGTCCCGTTGAATAAAAAATAAATAAAAATAAAACACAAAACAATTTCCATACAAGCCACAAAACATAAACCAACAATGTCAGGCCACAAGGTTGATCTCATACCTCTGCATGAATATATTCTCACTCTGCTGCAGGTATGACTGTATTGTTGATAGGGGTGTCATGATTCTCCAAAATCAGAATTAGACTCTTAACTCAAAGGATTGATTTTAGCACTGATGGAAATTAAATCTTAAGAATCCAAAAGTTCATGTTATATCCAGTGAATGAACACCGAAAACTGGGCTTTGTATTTGTAACTTTTTTATACTCACAAAAGACGCATGCTTTGACACATACACGACAGGGATGCAACGATACAGTAAGCTCATGGCTCGTTTACTGCGACGTGATGCATACATTAAGCCATGCAGTTAAGTTGTAACTGTATGGCTTCATCTCATGGTTTACATCATGGTTTCAAACGTTTTTAGGCATCTTTGTTCACTCACCAACTCAAAAAGACTTTTTTTTTCTCCACAAAGGGAAATACTAGAATAATCATGTCATATTTTCACCTATTTTAGAGCTGCAGCTGGATAACTGAGTGTCCAACACAAACTGACGGTGAGAAATCCCTCGATTCATTTCAGCAATCAAAACCGAAAGCTCCTTTTGATTGACTTTTTGATTTTGGAGATCAAAATACTGACACCCCTAACTGTTGATGTTTGGACAACTGTGTACAAAAGTGAGACATTTAGCAGAGCCACTGAGTATCAAATTGAAAATATAATTTTCAATCTTTACAGTCAACCTTCCTCTGGTGGTGAAACAATCCCACAGTTAATACGATATAAAAGAGGGAAAAATAAAAGGTTTGTCACTAAACAATGATGTCAGGTTTCATATTAGTGTGTTTCACAGAAGAATCACAAGACAGAGACCTCTAATAGAGTAACTCTTCTACCTACTGTATGAACAATGATCAGGTGAACCCTGGACAGCACTGAGCACTACTCCTCTTTACCACAATGGTTACACTGGTATGGTGACACACTGCTGTCATCCACACTCACACAGGATTAACAAACTGGGATTGTGCACCTCACTGATAACATCCAGAAACATGCTGCACTGACTACAGACTCCTAGAATGAACTACACACTGAACACACAAACACCTTCAATGTCCTCAGATATCTGAACAACACCCCAACAACCTCAACCACGGAGTGACTAGAGCTACAGCGCGCTCAGAGAGCAAAGGTTGCACCCCGGTGGGTGTATGGAACTGTGGTATATAAGGTTATACACCTCCATACAAATCCCAGTTTCAATCCTGGGCCTTAAGTAAAGGGGGGAGGGTGAAAGTCAAAAAAGGGAGATATCCTGCACCTTTGTAAAGGATAAATTTACCTGATACATGTCCTGCCATTCCAAAGACAAAAGAGGAAAAGCACAAAAGATAATTGGCCGCGGTCAGGATTTTTGCTCTGAACATTTTAAACCAAAACAGTCAAATTACTTGGGATTTTCTAGGGATAGTTATGTTTTTTTAATGAATGAACTGAAGCTAAAATCTTTAAAATGCATGATGCATCTTAGAAACAAAGAAAATGAATGTAAATAAAAATAAAATTAGACTTTAAAAAAAAAAATCAATTTAAAAAAGCGAGACACTTGAATATCATGTCTTTGGTCATGATTAAAAAATGAGAAAAGCTAAAGTAGATCAGGACCAGGTCAACAGAGTGTTTCAGAGAGAGAGATTGGAGTGGGGTGCAGAAGGTTTTTGGTGTTTGATTCCTCATCTCCAATTTCAGCTTTACCTTGAGGAAGTTCTTGACACGCTCAGGGTCATAGCAGTTGCTCTCTCTGCAGATCCTCTCCACCTCTTTGATCTGACCTGTCTTGCAGGCGGCCTGGATGTACTTGAAGTGAACCTCGGGGTCCTGACTGAAGTTCACAATAGAGCCCAAGAAGTAGAACAGACCTGAAACAGAGAAAAATGATCACTTAAACTACGCCTTAAAGGAAGTGCAGGTGTGTTTCAGTTAGCACTCTTAATCCAGTGGTGCGTCCAGAAAGAACATAACTGACATGAAAAGGTGGAAAAAAGTTCCTCCAAGTGGCTCACTCCATATTAGCTCTGTGGTAGTGAAATAGCTCAACTCAGTGACCTCAGGGTCGCTCTCTACAATCTATTGATCGTCCTGCTCGGCTCTGGTCTACTTCTCTGACCGATCAGGAGGACAACTCTCTGAGTTCACTGACAGGGGAGGTTTTAGGTTAGGCACTGAAACTAGTGAGTTTGAAACCGAAGTTGATTTATTGTTAGGTTGCACTTCTACAAAACAACAGAGGATTTATAACATCTGACATCCCTAGGACAGACATAAACATTTAGCTGAGTGCTGGTCTGAGTTTGTTATCTCACCTTCAAAGCTCTTGAAGGACTCAAAGAGCTCAGTGAGAGCCTGTGTGGTGAGCTGCTCGTGATACTTTGAGGCCACCTGGACGCAGATCTGCAGGTTCTGGCGGATGTTGGCAGACAGCATGGCCCTGAGGCACTCCAGAGAGTCCTCCACTGACAGAGAGCCGAAGAAGTTCACCAGCCACTAAAAGAGGAGCAAGGAAATGTTTAGAGTCAAATGTGTGTTCTGCAATAATCAAAGAAACACCACAAAAACAGGATCCAGTTTCCATTTCTGTTCACTCAAAAGGCAACCAAAGCCCACCTCTGGGTTGAGCAGGTGTGTGTGCACAACAGCACGCTTGATGTCATACAGATCAGTGTAGTGCTCCAGGGCTCTTTGCAGGAGTCCGGCCTTCTCACACAGCTGAGCGATGTGAGCACGATCGTAGTTGGTGAACATCTGGTTGCCCAGAATCGCATCAGCAACCTGCAGCAGTGAGGAAAAGCAACAAAAAAGGTGAGAAAAGAAAGGACGCTCCACTTTATCAATTAGATCTACTTTAGTTGAGAGTAGGTGTGCGGACCTGTGGAGCATGCATGAGGTTCATCTCCAGCAGGCGAGTCTGCAGGGGTCCTTCTGAGGGTCTGTTGTTCTTCAGAGCATCCAGGAGGAATGAGGTGCACTGCTGGATCAGGTTGTACTCCATGAACACATCCACGATCTGCACAAACATTCAGACAAAGAAATTTAACTCATGGAAGGACAGGACCATGCTTCACCTTTCCACCCAAAAGTCTGCACTGAGGTTTCTGAGCTCAAAACACTTCCCTTCAACAAACACTTTCTCATCACAAATGGGATTAAAACTGAAAGTTCAAGGGGCCACATTTGGAAGCTGCTTAACGGAATTTTCAATCAAAGGGCAAATCTGGCTGAAAAAAAGCTCATTTCCATTCCCACAGATAGAGGAAAGTCTACGAAGCAAACGGTTTTATCCTGAAAACTGTAGTTCGCTGCCAGTAAAGCACTTTCAGCAGCAAAGAAAGCTGTGTCAGCAGTCCACATTCGCAGTGCAGAGTGTCTGCAGAGGCAGGAAGCAGGGGAAGAACCAGATTTCCTCTACACTACAGGAAAGCTGAGCTTCTCACATGCTGAGTGAGTCACATGACTCAGTCAAATTTCAAGGAAACTTGTGGTTGAATTGCTGATTGTGGATATTACATAAAGCGTACAGTTTTGTTGATTTTCAGAAGTTATGTTGGAGCTTTTAGAGCCTTTATCCACAGAACAGTGAATAGAGGAGGAAGTGTCTAAGTGCCACAGGTCTCATTTAAACCACGTCTGTTAGATTCCAGGACTGGAGCCTTTGTACGCAGAGTTGAGATTTAACCACTTAACTGGGGCTTCATAAGGTGTAATTTTTAGTCGAGGCAAATCCTGCTCTAACCTCAAAAAGTTCTCAGCAGGAGAACCCAGTTCACTCAGCTCATTATAGAACTCTCTTTAAGCTTTTTTTTTTTCTAGTTGCGCTGTTTTTCATTCCATAAAGTATTTGATTGAAATCTCCTGGTTCCCGATGGATCCTGGAGATCTTTCCTTCGTTCCTCTTACCTGTGTGATGTCAGCCAGTGGCTCTTCATCCTGAACCAACATCTGGGCAAACTGCAGGCCTTGTTCTGGGTTGATACGCATCACATTTCTGAGCAGAAAGATCCAGTCTGGGGTGTAGCCCACCTGGAAAAACACAGGACAGAACTCAAGTTAAGGGTCTATCGCTAAAACATTTAAATACTTCAAACTATGGTGAACTTGATTATAATTAATACTTCGATTAATAATTCCAGGTATTTGCAGATCTTTAGGAGCCCAAACACCTCCTAAAATGTACAAACGTACCTTCTTAGCATACAGGACAATCTTGGGAAACTGGCCAGTCTCTGCAAAGCACTGGATGACCTTGTTGGGAACGTTAGCCCTCAGGTAGACACTCAAAGCCAAGGTGGGATCCACTGCCTTCACCAGGTCACCCAGTTCCTCTGAACACTCCAACTGGAAGGTAAGAAGAGTAGATTCAGAACTTGTAGAACTTCAGGGCCAATTTAAAACCAGGGATTATGATATTATTTGACTTTATCTTTTATATTTCTGCTTTGTTGTTCTAAATTTGAAGAATGTGAATAAGAAGAATGAAAAATGTGGGAATCCATGATGGTTTTCTAATATTTTTATACATGCTTAATTAAAATGATTTTAAAAATTCATATCCTCCGATTAGATTAAATTCCCAGGTTCTATTTTTGACCATTGCAGCAGCCTGGGACAGCCCAAAAGCTCATGTTTTGAAAGAAATGTCAGGAATTCTTTGCATAACAGATGTTGTCACATGACTCAGGAAAACAGGCGGGACGTGTAAACAAACAGGCCGATCAGGAAGCTCCACTTCCTGTGAGTGAATGCAGAGATGGAGATCTGAAATACCTTGTCTTCCTTCAGCCACTTCTCCAGGAGCTGCTTTCGTCCCTGCTGGAGGACCGGCCTGCAGAGCTCCAGGGACTCAAACTTGTTGAGCTGGCCCTGGTCCAACAGGATACCAAAGTACTGCAGCAGGGGGGAGGTCTGGCCGGCTTGAGTGGGAACACCCTGGAAGCGGCGGATAGTGTCTGGGGTTCGCAGGATTCCCTGAGAGTGAAATGTTGAAGTGAGAGGATATCTAAACAGCTGATAGATCCAAAATAAACTGATTATAACACATGACCTTAAAATGAGTTTTTATATCGGGGAGTTTTACAGGGCTGGTTGAGCTGCTGGTTGAAGCTCACAGGATGATAAGTACCTTTGGTGCATTGGCAGCGACCTTGGCAGCCTCAGAGTAGTTTCCAGCAGCAAACAGGTTGTTGAACTTGCGAGCAAAGAGCTCCTCACCGCCAGCGAGGTTGTTGCGGACAGCTAAGCGGAGAGCCAGGTCTGGATTCTGCAGCACATTGGTGATGTAAGGGATGATGTTCTCCTCTTCCACACAGACTGACAGCACCTGTGGTACACAGATAGATGAACGATATTGAGGTGAAACACAGACCAGAGTGAGAGGAATACTGTCACTATGCTGGAAGAGCTCAGCCTCTTTTATGCACATTGTCTGTTTCAATCTGATCAAGATAATTAGAAAATAACTTTTCTGTGAGGAACAAAAAGACTCTTTAGGATCAACAAACTAACATTGTCTTCAGTTGTTTTTATTTTCCTTTTCTTCATGTTCTGATTAAATCAATCCTGTTTCACATGATCACGTTTGCTTTAGTTAATGAGACACTGCATTACACACCTTAAAAAAACAGATGAGGCCCTCACTTGTTTATGTATCTGGCTGAGTTTGTAGTTTGTTTGTACGTATGAGTGTGTTATTCTGTGGAGGGTATGCTGTTATGACTGCATATTTGTGTTGTTTTCACTCTGTATTTTGCATGATTTATTTATTTTTTTTCAAATTTGCTCTTTGATGCTTGTGTTGCAGTTGTCTTTTCCACTAAGTGTGAAGTATTAAGTGTCGCCCTGTGAATTCACTGTGTCATCAAAGATAAACTCTTGCTGAGGTTTGAAAATGTTCAGTCCAGGCGTGAGCAGAGGATGAAAGTACAGACAAGAAAGAGTTTTATCCCCTGTGGTACCTGTAAACATCCCTTTATCGAAAAGTTCAAGATTTTGAGTCAGGCGTCCTTTGATTGTTCAGAAGTACACCAAAGGAAAAAGACTCCGTGGGTTGTACAATTTGTATCTAAGAGAGCTGAACTGTACCTGCAAACCTACTGTATGTAAGCATGGCCCGTGCACTCTGATTTTGGTTTAAGTTTAGGTTCATGCAGGCCCATTTTAGCTGGGCATATTCATGTATAAAACAATATAAGTTAAGTATAACTTAACATAATACAAACAATTTGGCTTGAGCATGTAAAAAATGGTCATCATCTATTACTCACTTGCTCCAGAACAAATCAGGAAGCAGAACATTGTCTAAAAAGTGTGTTTCTTTCTAAAGCAAATTTTGTTAAAGAACCTGAGGGAGCCTGAAGTTCTCAAAAAAAAGAGGACTAAGTCTCTTAATGCTAACCCAAAGAGTGTTAGGTTTTGATCACAGCAGATAACACCAGACATCTCCCACAAAGTCAGTCTACTTACGGTTTTGACACTAATCAACTCTCCCTAAGATATTCAAAAATTCAAAAATGTAAAGACTAATGTGAAAGTATTCAAAATATTTCCTTTTTTTAACTGTAGGCACAACCATCCTACAGTGAACCAACCTCCAGTAAATCAATGTTTGTAAACTTGCTCATTTTTGTAAACAGCTGCTTTCATACGCCTGTAATCTCTATGACACGTCTGCTGAGATGAACTCAGATGCCCCCATCCCAGCTCCCACATGGTTTAGACAGGCCCTGAATTAAAAGTAGAGCAATAAACCAACAACTAATGAATGGCCTTTTGAAATGTAACCAATCTTAAACACGTCTAGATGACACCACCGTAAATCAGCCGATTCTTTATTCATGTCCTGTGCCAGAAATCAGCAGAGTGAGCGCACTCAGCAGAACCCAACTGTGTGCAATAGCATTCAACTCCATTAAACCCTGTCTGGCCTTGGGTTGTGGCTGCTGAATGCAAATGTATTATTAGTGGGTCAGTGTAACGCACAGCTTTTGTGAGCAGTCTAGCAACAGAGAGAGAAGAGAGAGGAGGCTGGGCTGAATGAAAAGAGCAGGATGAAGGAAAGAGGAGGAGGGGGAACTGGAGGAGAAAGACGGCCAATGTTTGCCCCTCTGCAAACAAGACCAGCAGGTCAGCACCCCGGCTTTTAGCATGGGTGACTAAACCTCATTCTGCCTGCCACCAAAGTAGAGTCACTCATTTAGCACAATGTGGGTGGACTAATGTGAGGTTCCTAAAATAAAAGAAGAAGTAATCAAAGGTATCTCAGATGAAACTCGGTGTGTAGGTGTGATTCAGGAGGAGGATAAAGCTCAGAAAAGAGGCTAATATCAAAGTCAGGCATGATTACAATCGGAGAGATGTAGATCAAAAGTATCAGTCTGATGGAAAAAAAAAAAAGACTAAACTTGGCAGAACAACTCTTCTCAACTGCAGCACAGAGCATCTGAAGACACATGAGCTTTGGTATCAAGTGATACACTGAGTCAAACAAACACACACACACACACACAGAAACACAGAATAGTAAAACTGCAGTGCAGACATCAGACGTCTCTGCCACACTGATGACGTGAATGGAGAGGTGGAGGTTGTGATTGGATGAGAGCACCAGCACTAAGAGGATTGAGGGCACCAGGCTGTGCCTCTCACCTCACATCATGTGTTTAAGGGTGGTTGATTAGCCCCTCCCCCCTTTTTTCCATTTTGTCCCCCCTGTGTGTCTCCTTCCCTCCTCCGCCTCTCTCGTGTGCAGTATAAACATGCGTCCCATTGCTGGACCAGGCTGGCTGCAAACACACTGCCTGCTCTGCTCAGAGTCATGATCCAACAGATCCCCATGCTGAAAAAGCTTTTGGCTAAAATGTTATTTTGGTGCTTCCCTAATTGAGATCATGACAGTAATTATAGGAGCCAAATGGGTTTGACATCAAGGGTAATCATCAAGGGGAGGATGTCGATAATTGACTTCTTGGCCTTTGTGCATTCTTCAAGACAGAGTATGTGCTATGAGGTATTTGTGGTATTACCACACCTCTCATTCAGTCTTTGCCTTTATCTTCAAAACGACAGCTCAGCTGCTCTGAGGAACTTGCTCTTTGTATTCAGAAGCAGATATTTGAATTCTAATTGTTGGCTCCCTGTTATTTTACATGAATAGTATATCTATTACATGCTGCAATGTGCATGACAGCTCCCAAAAGTGAAGCCAGCACATCTTAATCGTACCATGGGCAGCAGGTTGTTTGTTTGGGAAACGCTTGATTTAACATATAGAGTTTTTCAATGAGCAACACAAGCTTCTTATGTCTTGATATAGCAGCAGATCATGTCATCGTATCAGTGAGAAGCTAACAAGATCTTGATTTAGATTGTTGATTAATTAAGGTGACATCTAAAAGGTACCAGTTGAAGCCGTGTGTGAGCAAAAACACTGGTAATGGGTAAGTTTATAAGTGGATGGAGACCACTTATATGTAAAAAGAGTGAAAACAAGGGGGCTTTGTCGGTGCTATTATTGTTTCCTGCAATGTCCATCTATGGATAGGCTCTTGGCACCTTAACTTCCATTGAGGTTGTGTTGGTATTGATTTATTCTTATCTGTTTCTGACACTACAGCACATCCCTGAGCCATTACGTCATGTTTCTATTCAACACACTGGATGGTTGTTGGGTTAGAAGAAGGATTCATTTGACTTTATTTGCTTACAGCCAGACTGCTATAAAACTATGACTCAAACTTTAAATAATCTTGTTTCAAATTTCTAACAATTTATCATCCTTGATTGTTTTGAGCAATTAGAAATAATTAAGCAGACAACTTTGTTTTTAAAACTCCTGTCTGCTTTACTTGTCCAGTTAAACCCGGGATCAATAAATCAAACAGAAATTTCAAATCCTCCGCTCAGATTTTCTCTAAAAAGTCTTTTTTTGTTGTTTGGTGGACAAACACAACAGAATATTCAAACAAATGGCTGAAAAAACACTGTACTGATGTATAACTTAGCATCAGATTACCAATTTTGTCAGCAGCAAACCCTCTAATCTGGAAGCACCACAGGGCAGAGACAGTGGCCTATTATCCCTGAGATCACTCTGTGTGTTTGTCTATGTGTGTGTGTGTCCATGTGACATGTACACACACACATGCATATGCCTCAGCGTACAACGAGATCCGTCACAGCCTAAGATCAGCTTTCCTCTCTCTGCTCAATTATTCATGTGGTGTGTGGCCTGGCTGGAACATTATTCATCAGCTGGTTGGATCCAGTTCTCCTCTCTGGTTCAGCTTTACAAAAGCAGTAAGATGCTACCTGCTCCCCTCTCTCTGTGAGGAACACTACACCATGGATTATTTATGATGCCTGTTAGCTTTAGAATTAGCCACGTCTGTGCTCATATGCAGACAACAGACAAATATTGAAGTTGCTGTAGCTACTCCATACAACAGCTGAAGTCAGTGTTTTGTTTACAAACATTAACCTGCTTCAGGTTGACGTACAGAGTGAATAATGAGGATGTGGCTCTGTCGTGTCTTTCTTATTGAGCTAAAGGAGAATGTTTATTTTCATCAGCACAATTTTCACCCTGACATTTACATCACCGACCTGCCGTGGTAAACATAGATGAGCACTGGTTGACATTCTCACCTGTCCCTTCCTGTTGACCCCGATGATGCCCGAGGTGGCCTCATGTGGAGCGGTGACGAAGATGGTCTCTCCACTGATGCGGTTCATGTAGATGCAAGTGCCTGTTTCCAGATCGTAAAGGTGAATGTAGCCATATTTGGTAATGAGGAAAACCACATCTTGCTTGGAGCTTATCTGTAAAAAAAACATAAAACATCATTGTTGTCAATACGATTATGGCAAGAATAAAATAATACTTTTATTAGTCTAATGCCCTGCTAGCTTATTCATTTTCAATTTGTCAAAGCAGGGGATACTCCCATCTTTAATTCACTGTAAAAATTCAAGTGAAGACTGGGGCCATAATTTTTTAAATACTGACAAAAGGTCCCAGGTTCTGTCATGAGGTAAGTGTGTATTAGAGACAAGCTTTTATACCGAATTCTTCATGTCTGATTCGTTCAGAGGATTATAAACCTGAAAAATGGTCTCATTCACAGAGCAAAGGCAAAAAGTTAAGTGCGCTATAAACCACACTGCAAGGGAAACTGTCCCTGTGTTGTTTGCATACATTTAGATGAGCGGGTATCAGGGATGAGCGATATGGGCTAAAAAATTTTCACAACAAGATTTGCCATTCTGGTGATAACGATAAAAGTCCCGATAAAAAATATTACAATTCCAATCTATATTTTTGGCTCATTTTGTCTGGAGAACACCAGTTGGAGTAGTCAAATAAGATACTTTACCATGTTTGTTTGCTATTCTGCTCTGTGTGGGCTATGGCTGTGAGTCTGTCGCTCACGCTTACATCATCAACTTGCATTTATCACATTTATCATGAGTTGGCAAATATTAATCATGGAGGATTTTTCTGACAATTTATCGTGAATGTTTATTTATTGCCTACCCTGGCTGGTATACATTTATTTGGAGCAAAATTTCATGCAGAAAGCCCCCAACCTAATTTTCAAAAGTTAGAGAGAGATTTTAACTTTTTGTCCAGAGTTTGTGGTATCAGTGCTGCAGTATTTATAAGCATTGTCACTCTTAAGTGATCATGACAACAATTCAGCTCTGGGTGACCTAAAATTTGTACCAAGTCTTTTACTACTTTCATTATAAGCAGAACCTCAATCAGTCTAGATATGTGTGTAGTGATATGCAGGTGCCACAGCTGCTGTCGGAGGGCTTGACATAGTGTGGTGAAAGTATGAGGGGGATTTGATCTTATAGCAGAAAACAGACTAAAAGATCCAAACTATAAATGGTATAATAGTGCTACTGAAAATTTTAGTTGTTTAAGTACTTCAAATACACTTTTTTCAGTTATAAAACCCCTTATTGTTTAATATTACATCAAACAAATTACAGAAAGGAGGAGTATCACAGTATTAATCTTACTCGATATCATGCAGTCTCAATCTGAGGGCTCCAGCTAGCTTGTCACCAAAATACTGAAACACAATCAAGTGGAGCAAGGTTCAGCAGAATTTGACTGCCTACGTGAAGCAGTATCATCTCTAGGACTGTCCAGGGCCAAGAAGACAAACAGATTCATGCAGGCTCTGGCATTTTTACACAAGGGTTTTCAGGAGCTGTGACAGAACTGGAGTCACAGCATAAGCTTTCAAGTTTCCCATTAATGTAAGGGCATTGAATAAGTCTTTGTTTTGTTTGTGCTCTGTTAAATGTCTTATCCAATTCTGTTTGAACTGTGTATTTTTAATTTTTCAAAATTCTTTTAAAAGTGAGATGACGCATCCCACATGGTTATTCCTAATGAAAAGTTTTGAGAGAAACTGATGTTGTATGCCACTGCACATAACAATTAGGTAAATTCATCAGATCATATCGTCATTTTCATTGCGGTATAAAACTTTTATTAACTAAGTTTTTGTAACACTTGGGTTTGTTTCTTTCATGGCTGTAGCTAAACCGATCAGTGATGGATTTGTGCTCATTACCTGCATGGCCACAGGGAAGTCATTCTGTGCTTCTGGAGGGAAGAACACATCCACTGCTTTCTTTGGAAAAGGCTGGTTGCCAGTTGGTGGTGTCCCGACTTCAATTATGTGCAGCTAGACAAAGACGGAAAACAATAAATTCAAGAAACAAACACAAAAGATTGGCTAACCATCATATCTGCTTTTGCTTCTATAGTGTTTTTAAAACAGGTTACCTTTCCTCCAGCCTGGCCTCTGACAGCAAAGCAGAACAAAGTCGACTCCTCTGTGTTTCCCTCCATCTTGAACTGAGCGAAGCTGGCAGCATGGCCTTCGATGGGCTGAGAGACCTTTCTGTCAACAGAGTAGAGCTGCATGGCTCCCACCACCCGATTTTGCTGGAAAAGGTAATACAAACAACATATCTAAGTTTAGAGCAACACTTGTGGTCAGGGTGAAGCCACAGTTTACTTTAATGAGGGTATTAGGCTGGATACGTCCTGCTGGCTCTCAGTGATGAGGCTGTTTTTACAGTTTTAAAGCCCTCAACTATATCAGACATTCATCAGAGAAGACAGGAGGAGCAGATCACCTGGGCTGAGATGCCGATGAGCAGCAGCCATTTCTGTTTGGCGTCAGTGCGATAGTTGATGATCTGGCATCCTGCCAGGCTGGAGTGGCGGTCAAAGACTTTGACAGGCTGTGAGTCACCCTCCATGCTCCAGTGGTAGACGGCAGTGTCAGTCACAAGTGCAACTGTGTTCAAGGAGATCCACTTCCAGAAGGTAACATCGTCCGTCATGGTGTGCGCCTTCATCTTGCTCTTCATCTCAATGTTGAAGATCTGAAGAGTTTTGGCGGCTAAATGAGGAGAGAGAGGGGGGCAGGAGCCGGGCCCCCAGAAAATGTTATGGACTCTGACAGAAGTGCGTCAACAACAGTCACTAACACAGGGAAAAGAAACACCAAATTTCAATAGAAAGATTCAGATTTGAAATTTTGGCAGTCATGGCAGAGAGTTCATCAAGCAAGGATGCCATGACGGATAGAGAGGGGGTGCCATACATGCTGTAGTCGGAGGTTGTGGTAAATCTGGAGTGTGGTGAGACAGTTTCACAGAAATAATGACACGAGTGAATTCAACTTTGGCTTCTTGAGGCTTAACGTGTCAATTATTAGCACTGCAAGCAGGTTATCAACCTTTTAAATTCTGTAATATTCATACTAAAATTGATGGGGACCCACTAGCAAAGAAACGATAGAAGACTTTATCAAAGATAATGATATGAGACACTTGTAAGAAGTTGATTGTTGCAAATTTCCACAAACAGAATAATCATTAATACCTCACATTATTGACTAAAACTGTTGAGCTCAAAACCGTGTCTGTTTTTTTTTTTTTTCCAGCAAAAATGACATCAGCCTAGATATGTTAGCTTATGCATCCACATGCCACCATGGCTTTTTAACTGTGTATCATAATACACTGGTTGGTCCCTCTCTTTAGAGCAGAGCATGCGCTGTGGTCCATGGTCTCCAAAAGGAATGATATATTTTGATCAGAGTAAAGACAGCTTTTGCTGGATCATGTGCATGTATGGATTTTCTTTGCATGGTAAAGTTTAAACCTGCATTGGTAAATGACAGCCATGTGATTTTGAGCCCACGCAGTGACTTTCACTGCAGAGTCTTGTCTGTTTTCAATGTGGCACCACTTAAAGGCACAGAGATCATCCCAATACAGTACGAGTTTTAGGCCTTCTGAGATTTGTACAGACTCCCTCAAATTTTGCAGAGGGACATCATTCTGTAAATGTTGATCTTTTTGGCAACATGCTCTTATAGAGTGGTGACTCTCTTTCAAGCTCCATTTCAGAGATTGCTCTTTTAGTCTCCAGATGTGTTACAAACCTGTCAAATAAACCTTGTTCACTGGTAGATGCTACACAGGGTTTTTTTTAAGCATGACACAACTTTGTGTTTTGTTGAGCATATAGTTTTAGCAAGATGGTAGAATTTTTCATTTTCAACATCTGATGTAATGTCTTTGGAATCAAAAAAGTGGCTTTAAATGACTTGAAAACCATCAAAATCTGTTTTTAGTGTTGTAATTTGGAGTTGTAATATGTAACTGCTTTTTCTAATATGTTTAATAAATACATAGTATCGTACAGTATAGTATAGTATAGTATAGTACAGTATAGTACAGTATAGTATAGTATAGTATAGTATAGTATAGTATAGTATATAGGGATGGGCGATATGGGCTGAAAAATTAATCACGATAAGTTTTGCCAATCTGGTGATAACGATAAAAGTCCCAATAAAAAATATTACAATTCCTATCTAGGTCTTTGACTCATTATGTCTTGAGAACACCATTTGTCATAGTCAAATAAGACACTTAACCACAAGTTTGAGTGGTAGGTTATGGAGAAAACTAATGACATCAAACAAGTCTGAAATTTGAAAACATTTTCAACATTTGTTGAAAACTTGTTGCACAGAGTGAACAGCAGCAGATCCACTGTCCGATGTCAGGCATACCTGATTGCCCTCATCTAAAAGCCAATCTTGAAATAAAATCCCTCATGTGGAGCCTTGTTCAGTAACAAGCTGCTCAGAAACGTGTTCTTCATAGTCTTCGGCCATGTTTGTTTGTTATTCTGCTCTGTGTGGGCTATAGCTTTGAGTCAGTCGCTCAAATTTATCATGAGATAGAAAATATTTATCGTGGAGGGTTTTTCTGACAGTGTTTCGTGAACAATAATTTATCGCCCATTCCTAATAGTATAGTATAGTATAGAATAGAATAGTACAGTAGAGAATACATCTTAGGTATTATCATATCCGACTACGTGGCCCACCCCATCAAAAAACAGCCGTGTTTGAGAGCGTCAAAGCAGACAGGGGATAGAGGTAACAAACAACCCACAAGAAAGGCAAACACATCTTCATCAGAGTCAAATACACAACAGTGGAGTTCAACAGTTAAACTGGTACACAGAAGCACAATAAAGGGAAGAGTATCAAGCAATTTTCAGGCTTTCAGAGAAGGGTCAAAGAAAAAGTGTCCGGAGATGATTCACATCATATTTGAGTGTCTAGAATTAAAGTTAAATTAGTGTTACCATGTTCGGAGAAGAGATCAGACACTAAATGTTCAAAAAAACTGTTACTCACCTGATTTTTTTTTTGTATTAGTTTTTGTTAATTTAGAGAGCTAAAGCTTTATTTAGAAGCAGTGTGACTTCTTTGGTTGTTCATTATTCAGTTTTCATTATAGAGGGAGGAAAAAAAAAAAAAAAAGCAAATACTGATGCATTAGCACAACTGTAGAGATCAATTTGCCATCACTGAGCCATGGGATCAGATTAAAATAGTGGTGTGAAGAATGAACCACTTAATGCAGCAGCCAGATTTATTATAAGAGCAAAGCAAAAGGGATTTATTTAATTCATAGTTTTCATGATCAGAGGTTGTGGCGGTTTTGAGACGGTTCTTCAGAGATGGTTACATGAAGAGGTTAAAGCTTGATACTGTGTCACATGACAAGGCCGGCTGAGTAGGATCATCATGGTAGACTGAGCAGGAAGACGGTAGGGGGTAGAAAGAGGGAGGAAAGGTTTACAATGATCCTACGCTGCATTAATAGTGAGCCAAAGATAGGTACTTTACATCATTGTAACAACAACAACTGATGATGCATCTTTCTATGTTTGTCTCTTAGTTTTAGCAGAAGGTGTCCTCATCATGACCTGTCAAACATAGACTTTTGGGCATTTGCACACATTTAAAAATATTTGGGTAAAAAGTAAAAGGTAATGATCTAGATAAGGGTAAAAGTCCCTTTATAATCAGTCTGCTTTTTAGACAAACTGCAGATGAAAAAGCTTTTTGGGTATGCTGTGTAAAATTTAACCAGACAGAGATAGGACTATTGTAATGTGTGTGTATGTCACATGATTGTCAGCAATGAGCTCTATAAAAGTTGAGTACACACTTTTTCCAACTGCACATTGTACCACGTCGTCATCAAACAAATACAATTAAAGGGAGGACAGCTAGTTCATTTTAAGCAAATACATCTATCTGAAATTAATTCACATTGTCAATTCAGCTCCTTGTAAAGGTGCTGAAGCTCCCTGTGCAGGTGTACGGATTACAGTACTTGTGTATGAGATTAAACTGTCAGGCTAGTCTTTTATGAAGTGGTTGCGTTTGAGCAAAAAATTTGGGAAGTATAAATTTGACAAAGCAGATACTAGTGCACAGGCAAATGTTTTGCCTCTCTTCCAACTGAACTGATACTGATCTGTTTCTTTCTTAATCCTTGCTGAAATCACTCAAGCCAAGACTGTTGAGAGATTTACTTGTTGCTTTATAGATTAATAAATGAGCTCAGCTTTAAACAGGCCATATCCATATGCTTTCATAATTGAATTAAATGATTTATTGATCACAAAAGACCAAAAACACCTGAAGGGAGCCTCAGACACCCAGTCGGTACTTGGAAAGACTTGAGCTACAAATCTTAAGACGCAAGCTGTTTGGCTTACAAAATGTTGTTGTGATAGTTGGATAAGGCCACAAGCTGAACTCAGACAGATGGACACATGGGATTGTTGGGCTGTTGGAGCTGCTGGACAGCTTAACTTTATTTTTCACACCCTGACATGTGAGCTTCACAGGCCAAAGTCTGTCCCTGCTGCTGCTGCTGCTCATACCTCATCTGGAAGTACTCATGTTAGGAGGAGGTCCCATTAAAACAAACACCAAATCTACGCAGCTTCTGAGGCCACACAACTTTATGCCTACTCTCTCTGGTGGCTAAACAAAGACTAAACTTGGTGTAGAGGACAATGAAAGCGTCAAGAGTTGCTGAATGATCTGACGAATATTAAACACAGCTGGAGAACACATGAAACGGCAGGTGTGGGTAATTATCACTTCACACGAATGAAAGGAGACATGAATTTCAAATGAAAATTAAGAAGAAATGTGAATTAAAATGAAATCATTTTGACCCACAATATTACCACATGTAAAACTGGTTCTAAATCACTTGTACATGTAATAAAAATGATGAAATGCCAGCAAGCTAAAAGGCTGTGAAAGATAAATCCTGTTTATGAAGAAGCATTTGAATGGCCCGGGAGTTAAAATATGTCAGATTTCCCAAAAAACAGATTACATATATATATCAAAAAAAAGAAAAGTAAAAGCTAGGCCATCTTCTTGTTGTGATCATTTTTATAAATTCTGTCTTGAAAACAGGATTTTACTTCCACAATGAAGTAGTTAAATTTCAACTCACCGTCTGCAAACACATAAGAAAGCAGTAAAGAAAAAAAAAAAAGAACATAGAAAAGACAAAAACAAAAACAACAAAAAAGTCAAAGCAATCATGGATGCTGGACAAAATGAATAAAAATATGCTATACTGAATATTTACAGGACAAATGTTTGTTGAAGGCATACATGTTGGTCAATCAAAACTAGCTCACAGTGGAGAAATAAAGTAGCTGGATGTGTATGGACATAAATAAATGAGGATAATCTAGAAATACTCTTTATAACAAACTGATAATGTTGCTTAATTTAAACATGCCTGAATTTCATGCTGCAGGTCCCTTAATGTGGAGTTAGATTGAATACAACAGTGAAGCTTCATTAAGTAGTCATCTCTTGTTATTCCTACACTTATTTAGACAAATAGAGCCTTTGCTGTGTCAACACACTGTCTTACCTTTAAGTGCAATGACTTTGCTGGCTGGATTCATGATGGCGCTGTCCGCTGAGATAGGCCTGCGGATGGGTGTATTGGGGTCGGCCATGTCGATGATCACCACCTGAGTCTGCTCGCCCACCTTTTCTCGGATACAGATGAATTTATCCGACTCCATAGTGAGGGTGCTGAAGCCGATGTTGGCCGGGTTGATCCCTAAGTTTTGGAGCTACGAGAGAAAAGAGAAAATAACAGATGTGTTAGATTGTGAAAAAACAGCCTTTAAAAGGTCCAGTGGAGTAAAAAAATACAGAAATGCACAGTATTATTGGTATATTAATGTTACCAGCAGATATGAACATTTCTGCCAACATGAACAGCTGCATTAATTATTCTCATGCAATAACAGCTTCTACACACCAACAAGCTTTAACATGTTGGCTGTATGGAAGTATTTTTACGTTTCAAAATATCAGTTCGTAATACTTGTAAGGCCCAGGTGATATGAGAGGGAAAACAACACCACCATTAACACCTGCAGGCTTCTGCTGACAGATAATGAACTTGGATGAGCTTCAGTATCAGCGTTAGCCAAAAGGAGTCTGAAAACATATTATATTATATATTGAATATCAGCAAAAATCCACAAGTCTGTATCCCTTAAGGTACAATGAAAACAAAGACAGGGCTGAACATTTACAACTCTATTGTGGCCTGTGTCGCTTATCCATAAACTTCAAATTTACTTCAATTGCAAAAACCTGACCTAGGGCTGTGCGATAAATCGATTAAATCAATCAATTTGCGTTTGTAGTTTTGGATCAGTTAGAAAAATTGAAATCAGGATTTTCTCTGGAACTTCCTCCATCACTCTCCCCTTGGCTCCTGTTGTTTGCATCCCCCTACTCCTCCCCCTTCATTTACCTTCTACAGAGACAAACGCATACAGCAACAACATGGCTGCTGGCATGAGTAAAGAGTTTACTCCCAGAAATAGACCTGTGTTCAGAGTCATGTCTTTGTCATTTGTAGTTTTGTGTGTGTTTGTGTATGAAAAAAAATAAACTTTTTTATTTTTTAGCTTATTTCACTCTATCCTGACTCATTTATGCAATGTTGTTTAAAACTAATGCTCCACATCTCTTGAAGTAAAATCTTGATTTTGGATTGATTGATTTTGTGCCATGAATTGAAGGGATGCTTTAATCTACAGCTGCATCACATTATATAGAAATGCCTTCTCTCTGTTTTCCATAACCACTTAAGTGACATCCACTGCTACCAAAACTGTGCTTTAGTCAGCAATTTCAGGTACTTGGTTGCCTGTGAGGCCAGTGCCTGAAATATCAACATCCACTCCTGGTTGAGGTCATCTTTCATTCCCCCAAAAAACTCCATTCCAGGCTGCCATTTGAGTAAAAGGTTTTTCTTATTTCACTTCAAACTAGTGCAGTATATCCCGTGAGAACCCCAGGCAAACACTTGCCAAAAAACAGGGAGAGAAAGTTTTGCAGTAAAAAAGCAGGAAGTGATAATTCGATGCTGCTGTGCATATTTGCAGAGTATCGACTTCAAAAAATCAAACTGATCCGCCTGGTGCTTACCAAACAATGACAGAAGTCTTACGAGAGGGCTTTGACGCCCTGCTCAGCTGCCTCGCTCACCCACAGCCAGACAATGAGGTCACTGAGGCCGACACTGAGCAGCAGCTCTTTGGACACATGGAGCTGTGGAGCTGTGCAGTGGTCACAACAAATACAGAGCTGGGCTGGGTGGAGAGCGACTCCGACGCCAAGCTCCAAAGCGTGGGCCCAAGAGGAAACTACAACCACATTACACAACATTTAAGTCTAAATAACAGCAGCTTTTCAAGGTCTGACTTCTTGGAGTAGTTTAAAATGCTGCGCCATGAGTAGCATGAGAGTTTGGACTAAACACAGATGGACAATCAGCTCATGAATCCTGAATCTCATTTAAATCCTGAGGGTTGTGCAATGTTTCGAGTTTTTCTCTACTCTCCTCATGTCTGAGCAAAACAAGGAATGTTATTGATGGCAAAAATAAGTTTTAACTTGCAAAAATCAAAATCTGGTTAATGCTTGTTAATGACTTTGCAGAATATGACAGCAGTCAGCTCTGCAGCACAGATAACTGCCAGGGCTGGAAACAGGGCATCCTGTCGGCCCTACACAAACCCTGACACAGCAATACCTACCAAGGACGGTGCCAGAACAGCCCCAGGCAGGAATGTCAACACTCTGGTACGACACAAACCATGTCTCATTGTAACAGTTACAAACTGAACCACTGAAAGCCAGACTGTAGCCATAAAAGAAGACATGACTAAAGCTTAAATGTGATGATTACACAAACAGGAGCACAATGTCTTCCTGCAAACAAACTGAAAATGTCGTGAAGTAAGCCTGGATCTGGAGGAAATGAAACTGCCAAATTCATTTTCTATAGGCCACGTTTAAGTGTTGCAACTTCCTCTTCTTTCACAACGTATCAGAAATAAACCACAATTGTACAAATTTGCAGCATGATTTCCTGATCAAACTCCAGTCACTGTGAGGAGAGTTCTTATTTTTCTTATTTTAATAGACAACAACAGTTCTAATTTGCCAAAGAGATGATCACAGGTAGTTCAACTGACAATCCGTTATGCACAAAAGGAATTTCTGATTTGTTATTTACAATTATTTTTCTGCAACCAGTATTTCAATCACAATATTTATCTGAATTAGGGCTGTCAACAAATATAATGTATTCTAATATATGTTTAAATATCAAAATAAAAAAAAACAGGCATACAGAAGAGAAATCTAACATTTGAACATTTCCCTCTGCATAAGGAGCATGTGGCAGAGATTTCATAAGGTAACCAGGCTGAAAAGAGAGAGTCAATTGGCCAAAGTTGACAGGCCTAATCTGAACTCCAAATACTGTCTGATAGATCTGTCTATTTTAGTACGGTTTGTGGCTTACCGTAAATACTATTACAGCAACACAAGACTGATAAACTGTGTGTAGAGCTGCAGCAGCAAAAAACTTGAAATCTCACAGAACCTCTTCTAAACATGTAAGGTCAGCCCCTGGACTCTAAGATAATTACATTAAGACCATTCAACTAATGGCTAATAATAATGACACTTTTTCTCTGCCTGCCATCGGTCGGCAAATGTCATTATTACAGGCCCCATAATCTAAATGTTGAAATGTCAAAGCTGTTCTCTGACCACAAATTAGATCTCGGCTTAGAAGCCTCCTGGGTTTTTCAGCTACAGCTGTGTTTCATCACTGTGTTGCTTCATTTCAAGCCCTGCTGATGGTATACTCTGACTCTACAGTCAACAACCTGCCAAAGTAGAGTCCTAATCAGCAAACACAAACCACAGTTCCAGGAACAGCTCAACGAAACGGGAACACCTTTTATCAATGACAGGACACACCCTCCCCCTCAGACCTGTCCCACCCACATTCTTCCCTTGTGTGTAACCTGGTTCCCTCTCAATGACACTGCAATAACTGACCTCACAGAACCAGTGCTGCTACCTGCTATAGGGAAAGAGCAGAAACTGATCTGTGGCAAGTATTCATTCTGTGTTTCACTTTTTTTTTTTCCTTTACTGCTGCGAGGGGGTGACATCATCTGAAATGTCATTGCTTTTCATGCCTCTTATCGCTGCTATTGTCAAAGACGGAAGCTAAGTTTACTGAAACTTCAGTCACACAAACACCGGATTAAGTGAGAGGAGCTGCACAGAAAGAAAGGATTTATAAAACTAATTCAGATCAAGATGATCATCTTTTGTCAAACAAGAACAAGCAGCTCCTGTAAGACCTCTGAGTGTGTAAACTAACTGTTTGACATGCTCTAGTTCTTTGCTCTTATCTTACTACACCAGACTGATGATGTGTGCATTTGTTGAGCAGAGAAGAGAGGCTATCCTCAATAATTATTTCCAGATAGATGTGTGTGCTCTCTCTCTGTCTCTCACCCTCTCCGCCATCTATTTTGGGATCTGCAGGAAGCCCTTTCATTCACAATGAAAAGCCCGTCATAAAACAGGAAAGAGCAGCACGGCCCGATCACAATGAGAAAGGTACTTCAGTCCCTTGAATTAAAGGAAAACAAACATAGACAGTCAGATGCTGTCGAGCTGCAGTCAGGTTTGTTGGACTGGTTTTCTATGGAAACCTCATATTGAAACACAGCTGTGGGCTAAAACTGCTGTGACATCAACAAGCAGGAATTTTGGGAGAAAGCAGGTCAAACCAGTGGAGCTACAAACAACACAGAAAGTTTGTGTTTTATCCTCACCTGTCCGAGCCATGGTGCTGTTGCTTTGAGCTCAGCTGTTAGTATAAGCTCTGGTTTGGGAATCCCAGGAGACCAAAACCAGGACAGAAAAAGGCAGACCGGATAGCAGCTAAGGTCCACTTAAATGTGTGCGTTATTCTTCACTGTAGAAACTTTGTCATTAAGTTGTTTTTTTTTTGCTTTTTTCATTATTTTCAATACCACGTGGTTAAATACAAAAAAAGCTCTATTCTTTTTTATATTTAATTATATCCAAAAGCACCAAAGCTAATGGAAAAACATTTTGTCTTATTTTTCTCACCAAAAGCTGTTGCAAAGCAAAACATAGAAAGAGAGAAAGTGTGTGTGTGTGTGTGTGTGTGTGTGTGTGTAGAAAGAGAGAGAGAGAGAGAGAGAGAGAGAGAGAGAGAGAGAGAGAGAGAGAAGTGAAAAGTATTCACATTCACCATGTTTTATTTGGGTTTTTAAGAAAAGGAGCAGAAGATCAGATACTAGGGCTGGACAATACATCATTTTAAGCTCGACAGATAAGACAGTGTTGTCTTGCTGGTCTTTGTGGTTGTTAATGTTGTGGGGACACTTACCGACTGCTAAGCTAATGGGACCTCAGAGTTTTTAACTTGTGTTCACACCTGCAGTGCATGTAGATGCTAGTAATGGGCAAATCATACCCTGAAGAAATCCACAGAACATTGCAATGTCACAGCTAGGGCTTGGCGATATGGCCTCAAATCAATATCACTACACATTGAGCAGTTCCTCTCCCACATTAAATTCGTCTACTTCAGCCGCCATAACTTTGAACCTTCCTCCATCTCCTCACCTGTTTTTCCCTCTTTGTTACAGACTGGATGGGGTGGAGTCACGACTCTGACAAAGAACAGTGTCTTAAAAAGGGACATGAGACCATACCCTACCTACACACATCCAAAGCTGACTTTAATCTTTTTATTTTTTTGACACCAAATATACCGATACGGGCAAAATGACTATTGTCGTAAATTTTGGTGTCTGTAAATTTTCTGTTTATCGCCCCAGTCCTAGTCACAACCTTTTTGAATGATAAGCTATGTTACCTGGAGTTAGACCTACAGATCTGACAGACATTATGTACATCAAGCTACTGGCAATAAAAGTTAATGCGCAACCCTGCCTTATAAAGATGATCAACATAGTATTCTGCTTATGATTAAAGGATGAGACATACATGTAGCATAAAGCATGATTGTGGAATGAAACGAACAGTCAAGAGAGGGAGTTTATTTAAATGAGCAGCGGATGCATCCCTGATGTAATTGCCAAGACTTGGGCAGCAGGCCAACAAAATGGCAGCGACAGAAATACCAGCAAGAGGTAGTGACTCACTATTACACCCTGCATCACTATCATTAGTCCCTCGACAAACCATAAACTCTACTTCTCCGCCTCGCTCCCTGCCCACTCCAATGGCTTCCTGGACCAAATCTTTAGTGAAATGACATCATAGGAGAGCATGTCTATGATAAGTGATCCTGCTGGACTAGTTCTGCACTACAGACAGTATAATCACCAAGCAAATGAGCAGAAAATTAATTTTAATACGGCTCACCAAGTCCTCCGAGGCTAATGTCAGCCAGGCAGAAAGACAGCCTCCTCAGCGCCTTCAGAGGGCGGAGAATGAGGGTCATTTATCTTTGTCTGTTTTATCACTTTGGTTACACTTAACATCAGAGGTAACATGATAATCTCTTACTAGTCCACTTGACAAAGTGTTTAACAAACACTGATAGTGCTGTAGTTAGTTATATTTCTGCATGCATCAACATGTCATCATAGTCTCTGTAATAAAAGTTACAAATCTCCTTAGTATAAAACACTCACCACTTCTGAAAGTAACCTTCACACTCAACACTCAACCCTTCAGTTACTCCTACGCTCCACTTAAAGCGCCATGATTTTGCCACATTCAATTGTGACAAAAAGATGCATCTGGGCACTGCTAATACACACTGTCCCGCTCCCTATAAAAAACATAAGCATTGACCAGTACAGGCACTGATCAGCTCCAGAGTGGGAGGCGCTGATGGGCCGCCATGTACATGCTTCATGTTCAATAATATGAGCCTTGATTCGTATTTTTGTCACTAGAATAAGATTAGACTGTTTAAATATGAAACTCTGACTGTTTAATCCTATATTTCTGGTCCTGGGACACAAAAAGTTGTTCAGCTAACTTCATAGACAGTCATCACAGAAGCAAATGGCATTGCAAGCAGGCAACTGAAGCACACTGTCGATTGACAAAATGTGAGAAGACTTGCAGTATTCTGAACTGGTTAGAAATGATAATAATAATTATAGACTTTTGTTCAGGGGGCAAAGCAGAAGCTTGGATTATGGAGCAGGGCCCTCTCCTGTTATCGGCTCTATTCACAGGGTGAGTAAATGCATGGCTGAGAAGAACCAAAAACACGCCATCTTAAGTCAAAACAAATCCCATAATTTCATCAAGGAATGAGAACTAGAGGGAAAACAAGGAATAACATCCCATTACAACAAGTCACGAACATATCACTTAAATAAGACCTTGGGATTACCTTGGCATACAAGATAAATACAAATTTATTTGGATTCACTGCAGTAGAACAGAGATTATTTATGTTGTGACAACAATCCTTTATTTCTGTTCTGACTTCACCCATGGATAAAGGAAACTGCAACAAAGCCCTTCATCATCTTTTGTATGTTGTATATTTCTCAAGCATGTGAAGGCTCCACTGCAGCCAGTGCAACAAGGCCTAACATGCATAAAACAGATACAAGTTGGCATCTCTTGTCTAATGTACAAAAAAAGGATTCCTCACGCCACCTTTAGCTGAGTAAATTCCCATCAAAAGTCATTCAAATTGAGCTGACAGCTGCTACTGACTTCAAAAGATGAGGAGTCATTCAGCAGATTTGCACCATTCATAGTGACCTAAAGGGAGTCCCATCTGTGGATTTAACCTGTGTGCTCTTCCTTCAAGGGAAAGCAGCAACTTGCTCAGCAGAAAAAAGGCCTGTGTGTGCCCCGTACATGTTAAGTTCAAGGCAGGGCAGGGAAGGATGTGCTATGTAATGTGCTGAGGCTTGCAGCACTTCACTGTAGCGCTCCACAACAGGAAACCAGGAACCCATTGTCTGCTAGGACTGAAACAACAGGCCTACCCAGGGCTGCCCCCTCCACAACCATGTGACACTGGAGGGTGGACATGTGACTAGTCCAGGGGGCGAGGAGCAAGAGGGCTGCCTTTACTGTTAGATAAGGAGGAAGGAGGGAGGAAGGAATGCATGCGTTTCTGGACCCTGTCCATCTTTACTCTGGGCCAGTTCTGCTGAAGTGGTTTGGGACTGCAGTTTCCTTTTTCTTCAAAATGCACACTTATCTTGCATTTAGACAGGAGTGCAGAATGTCAAGCGTTCAGCAGGTTTGTATTCTCAGCAGCCTGTCACGAGATATCAGCTGCTCAGTTACTAGCCCAGATCAAAGTGCACAATGCAAACTTGAAAGGTGATATTTAAAGAGCATGGCACAATGAACAAACGCTGCTCCCACATTGGGAACAGCAAAGATAAAATACTCCTGCAAATGAATCCAAATTACCCGCATTTACAGACAGAGTGTTTTGTATATGTTTTCAAATATTAAAGAAAGAAAATCACTTCTCAAGTTACTAACATCTAATTCAAAACTTCACGCATATCTTAACATGAATACCAAATACACTTTCCCTTATATTAGTATTCAGAGAAAATCAGTCACTTTTGTTTTCTTGAAAAGGAAACACTTGTTTATTAATCCCATGCAGCTCAGTGAACCTTCAATTAAAATGTAACTGGGGAAATTCGTCTTTGTGTGGCAAGCTATTCCTTTTGTTCTCTTTGATTAGCAAAATATTTGAAATTTAAAAAACACTGGGGGTCTAAGGATGCTTAAATTCATTCAACAAAACTGTTCTTTGCTATTTAATCAAGTTTGCATAGCCTGAACTGATGGCATGCTTTGTATAGTAAATCTGTGAATATTTATGAATCATTAAAGTTTATTTAAAGAAACATAATGATGCATAGGTTTAGGTCCTTTTTTTCCCCAAAAAAAATCGTCAATATTCTTTCTAACTAGGAGAAAAACTGGCTTGCCAAACCCTGTTTATTAAATATTTGCAAGAGATGGCTTTTTCAACAATTACTAGGCTCTATAAAAAAACATAGGATTCACTTTCAATGATCACAGAGAGAACACACCCAGGTATCAAGGACCAGTCTTCAACAGATAACAGATTCTGATCATGCAGGACCATGGCACTGAAAAGTTTCTTGGTAGTAGGTTCTGATATTGGTAGCAAAGAATCATTCATAAACATCTCTATTTTTTTATTATCCTAGTATAAATAAAAGAGGTGAAATTCACGATAAACTAAATGTATTCTTGTGTGGGCAAAAGATGTAAGGAAATGGTTCCAGAGCTGTTACTTGACACTTGTGCAATAATAGTTCTGTTAACTTGACTTTTCACTACACTATATAAATGGCTGACATATAAATATGCAAGCCATGCAAGTCAAGCGGATGACAGAGAACAGAGGGAGAGAGAGGAAGGCAGAAGGACTGGGAGACAGAAAGCACAGATTAGGAGTAAAGGCTTGCTTTTGAGCAACAGCTGTCTCTGCAGGTTAGCTCCTTATATTTGGTCCGGAAGGATCTAATCCTGATAAAAATGTTTCCTGATGAACCATGCATGTAAGCTCTTTAAAAAAAAGTTCACTAGGTAGGTAGTCTTTACTTTTTCAATGCTTGGCAATGCTTTAAACAATTTTCAATGTGGCAAAAAAAAATCTAAATTAAACAACTGAGAAGAACAATATATGATTGTTCAGTTTACTGACTCCAGCTGTTATTGAAAAAAAAACACTCCTATAAAAGATAACACGTAGATATTATCCATATTAACATTCAAAGTAAAGCATAAAGGGGAATTCCTGTTTTTCCTCATAAAATTGTGTTTACAAGCATCATTACTGTGTGCAAACTCAAGATTTTTGAGTTGCTTTTGCAAGGCAGAAAATTTGCTCAAATGAATCACAAAGTTCGATGATGCCTCTGATCCAAACTGCCTGGAGTCAAACTCTAAAGTGTTTTTTTTTTTTATGTGATAAGACTAGTGTTGCCAATTGATCACATCCCTCTATAAGGGTGCAGTCAGTCCCTCACAGTAAGGCCTTTTGTTTATGAATGCTTTTAAAATGAATATTCACTATGAAATGACTGCATTGGTTCAAATGATTGCATAGTCGTCTCACTGATTTCATGTTTGCCGCTAGCTGGGCGGTCTGCTTGAAATCACAGTAATCAATCAAGGTTAACTTTTAAGTTGCAAGGCAAACCAGGCTGGTTAAACTGTTGACTGAAAGCTGCAATAGCTGCGTGAGAGAATCCTGACAGCACTTAAGCTGAATTAACACCAACGTCAAGATCATCTCCCTTGGAACCAGTGTCTCTTTTGTGTCTATCACTGTGTCAAAAAGCCAGCAGAAGCCCCTCCTCCTTTGTTGCATCATGTAGTAGTTGACAAATAGACAGCAAGCAGGATAGAACTGCCTTACACTTTGGGACAAACCATTCAGAAAGAAGCAACTGCAAAATGGGAACACAAATTAAATCATTGAGGTTAACTGTCCCAAATAATCGAACTGTGGATTTTAATATTCTGCATGATCTGCTCAAGTGATGCATGCTGTGAAACATGTATGAAACAGCATATGCAGGTCATGCATTAGTGATAGTTGCTGGAGATCCCTTGGGAGTTGCTTAGTCACACGAAATGACCTTGTGAAGTGGCAATGACACACATAATGGAGAGCAAAATTCAGTCACTGGCAGCTTCTGTCAATGACAAAAGACAGCAGAACTGCACAAAATATGAATGATGCTAATCCAGTTGTTTTATATAAATATAGATCAGCTCAATTCAAACCATTATAGAGACAGTTATTCGCCTCCTCTGTTCTGCTCCCTTCACACTCCCATTATTACTGCACTCAAGACGACCTAACAAAGGAGTCAAAGCTCATTCCACAAATATTTCTTTGTCACTGCATTCACAACAGAGCTTTGCATGGCTTTGTTGCACAGCTCAGTCACTATACAATCAATTAGGATATGCTATATATAAACTACTTACTGCACAAACTGGTAAATGCTTGTACAAACTATAAGGGATGGTAGCATTTTTCTTCTTGACTCAATTAAAGCAAACACAAATGACAATCTGAGAACAACATCCACCTGATCTTTACTTTTCTGATAAGTAACGTGACTTTTTTCCTTGAAGCAGGGTAATATTCCTAAGGCAAGGACGCCTGAGCTCAAACATTTACTCTGCCACTGAAAGTCATGGTCAACTCCCATGATGGAACTGACCCTGACCTCTGACCTCTTTCCAGTGATCAATTTCAAAACAGTGTGATTATAACCCACTGTTGGGCAGAGAGACAGCCCTTAGGAAAGTAAGAAAATCAAGAGGAGGCAACAAGAACAGCCTGGATCACAGGCAGGGAATTAAATAAGCACCTGCCACCACCTGCCAAATGTGGGGTGAATGTTGGCTTGTGGCAGGTGAGAAATTTAGGTCACCTTAGACTTTGTCAGACGGGTTTATTACACTGACAAATATTAGGATTAAAGCTTTATAATACTTTCCACATGTCTACTATCGAACTTCAGGTTTGTACTTATTTCCAAATAACATTTTTTAAAAAGGCTGAGAGCAGTAGAAACATTAAATCACCTGCCACAGTGATAGCTACGCTTTGTTTCAGACCCTGATCAAAGGTTACTATCTGCATCTAAGTCAAAAGGTATCACTTTTATCATTTCTTTATTATCTGCATTAAGGCAAAGAGTAAATAGTGAGTCGGTAAGACTGTGAAACCCGGAATGTTCTGTGCCAATGCCAGGCAAGAAAACAAAACAAAAAACAAGGTGAATAAACAAATGATTTTCTCTAAGTTGCAGGTAGCTAGATCACATTTCTCATTTAAAGCTACACTGCCACACCAAAAGTCACTATCATTTATTCATTACATCCTGACAGTCAGCACTGCAGACTTAATCCATAAGCTTGGAGAGATTCCACTTCCTCAACCTGTCCTAGTGGCAGTTTAATTGAGATTGTAGTAAAGGTGTGGTCCTTTAAACCAAGAGGAAAGCTCAGTCTAGATAGTACACAGGGCAGCACAATCCAGGACAGCACCTGCTTGTTTAGTGCTTTTTGTAAATGTGTAAAGTCAGCTCTAGTTCAGCCATATCAAAGGGAGGGTTTGCCTCACAAACAGGATCAGAAGTCTTTCTCAGTACATTTTTGAGCAGCAGCCAAGTTTTACACAGTCACTGTACGAGCCAACAGACCACATGACCATTTCTACAACCAGCCAACGTGATATCCTGCTGAGCTCAGGTAATCACTGTCAAATTATAGGGTTATGCCAACTTTACATTTCTACAGAAGCCTGAGGGGGACATGCAACTAAAAACATTATTACCTTTGTTTTTCCAGATAAGTAAAGTCTTGTTTTGTCGTTTAAATTCTTTATACATTGTCTCTTACGATGATGGGATACTTTTAGGTGATCTAGAAAATGTCTTTGTCACTGTGAAAGACCAGACAGCAGAATGCCATGCTGTCATTGCCCATACTGACGAAGTAAGCTAACTCACATCTGTGTTTGTTTAAAGCTCCTGTGAGGAACTTTCTGTCTCTGTTGATGTTGGTGCCCCCTGTGGACAAAGTGGGAATTCTTATATTGTAGCTGATTTGGTCTCATCCTTGTGATTGTAGAGTTGATTAACAAAGAAATCTCCTCCTTTTGTCTTTTTACAGTAAAATGTATGACTCGCCATAAATATTTGCGTCAAGGAAAAGTAACTATGGCTGTTTCTTTAGCGTAAATTTCCCCTAACAGCAAGTACAGGTATTAAAATTAAAATACTGAAATTGTGAATACTGTCATCAGTGGTCTCATTTACTTTTACATCGTACACACGCTTTAGTGTTCATTTGAGTCTTTTGTAACCAATCAAGAAGTCTAATCAGGAGTTGTACGAACAAGCGCTATGTTTCTGATTTATTGATTCCTTGCAGCATGTGAATTTTAGGTTCCTGTTTTTTGGCTCTTAACAGCAACATGAATCTTTCAGGATTAAACCTCAGTGAGAGTTTTGCAGTCCGACGGTAACATTACGTCATTTGTGATGGGGAATGTCAACAAAGTTGTGAGAACAGGATCGCGGCTGACCACAGCAAGGACTTTTAAGTCTGGATAAGCTTCATTGAAAAGGATAACGGCACAGCGAAGTGCCCCCTAAGCAGCAAGATACTTCATACAAGGGAGCAAGCACATCCAATGTGAAAAAGCATTTGTTTAAACACAAATTTAAATTTACATCTGTCTTCTATGTTGTTCTTTTTGATCTATTTTAATAAGAATTAGTAGTGCTTCTTTCTATAAGTGGTGTCATGGGCTGCAGTGATCTGGGATAAGTTCAGATCACTTCCCACAGTTTGGCTATATACGAACTGCAGATTGATGGAAAATGTAAAAAAGTGAAATGTTTAAGTAGTATGTGAACAATATAGATGGCTGCTGACAAAATAATACAAGTTCTTTATAAACTTCAAGATGGAAACAGGTTGTAAAGCATCCATTATTCGTTATGTTTAGGTATTCTAACCAGCCTTTGACTTTTCTCTGCGTCACTTCACTATGTTTGCATTTTCTATGCAGGTATCAGGTGGTGTTTAACAACAATCAGCAATTTATTGTTAGTTACAGTGCAGCTTACTGTGGTCTGTTGCTGTAAACTTGCCCAAATACACTCCATTAAACTGTGCTGCTTTCAGTCAAAAACATATGATCTAGTAGTAAATGCATGCTCTATATACAGCACATGCTGAGGCAGTAGCATGCAAAGACACACACACATCTTCAGATAATCAATGTGTGTATGATACAAGTTATTATTCACCAACATGCTTCTGGTTTCTGCTTGTAAAGCTGATGTCCCTGATTTGGTTACCCAAGTTATCCACTTTTTATATTCCAGTCTTTTATACTCAGATTTTTTAAATCACTTTATCAAGAAAAAGAAGTCCAGGTTTGTCGTGATTTGTAATGGTGTTAAAATGCACAGCTCTTGTCATACCAAAACAGAACCAAAGAGATTCATGATCTGTTGGACCACTAATTTTTATGAATGAAAGTGAAAAATTCCTTGTCACATTTGACAGTTAACGTAAGAAAGCATAAATGCCCCAACAACTAAAGTAGGCTAATATCTACTGTTTACATATCTATCAAACACTTCTTTACAAAATAGTTCAATCACAATAAAGGAGAAATGACCTGATCTGGAGTGAGAAGTGAAATAATCTGAAACAAAGAATCAATCAAAACTTAACTAAACTCAAAAACAGCTAAAATGATCTGGAAACTGGGATTAACTGGGAAAACTAAGTCATTAAAATGTCTGAATGCTTGTCCACAAAAGGCTTCCGTACCTGTCAACGCCAATCATCCATGTTAACTGAGGCTTACAATTAAAAATCTACTCTTTCTTATAAGCTGTAACTATGTGATAGCTACTTAAATATATGATAGTATTTGATAATGTCAGGCTATAAGATGATAAACAATGATCAATCCATTATCAGTTGACCTTATGAACAGTCATATGAACAGTAACCGTCCGTATGATAACTTCATGCCTGTTATGTGTATTACTACAGGACAATTAAAGACTATTTCGGCGTCTGTACTCACCATAAGATAAATATTGAACCGGTGAAACACTAACATTTATCAAAAGTGTGAATTCCAATCTCCATTAGAGTGTCATTTGCGGATTATTCTGATTTATTTAACGAACAAGTGTGGGTGGCCGTGGCCAGAGTGTTAGCAACGATGCTAGATGCTAACTAAGATAAACGTCATCCGCCCTGTCAAGCTAGTTAGCATAGCTGAGGTAAGCTAACTTAGCTTGCTAGCAGCCTTGGTGTCAAGAGTTTCTGTAGCTGCCGAAAATCTCGTAGTTATCACGACTGGAATACAAACTTAGGGCAACAATTTCGACATCCATTCATCCGTTTACCTGCAGGTGCTCCTGGAAGCGAATCGGCAGGATCTGAGCCATGGCGGTTCCTCTCTCTCCTCCGGTTTCTCCTGACGCGGACTAACTACGGCTTCTTCTTCTTCTCTCAGATCCGACAGACAGCACAGCCAGGGAGCCTCTAATCTAAAGTCCAAATTAATTAAAGCCTCAAAGCCTCCTGAAGATCGTGCTGTCGGTGTGATGGTACTTCTCTGTTCGTCCTGAAGCGGCTCTTCTTCTGTCGTCCCCCGGCTAACGACCGACCGACTGACTCTACACCGACTCTCCGGACCTGCAATGGCGGAGGAAACTGTTCAGCGGAGAAACATCCCGGAAATGGAAGTTTGCTCAATGAGGCGGAGGGATACGCACTCACTCTTTCCTTATAACAACAGAACGGAGTGTATAATTACATATTTAATGTTGTATTTCAAGAGTACAATGTTTACTTCAAAACACAAAACATCTACATATTGATGCAGCTCAAAACTGAAAAAGGACAAATATAACACTGGAACTATTTTTTTCAATCGCCCTTTGATTTTTGCCACATCATTCGTCTTTGTAAATTGACGTCAGTTTACGTGTTGTACACTTGTTCCTCTTAGCCAATCAGAGGGCCCTGATCTTGCAGACCTAGAAATTAAACTTTGTGCAGAGCGCAGGAGTCCATATCAGCGTTAAAAAGGCTGGCGAAATAAACCGGCCAGCTATATCATTATCAACAGCTGGGCATCATAATACACCCTGCCCTGTCTGTGGAAACTGCAAGAAAAACCGCCAAATTTGCAGGTCTAACATGACAGAGTGTTTTGGTAGTCTAATAAGATATTTAAAAATACCCTAAGTGGCCTTTTAGTGTTTATATTAAAGTACAACTGTACAACGGAGGGGGGCTTTTTTATGTTTCATATTATTTAATGCAAAAAAAGTGCTCTCTGTATTCTCTTACTTTGAAAAATGAAAAGGGGCCCTCCTGGATGCCTTTCCAACATTTAATTAAAAGTGCCCCCTGATATCTCTTACTGCAGGTAAACTGTAAAGACATGCAATCTGAATGCTCTTCCAATCTATTGTATAATGGGTGAGCTGGAGTGTGTTAAATCTAAATGGGTTCCTAATTTTTTGTCCACTTCATTAACAAGCAATAATGCACCTCAGGATACCACCAGCACCCACTACAACTTAAACGTTTCATTTTAGAAGCAATTATTATCTGCCTGAACATGTTGACAAGAACTGATATATACAAATTAATGAATATTTTTTCTTTTAAAATAAAAACTGTGCTGTAAAAAATTCATTCTCCATAAATGATAATTAATGCTAAAATTAATGTTAAACAATGGCAATTTGGGAGTCCACCGATAGGGTTAAAAAAATAAAACTGTGTTTACTTCACACCAAGAATCACACCAAAGTCCAGGCTTGCATGTTAAATGTTTTATGAGCAAGTTTTCCTTGAGGACCAAGTAACACCCTTAAAAACCTAAGAATTTAAAATTATGGTCTATAAAATAATGACATATTCATTAATTTAGGTAATAAGGGTCTATATTCTGTGTGGATTAGTAAAAACATACAATATCTGTTGGGTGGAGTGTGCACCCAAGTGATCATTTCCCTTTTTTACATCCACAAAATCTGTTGGCAGAGGATGTTAGCTTATTGCTCAATGTAAAACTGAATGCTGGGAGCATTTCTCAAACGAGCTGACCCTCAGCAGAGAATCATCCTGCTGAGCCAGCAAACACAGCTTCTGAAGAAATGGATGGTCGCAGGATATGAGTACATGGTATTTGTCAATCACACTGCAAGATGCCTGAGGAATGCAGAAAGATGCAAAAAGTGTTTGCATGCAAGGACACAGACACACAATAAGAAAGTGGACATGAAGTCAATAAAGTTTGAGAATAAGCAGAGGTCATCTGTGGAGTCCAGTGTTTGTCTCCATAATAAGCTCCGAGGGATGAATCTCAGAAATCTGTACCACATATTGCTCAAATGTCACACATTTCTCATGGTCAACATTGTCTTGATTCCAATAGAATTTTGCAATAGAGATACAAACGGAATAAATTGAGATCTTCCAAGCCTGAACATATCAAACACATGACCACCACAGAAACTAAAAACTTTGCAAGTACTTTTGTCTCCACTTTGAAAGGTCTTATATGTTTAGTTTAAGCAAAATTCACATGACAAGACCAGAAAAATGTCTAATATGAAGATGTACAAACCCAAATAAGTGCGCTTCTTTTCCTGTGATTTGACTTAACTGTCCATGTGAACATCCTAGAGTAAAACTGTGCCATGATACGATTCGATTAATTCAGATTTAAGACATCAAGAATGACTGTTTTGCTGTTGTGAGTCATAAAAAGGCATCAGAGTTAATTCAACTTTGTTACATAAACAAATGAGAACTCCTGATTGCAGCTTTAAAAAAATAAAAATAGAAAAAGATGAAATTAAGAAAAAAATCAGAATATAATGTTAAAAAGGAGTTTTGGGGGTAGTGTGTTGGATTTCTAATTCAGTTACACTAAGAATTGTTACCCTGTCCATTAACATGCATCATCATGCATGTTAAAGAAAGATGTCAAATTTTTATTCATACCTTACTACCTCTGATGGTTTTATTTTCAGTGTTACTCATTAAAAAATGGAGGATACCACATCCATAAAGGCTCAACACTGTTACACAAATATTTGTTGTTGGCCGAATAAATGAATCAACCCTCCAAAGTGACATCTGTTAGATTTTGACCAAAATGAGCTGCATTTTAAAGACACCAATCAGATGAAACAGTCAGTTTAGAGGTGCATGGAGCATCAGAGCAGTGTGATTTTTTTCTATCTGAGACGGAATTGATGAGATTTGTTTTCCACCTGCAGCCAAGTCTGATAAACCTGGTCCAAACGTCTGTGTAATTTGTTTACTGATCTGAGAGGCCGAGAGCGTAGTTGAAACTGTCCTGAATGGACTATTCAGGCTGCTGTTGCCATGGATTCACAGAGCGAAGAGGACACACAGGAAACAGACACAGACAGAGGAGCCATGTGTGTCACGCTAACAGAGCGGCCTCTGGACTCTCTGCATGGATGTCACACATGCAGGCTGCTGCTGGTTCTGCACCATCTGTCCTTGCCTCTCTACACAATCTCTCTGACAGTGTCCTTATCTGTATTTAGTGTCTTTCACCTCCTGCAGCTCCACCAGGAGTCATCTGAGTCTACAGAAGAGCAAACAGGACAGGAACAGAGCTGTGTGTGGAGAATAAGTTCATGCTCTCAGAGAGGTAACTGTCTCCTTTACAGATATGTGACCGTGAGTGACTCCAGTTCTTTGGCAGGGATTGTAACACAGATGGGAGATCTGTGTCTTCCTGCAGCTGGGAGGATACCACCAGGGATGACTGAGCAGGACTGACACTTGGACCACAACCAGGACTGAACAGTCCCGCAGAAACCCTCCTGGCTCACTCTCTTTGTGTCTCTATCAATTATCCTCCCTGCTGAACTCTAAGACGGCAGAGGTTAGAGGAATGTCACACTCACACATTTATACTTTCAAATAGTCTTTGTGTAAAAAGTCAAATCTGCGCCAGTATCTTCATGTAGCTTTTATAATTATGACACAAAAATGTACCATGGAGTTGTCTAATGTGTTACTGAGATGACCTCAGAATTACATGATGTACCAGCACAGATAAGAAGTTCCTATTTCTCTGTTTATCTTCATCTAGGCCTAGTTTTCCTTTGTTTCACCTCCTCTACATTAACATTTTTGCACTGCCCCCCCTGCTGGGGAGGTGGGTGAGTTTGTGTCGATTTGGTGCCCCCTGTCGACAAAACAGTGTTTTCTATCTTATCCTTCACGTGCTTAAATGCCCAACTGGAGCTTTAATCTATCCTCTTATATTTAACATTCTTTTATGTTATATATAAAGGGTCCGTTAACAGTTGGTGAGCTTTACAGGCACAGCAAGTAAAGCTGATGTCAGGTGTCACAGTGAAGTCAGTCTGATCAAACAGGGAACTTCTGGTTTATATTGATTTCGGTGCTTGGGTGGACAAAGGGGTGCCTCTCACCAAGGGCAGGGAGATTCATCCGATTTTTGTTTTGATTATGATTATGGCTGTCCTACAATCATGGAATTTGGATACACCTGCTGGTGCTACTTGGACACGTCATCAGTGAAGTACCCGGGGTCATAGGGTGTTTCGGGTCTTTAATCTTCATACACCCTCACCCGGGCGACCCAGCCGGGGGTGATCAGTCCCCGACTTGTGTCCAAGTGGCGTGATGTTCCACGGATCCCCCCTACGGATCCACAGCCACCGCGAGGCCCTTTCTGCGGCCTCTAGGATGTTTCTGATGGCTTTCTTCAATCGCAGTCCTTTTACTCCAAGGAGTTTGAGGGTTCTCAGAAGTGATTGGCCAGCGAAGCCTCGGCTCCCGACCTCGACTGGCTCACAGCGGGTTTTCCAGCCATTGTTCCGGCACTCTGTGCTGAGCTCTGCATACTTGGCTCTCTTGCGTTCGTGGGCCTCTTCGATCCTGTCTTCCCAGGGGACTGTTAGTTCCAGGATGACTACTTGTTTGGTGGACTCCGATGTTAGTACCACATCTGGGCGGAGAGAAGTAGTTGTGATGTTGACTGGGAACTTAAGCTGTCTTCCGAGGTCGACTTGAAGCTGCCAATCACGAGCGGTGGTAAGGAGCCCCCCTGTAGAGTTGGGATGGTGATGTTGTGCCTTCTGCCCTGCTCTAATGAATGTGATTGCCTGTTTGGGGGCTGCCTGGGTCTTGCTGTGCTGGATCGCTGTGCTGATGGTTTCTGCCAAAGCTTTTAGGACTTGGTCATGGCGCCAGCGGTACCGCCCCTCTCCTAGCGCTTTAGGGCAGCAGCTTAAGATGTGCTCCAGGGTGCCCCTCTTCTGGCACAGTTTGCACTCAGGAGTGTCTACTAGTCCCCAGGTGTGTAGGTTGGCCGGGCTTGGGAGGACGTCATACACTGACCGGATGAGAAACTTGGTGCGAGATGGTTCTGCTTTCCAGAGCTCTGCCCAGGTGATTCTGCGGAAATTATATTATATTATATTATTATATTATAATTATAATAATCTAGACTGAATGAATACCATGCCGCCTGCTATGTTGTTCTCCTTCTGTCCTATATTCTTTTCTCCCTCATGCTCTGCCTCTCCCTCAAACAGCTCTCTTTAACTTTAACTTTTCTTTAACTTCTTTATTATTCACACAGATTGATATGTAACAAAGTTTGGGAACATGGGGAAGTTGCACATCTTGTTGAAGTTCAGCACGTTGCACCACAGTGCTACAAACTACCAAGCAGTGATGGATGGAGAGAGGAGAGCAGGGAGAGGAGCAGGAGGAGGCATGTGAGTGTGTCCCTTTGTGTCTGTCAATGAGCAGGACAGAGCCAGCATGAGTTTGAGGATATTATGTAAAGGCTCGAAAAGACCAAATGATCTGTTAGATCTCCGTTAAAGTCTATAATTTTGTCTTTATTAAATAGAGCATCTGAAGAGAGACAAGAAAAACACTTCCAGCCCAGTAAAGCACATATTTGCCACATTTTGAATGACAGTGCAGGGATTTTGGGATCCAAATTAGGGACAAATTCTGATGCTGAGCATGTAAATATACAATTTTTAGGGCGTTAATAAGCTCTCTTCCACTTTGGCTGCTTGGTTTAACATGAAGTGGATTTCTGGATAAACAAGAAGGAAATCTGAAGTCACTAGACTTTGAATTACCTTCTTAACATGTCAGATAAAAGGACCAAGTGGGAGCTTTTTTTTTTTTTGCGTAAATAGCACATTTCTCAGGGGTGATGAAACTTTGTTCTGCTATTGTGGAAGCTAAATCAGAAAATGTTTAGAAAATAATACGGCATGCAGAGAGGAAGAAGTTACTTGCTTTATCTGAAGAACAATGGTTAATAAATGTCTTTTAAAAACCCAAGTTAAAAACTTTTTGTGCAGCAGACTATGACAATGAGCTCAGTTTAGACAGAAATCCTTCTTCTCTCCCCTAAAGATGGCAGATTTGAGAACTTAGGGGAGGAGTGTAATTTGTATAGTGTTTTTTTTTTTTTTTAATTATAGGGAATAAATCCCATTTTCTGTGTTACTTTCACTTTTAAAATAGGTTCAGAACATTATGACAAATGAAATGTACTGGCACATTCAAAACCCTTATATGTTTCAGAGCATTGTGATTACAATGAATTATTAAAAATGTTTAATTTTGACAACTTTTATTTCAAGGACCTGAATTAAACCTAACTACATCACAGTTTATGTCTGTAATATTATCATCTTAATCCATGTATCCACACACAGTAGTTAAACACAGTACATTATTGCTCAACCTTTGAACACCAGTGCAGGTGAAGTTACTAATTGACTCTGTTCAGGCCTTTGCACTTAACATGCTGAGCAAGAATAGTAATTTACTCAATACATTAACTGAATATACGAGAAGTGAACAATTAAGTTTAAATTTCATTTAACATCTTTATAATAATCCAGCTTAAAGTTTACTGCAGTTCCCACCCCTGTGATAGTACTGAGAGTTTAAAACTTAGTCAGGAGGCAAATCTAAACTACTTTTAAAGCTTCAAGGAAAACACCTTTTTACAAATAATGTAACACAATCCAGTAACAGCCATTTTCTTCTGCACGATAAATACTAAAGACTATATGAAGTCTCAGCCAAAATACTCTCAGATTTGGTGACATATTTGATTGGATTTGTTGCCATCAAGTGGACTGTTGAGGTAAGGGAGAGTAGTGCTCAAACACTGAAACAAGTTTGAAGTGTTTGCTTTGTCTTGATAGCTAAATGTAGCAAGACCCAATTATCATTTTTCAGCATCTATATGATCAATTGTGCTGGACTCTGCACTTTCGTTCGTTAAATCAATAACATAATTGTGAACAGGACTGGTCACAGAACAGAGCCTTGCAGTTCTCCAAGTGAGCAGCAGGTATGCTGGTTGGACATCCTATGTCCCGTGGCCACAGTTGTGGTTACAACAGTTGGTGGTTCTGAGATTTGAAAGGGCCACAGGGATTACTGCAGGGTTGGGTACATTATGTGGGGATTCTTCAGAGATTTAAAATAACTAATACTCGTAGCATTGTAATATTATATACAAGGAACACACCTACAACAAACATTCCTTTTTCAAGTATTTATTGAAACAGAGTAAAAAAAAAAAAACAGAGCCATAGCAGTGGACATTTGAAAAACTCAATAAATTGCTATTTGTTTTAGGGGCTTGCCCCATTGACTTCAGCCAAAACCCCGAAGATGAGTTTACACCAGCTGATGTGTTAATTTGTTATTGTGAACTTTAAACACATGATCACGGATGGTGCTCAAATATGCACCAAAACAGATCTGGTGATAGCAGATTGAATAGCTTTCTGTGAGTCAAAACTGTGCAAACAGGGGGGCTAGTAAATGTGAGATGCCATGCCTCTGCCATGCCTTGACTTTTACTGCAGCAATGCTGCTTGGGCCTTCATATGAAAAATGTAAGCAGCCAGGTGAATGAAGGTAAAGTCCTGTGCAGCATCCTACTACTAAACCCTGAAGATGCTAAATAGAAGAAGTTTCAAAGAATCCTGGGAGAGTATTGCACTAATAAATCTGGGGAATATAAAGGTCCAAAGAGGAGGGTGATGGGAGATGAGGAGACAAATCAGCTGTGTAACACAGTGCTGGACAGAGAGGTGGCCTGAGCTCAGCAGCAACTCCTCTCCTTTTCCTCCTCCTCTCTAATGATTGAGGCCCAGCAAGCTGTTGAACTCTGTTGTTCCCAGTTCTTCAACACCTGCTGCAAGAAGCCTTTCCATCATCACTATGGACTAATGCCCTTCTACTTTCTGCTCATCTCTCTGCTCACTGCAACTCTTAACCTGCTGATCAGAAATGGTTGAAATTTCTGTTAGAGTTTCATGAAACACTGTGCAGCCAGAGGGGGTTAGTAAGATAGATGCTATATATTTAGCCCTTTGATCAGTATGTGAATCCACCAACCATTGTGTTCTTAATCTGTGATTTTAATGCTAATTTCTGCTTGTTCTTATTGTTGGTGACATTAATGTGTAATATTCATTGTGATGATGTTTTCTCACTCCAGGCAGCTCCACACCACCACCAACCTCGCCCTGCTCTCTCTAACTGTCTCAGACTTCCTTGTGGGCCTCCTGGTGATGCCAGGTGAAATATTCCAAACTGAGACCTGCTGGTTCTTTGGTAACCTCTTGTGTGTCTTGTATTATCTATTAGCCTTGATCATCATCTGTGCTTCAGCAGCAAGCATGGTGCTCATACCAGTCAACATTTATATGCTCCCACTGGCCCAGATCATGGAGTATCATAACAACTTGTACCACTTATATGCTGATGACACACGACTCTACATTACAGTGTCACCATATGACCACAGTCCATTGCAGTCGCTGACTGAATGTATCCAACAAGTCAATCAGTGGATGTGCCAGAACTTTCTCCAGCTCAATGCAGAGAAAACAGAAGTCATTGTTTTTGGTCCCAAAAACATGAAGCTTGAAGTCAGTGGCCAACTTCACTCAATGACACTAAAAACCACTGACCAAGTCAGAAACCTGGGTTTAGTTATGGACTCAGACCTAAATTTTGATAGCCACATAAAGACTATCACTTAGTCAGCCTATTATCATCTCAAAAACATAAAATTAAAGGATTTCTGTCCAGACAAGACATGGAAAAACTTGTTCATGTGTTTATTCTAAGTAGGTTGGAATATTGCAATGGTGTCTTTACAGGTCTCAGTAAAAAATCAATGAAGCAGCTGCACCTCATCCAGAATGCTGCTGCCATACCATATCACACTTGTCCTTAAATCCCTGCACTGGCTCCCTGTGAGCCAAAGAAAAGGTCTACTAGGCTCTGTTCATCCACTCAACGCCGTCTCCCCTCCCTCTTTCCTACTCGCGCCGGTGGGAGAAGCTGAGTTAGGGAGGGGGGATACTACACCCTGGGCTGCGCTACTCACCAAAATACTAAAGTGTGCTTGGGCATGCCTCATTGGTGCAGTGGACCTGATTTACTGACTTACGTTGTGCCTGTGCCACGCCGCCGGCGAGGCACAAAAATAGAGCCTCTATACTGAAGTACAATTCCTTCAAATGCTCCATGGCCCTAATTTGAACAACTCTTCTCTGAAATGACAGGTGACTTTACAACTTTGTTATCATGAATTAATGAGTTAATTCTCCATAAATCCACGACTTTAATCTCAAAGTCTTTAAAAAAAAAACTTTATATGGCCCTCATACTCCTTTGTACAAAACATGCCATTGTTGGATGAATTTTGTGGAAATGATCGGTAAAGTCCTCTCCTCTTTTTTGTTGACAATTTGTTGTTAGTTGTAAATAGTAACTCCTGTGTGTTTGTAAGTATGTATTGTTTTGTGTCTGTATCTTTTGTTTTGTATAGTATGTATGCAAGGTTGCACAATTTTAAAAAAAATGCTGTGATCTGTGGCATTTCTTCAAGTCAGTCGTGATGCGAGCCTGAGGGCAGGACATTTGGCAACTCAACCAGGAAGTCCTCTAGAGGGTAAACCGTCCCACAAACACAAGATTTCCAGTCTGTGTATCGTTCGTTCTTTGGTTATTACGTTTCGAAACCAAATCAAAACAACAAAAACGAAAGTACCGAAAAACAAAAATCCTGTTGAGTGCTTTTTTTTCTTTCCAAAACTGAAATGAGAAAACAACGAAATTTTATTTCGTTTGTTTGTTTTTTTAAAAGCAGCAACCGATTGTTTTTTTTCCCCTCCATACCAGAAATCAACAAAAGCAGAAGCAGTGAAGAATGATTTGGGTATTTTACTCACCGAAGGGTTAAAATGACGAGTTTCATTCTCTCTCGAGGGAGTCAGCGCCTTAGCTTAAGAGCGGAGGATCTAACTTGTGACAAAA